CTCGCTAGATTTGGCTCAGTCATTAGTCAGTTCACCGTTACATTTCAGGACTGGGTTCGATTTCTGTCTTGCATAGATACAGAAGAGTTTTTGTTGTCTGGAAATTCAGACAAGTGTTGATGTTTCATCTAGAAATTCAGACCACTCGAGTTTGTTCATATTTCCTTCAGACGAAATTTTTTCTCGTACTTTCATTTCAGACGGGCCAAAAACCTAGCCAGAGCCCTGCATGGGAGGGTTGCGAGCATCATCGGTCATCGGCGCTCGCAAATGAAGAGCGCCCGCTGCACTTCCTGCACATGTGCTGATCCTTCCGCGTTTTGGGGCTGGAAGCGCTCGTTCCGAGCATTTTTCTTCTGCCGGGTCACGTGGCTGTGGTTGTCTGGGCCTATTGCCAAGCCAACAAGGACGTGGGAGGGTTGCGAGCATCATCGGTCATTGGCGCTCGCGAATGAAGAGCACCCGCTGTCAAAATGCTAGGCCAAAACGAGAAACAGGCAAGAAGGGTTTTGACTAACAAGCATAGGGATACATATATGCAAACCCTAGAAGGGCTGTACTCGCTATAGAGTACCCCACTGCAGGCTAGACAACCATCACATTCTGACACACCCCCATAGTCAAAGTGGGGTACAATCAACATAACAAGCAGACAGAGCAATAGTTCACAATTATAAGCAAAGCTAGAGGCTATCACAGAGGGCAAGTGAGGAGGAGGAGAAACTGTGGGAGCAAGAAGATGAGAGGCGACGGCTGAAGCTGCAGACACACAGGCAGCAGGAGTACGCCGCACTGACGCTACCAGGCTAAACCCGGACTACACGGCGACAGGGGGTCGCAGCTGGCTCGCTGTGCTCCCAGGAGTGCACACACTGTAGCTACCGGGCGCAGAGCCCCGGACTACTCAGGCCACAGGGGGTCGTGGCTCCCTGGACTTCAGGCGCTGCGGACGACAAGTCGACGGCCTCCTCTCAACTTCCCCCAGCTGTCCCACCCCCTTTTTACACACCCCCTGCTGTTCCCCTAGCACCGCTCACACTACACCCCCTAGCGCCACTCCCTCGGCTCCCACACACCCACCCCCTGTCAAACATTATACATGTTGTATTTGTGTAGGCTGTAGTGGGTTAGCCTATAGGGGGGTCACAACATTAGGGTTTTATATTTGTACTCACAATCCTTGCTAGTCCATCATTCCAGTTTGCTCTCGTTGACATGGTTTCAGAGCAGGTCCTTCGCTAGGACCGTTTTTTAAGGGCCCACCGTTCCCTACCTACCTACCTACCTACCTACCTAGGGCGCCTCGAATTTTTTTTTAACGGCCCCTACATCCCGCGACCCGCGACCCGCCCCTTAAGGCCCCGTCGCGCCGCCCCTTAGCCGCTCGCGCGCGGTCGTTTTCATACGTGCGCCCCGCCTGCTGCCCGCGCGCGCCTTATTTCCCTCGCGCGCGGCCCGTCGCCTGCTCGCGCACGCCCCGCAGCCGCCCGTCGCCTGCTCGCGCACGCCCCGCAGCCGCTCGTCGCCTGCTCGCGCACGCCCCGCAGCCGCCCGTCGCCTGCTCGCCCGCCGTCGCAGCGGCCGCCCGCCCGCAGCCGCCCGTCGCCTGCTCGCGCACGCCCCGCAGCCGCCCGTCGCCTGCTCGCGCACGCCCCGCTGCCCGCAGCCGCTCGTACGCCGCTGCTTCCGCTGCTGCTTGCGCACCGCTGCCTGTGCGCCGCCGCTGCCCGTGCGCCGTCGCTGCCCCTACGCTGCCGCTGCCCGTGCGCCGCTGCCGCCCGTGCGCTTCTGCAGCCGCCGCCCGCGAGGCACTCGCTCTCACTGTTGTTTATTTTCTACCTACCGCGCACACTGCTGCCACTGCAGCTGCCACCAGTGCGCCGTTGCAGCTCCTGCTGCCACGCTACCTACTACTGCCGCTCGTGTGCCACTACGGACAGTCGACCCCGCCCGCGCCTTGCCTAGCGGCCCCGCCGGCCCCGTTGACCCTCCGCACACCTTTCCAGCGGCCTGATTCCTACTACTACTGTTACTACTGCTACTACTGCTACTGCTACTGTCACTATGGCTAGTCCTCCCGTTCTAGCTTTCGATGCCGAGGGCCGTCCAGTGAAGTTCGAAACCTGGCTAGATGACCTGCACCTGTTCCTACAGCTCACTGCCAAGGAAGATATCTCACTGTACGACCACGCCCTAGGCCATGCCACTGCCCCTGACCCGTCGCTATTCCTGCGCACCGACTCTTCGCTGCCGCCGTTCTACATCCTCGTGTACGTCGACGACTTGGTCTTTGCCACTGCTGACACTGCAGGACTCGCCTACGTGAAGTCGGAGCTGCAGAGGAGACACACGTGCACAGACCTGGGTGAGCTGACAAGCTATCTTAGCTTGCGGATCACCCGGGACAGAGCACGGCGCACCATCACCCTGACTCAGTCACACATGGTGCAGCAGGTTCTCCAGCGCTTCCGCTTCACGTACTCCTCGCCTCAGTCCACTCCTCTGCCTACCGGTCACTCGCTCTCAGCTCTGCCTTCGGATGAGTCCGTAGAGCCGAGTGGCCCGTATCCAGAGCTTGTGGGCTGCCTCATGTACCTGATGACCTGCACTCGACCTGACCTTGCATACCCTCTTAGCATCCTTGCGCGCTATGTCGCTCCTGGCCGTCACAGGAAGGAGCACATGGATGCCGCTAAGAGGGTGTTGCGCTACTTGTGCAGTACGTCGGGCATGGGGCTTGTGCTTGGAGGGCGAGACCGAGTTGTTCTCACAGGGCACTCAGATGCTTCTTGGGCAGACGACCAGGCCACTCAGCGGTCGTCTCAGGGTTACACCTTCAGCCTTGGCTCTGGCTCAGTTTCTTGGCGCTCTACACGCTCTTCTTCTGTTCTCGGCTCCAGTTGCGAGGCTGAGATCTACGCTACAGCCATGGCTGCCCAGGAGCTACGCTGGCTGACCTACCTGCTGACCGACCTCGGAGAGCGGCCTCGTTCTCCTCCAGTACTGTACGTCGACAACAAGGCTGCCATTGCCTTGTGTGAGGAGCACAGACTGGAGCACAGAACGAAGCACATCGCCCTGCGGTACTTCCTTGCTCGAGAGCTGCAGCAGCGCGGTCAGCTTTGTATTCGCTACGTGGCCACTGAGGCCAACACTGCTGATGTGTTCACCAAGGCGCTTCAGCCTCGTGACCATCAGCGCTTCTGCACTCTACTAGGCCTTGTGCCTACTGGACCTCACTTGCTTACCTCTTGACTTTGCTTGTACTGTGATCATTATATATATATATACCTGCATGTTTACTCTTGCTAGGTTGTGATCACTGTATCTCTTGCTCTGTTATAAACTTGCATGTGAACTGGTCTTGTGACCACTAGCTTGTGCTCGGAATTTGTGTGGAATCCTTGAGATCCACCCTGAGCTTGTTGTTGCCTTGCTTTGCCTTGACTGGTCTTGTGACCCCTAGGTCTCCCCACTTTGCCTATAGGGGTGTGTCAAACATTATACATGTTGTATTTGTGTAGGCTGTAGTGGGTTAGCCTATAGGGGGGTCACAACATTAGGGTTTTATATTTGTACTCACAATCCTTGCTAGTCCATCATTCCAGCAGCTGCAGCAGTGGGAGACGGAGAAGGAGGAGGAGGAGGGGAACGGCACTCAGTGGCTTCACCCCCATACCCCTCACCCCCAAACCCTAATTCAGGAGAACGGGCTGTAGGAGGGGTGGGGCGCCAGTAGAAGCACGGGGGACAGTGGGGAGGGCAGGGGCAGCGAGGAACGGGCCGCCCACGGGCCTGGCATAGCCGCCCGAACCGCGCGCAGGCGGCCCGAGCCGCGCGCGGGCCTGGCGCTTCCCGTACGGGCCGCGCGCGGGCCTGGCGCAGCCCGTACGGGCCGCGCGCCGGCTGTACGGGCCGCGCGCAGGCCACGACGGGCGACGGGGGGCGACGCGCGGGTCCCCGTCGCCCGTCGCAGCGCCTCCCGGGGGCGACGCGCCGAGTGACGGGGCAGAAAACCGCCGCGCGCCCCGGGCGCGCGGCGGGAAGAAAAAATCGCTGCGCGCCCGGAGCGCGCGGCAGGCAGGAAACAGCAGGAAACAACAGCGGAAGCTTCTGGTGGGACCACCCACAGGATCGACCCAGGAGGGTCGACCCTTTCTGATAGCATGTCAAAATGCTAGGCCAAAACGAGAAACAGGCAAGAAGGGTTTTGACTAACAAGCATAGGGATACATATATGCAAACCCTAGAAGGGCTGTACTCGCTATAGAGTACCCCACTGCAGGCTAGACAACCATCACATTCTGACACCCGCTGCACTTTCTGCGCATGTGCGGATCTTTCCGCGTTTTGGGGTTGGAAGCGCTCATTCCGAGCGTTTTTCTTCCGCCGGCGGGACGTGGCTGCGCTTTTCTGGGCCTATTGCCAAGCCAGCAAGGGCGTGGGAGGGTTGCGAGCGTCATCGGTCATCGGCGCTCGCGAATGAAGAGCGTCCGCTGCACTTCCTGCACATGTGCGGATCCTTAAGGTTGACCAGTCTGTCTATGCCAAAACGAATCTGAGGCACTGAATGTAGGTACCATGCACAACTAGAATGCCTATAAGTGCCGAATAACATAGATCCGCGTCAGTTTGGTCGGTATGCAGTCACAATCGCCGTGCTATAAGAGGACGGCGCATATCCGGGGCCATACGGTATTCTCATCTTTGTCATTTTACATTCACTCTTGCGATACCTGAGCTCAACACTTCAGCTGCAATACTACCGACGATCAACCCTGAGCCGATCCCTGGCTAAGTCATGTTTAGGAGTGTTGGTATGTAGTTGCGCTGGTCATCCTAAGGATGTGTGCCTTTCACCTTCTTCCACTAGATACTTTCATAAATGGTAACAACAAATGTCATCGCATTTGAAGCAGCACAACAATGCCTCCAGAGCGTGGGAATATGCAAGCGGCTTGTTTGTCGCGATCAGACGACTCTCCCTTGTGCAACGTGCATCACCTCCCTCCGTTGCTCTGGTCCCTCCTCTCATCTCCATGCTCATCCCCATCCCCATGCCCATGCCCATCCCCATCCCCGTCCTCATTGGCATGCTCCTCCGAGTTACCATTGTCAAACCCATGTGCCTCATCATCCCTCTCCTCCTCATCCAGGCGGGTGGGGAAGAACTCCTCCCCCGGGGCAATGCGCGTGAAGACCTGCCCGCATCGCAAGCCAATGGCAGGCGGAAACAGTACAGGCAAGAAGAGATTCCAGAATTTGTGTGGATTAGAAGAACCCTGTCTGCCACATCATCATCCATCACCATCCACCAGAATAGTGCCACCTCTCCATCATCACTACCATCTCTCCGTCATCACAATGTCATCTCAACCACCAGTGTCATCCCAGCCTTACAACAACATTCCAGCCATTACAGTAACATCTCGAGCATTACAGTATCATCGCAAGCAGCAGCAGCATGGGTGCATGGGCTCACCTGCTGGGCCTCCTCGACCACTGACTGCAGGTGCAGGGAGTCGCTCGGAGCGCTGCATGCAAACACGCCCTCAGGCACCTGCCGTGGGGGGGAGAGCATCGGGAATCCTGCGTCGGAAATCCTGCCTGGAGCATGAATAGTGCACAAAGCACGGTGCACGGCGCATCGCACATGGTACAGCATGAGCGTCCCATGGCCCATACCTGCACACTGCGGGCATCCCATGGCCCATACCTGCACACTGCGGGCATCCAGCAGGCGTTGCGAGAAGAACACAGCCCACAGCGCAGTGGGCCTCCCCTTCCCCGCTGCCTCCTCTCCATTCTCCTTGCCCGTCCCCGCCTCTGACCCCACCTCCTCTGATCCTATACAGCTGAATGACACCGTTTCCTCCCCTTCTTCATCTCCCTCTCCTCCCCCCTGCCCGGCCACCCCGCTCCCCCCATTCTCCTCCGCGCCCACTCCCTCTGCATGCTTGCTCCTGCCACCACCCTCACCCTCACCTCCAGCAGCAGCAGCAGCAGCAGCAATGAGTGGTGGGGGAGGGGTGTGACAACGAAGTGAGGGCAGCAAGAACGGGCAGCAGCAGGGCGCGAGGGCAGTGGGAGGGTAGGCAGCGGGTGGAGAGATACACCAGGTACCTGCAGGGGGGGGAGGGGAAGAGGTGTGATGTGATGGTGATGAGAGACGGCAATAGAGAATGAAGGGGACCCGCACGAGAGGGGGGGGAGTGCCATGCTGTAGACTAGTATAGCAGGTAGTGCCATGCTGTAGACTAGTATAGCAGGTAGTGCCATGCTGTAGACTAGTATAGCAGGTAGTGCCATGCTGTAGACTAGTATAGTAAGTAGTGCCATGCTGTAGACTAGTATAGTAGGTAGTGCCATGCTGTAGACTAGTATAGTAGGTAGTGCCATGCTGTAGACTAGTATAGTAGGTAGTGCCATGCTGTAGACTAGTATAGTAGGTAGTGCCATGCTGTAGACTAGTATAGTAGGTAGTGCCATGCTGTAGACTAGTATAGTAGGTAGTGCCATGCTGTAGACTAGTATAGTAGGTAGTGCCATGCTGTAGACTAGTATAGCAGGTAGTGCCATGCTGTAGACTAGTATAGTACGTAGCGCCATGCTGTAGACTAGTATAGCAGGTAGTGCCATGCTGTAGACTAGTATAGTAGGTAGCGCCATGCTGTAGACTAGTATAGTAGGTAGTGCCATGCTGTAGACTAGTATAGTAGGTAGTGCCATGCTGTAGATTAGTATAGTAGGTAGTGCCATGCTGTAGACTAGTATAGTAGGTAGTGCCATGCTGTAGACTAGTATAGTAGGTAGTGCCATGCTGTAGACTAGTATAGTAGGTAGTGCCATGCTGTAGACTAGTATAGTAGGTAGTGCCATGCTGTAGACTAGTATAGTAGGTAGTGCCATGCTGTAGACTAGTATAGTAGGTAGTGCCATGCTGTAGACTAGTATAGTAGGTAGTGCCATGCTGTAGACTAGTATAGTAGGTAGTGCCATGCTGTAGACTAGTATAGTAGGTAGTGCCATGCTGTAGACTAGTATAGTAGGTAGTGCCATGCTGTAGACTAGTATAGTAGGTAGTGCCATCCGTGCTTTGCTGTACCCACCAGTCTTCCCTATCGTTGCACCCTAGGGTTGAGCAAAGAAACGAACACGTTCGAGGCGAACCGAGCAGGCTTTTTTTTTTTTGCTTCAAGTGTTCGTGGTTCGCCCGAACACGCCTTCACAGGCGAACACAGAACACCCTTGTTCGGTTCGCCGAACGGCCATGTTCATGCAAGGGCGAACACAAACATGTTCGCGTTCGCCCTTTGCTCAAGCCTATTGCACCCCAATGCTTACATCAATTGGGCAACCATTCGAAAGGAGAGTGTGTGTGTGTGTGTGTGTGTGTGTGTGTGTGTGTGTGTGCAGCGCAGTGCATGGGTAGCAACAAGGGAGTGCGAGCAAGGAATAGGAGGACTCACTTCCCCTGGGGGCACACAGCACATTGCGATGACAGCTGGCACACTCTCACTGGCTGCTCCGGACGCCCTGGTGCGAGTGCTGGGGGAGGGAGGGAGGGAGTGATGGGTTAGGTGGTTGAGGGGTGAGAGACACGTTGCATGGGAAAGAGAATGAGATGCGCTGGGAGCCAGAGAAGGGTAGTCTTCCCTTCACCTCTCAGCAGCTACACTCACACCTGGGCGGCAACACTCACATGTGGGCGGCAACACTCACATGTGGGCGGCAGCACTCACATGTGGGCGGCAGCACTCACATGTGGGCGGCAGCACAGCAACCAGAGTGTGCATGTCTTGATGCAGGGAACCGTCGGTGATGCAAATGCAGCGCGCCACCACCCCCTCCTCCTGCTCCTCCTCCCCTTCCCCGCTCTCCCCTCCGGCACCTGCCTTGCCAGCGCTGTCCAGACCACCACCAGCGCTGTCCAGACCACCACCAGCACTGTCCAAACCACCACCAGCGCCGCCAGCACCACCATGAGACTGAGGCCCCGCCATGCCTGGACTCGTCCGCACCCCACCCACACACGCGTCACTGCCACCTGCTGCGCTCCCACGTGCTTCAGCACTGCCGCTCACCGCTGCAGGGTCTGCTGCGGGCTCTGCTGCGGGTGGTGGTGCAGGTAGTGCAGGGGGCAGTGGCTTGGGGAGGAAGGAGGGGCCGAGGAGCACGAGGGGCGACCCCAGCAGCTGCCCCTCCTCCAATGCCACTCCCTCACACCGCCCCGTGTGCTGAAGGGGGGGGGAAGGGGGGATGCGCCGGGGGAGGTGATTGGTACATGGGGCAAAGACGAGAGGGGATATTATGGCGGATGGTGAGAGATGCGGCTCCGGGTGAGTGTGACGCGTGATTCAGAGACGTGTGACGCGTGATTCAGAGACGTGTGACGCGTGATTCAGAGACGTGTGACGCGTGATTCAGAGACGTGTGACGCGTGATTCAGAGACGTGTGACGCGTGATTCAGAGACGTGTGACGCGTGATTCAGAGACGTGTGACGCGTGATTCAGAGACGTGTGACGCGTGATTCAGAGACGTGTGACGCGTGATTCAGAGACGTGTGACGCGTGATTCAGAGACGTGTGACGCGTGATTCAGAGACGTGTGACGCGTGATTCAGAGACGTGTGACGCGTGATTCAGAGACGTGTGACGCGTGATTCAGAGACGTGTGACGCGTGATTCAGAGACGTGTGACGCGTGATACAGAGACGTGTGACGCGTGATTCAGAGACGTGTGACGCGTGATTCAGAGACGTGTGAAGCGTGATTCAGAGACGTGTGACGCGTGATTCAGAGACGTGTGACGCGTGATTCAGAGACGTGTGACGCGTGATTCAGAGACGTGTGACGCGTGATTCAGAGACGTGTGACGCGTGATTCAGAGACGTGTGACGCGTGATTCAGAGACGTGTGACGCGTGATTCAGAGACGTGTGACGCGTGATTCAGAGACGTGTGACGCGTGATTCAGAGACGTGTGACGCGTGATTCAGAGACGTGTGATTCAGAGACGTGTGATTCAGAGACGTGTGATTCAGAGACGTGTGATTCAGAGACGTGTGACGTGTGATTCAGAGACGTGTGATTCAGAGACGTGTGATTCAGAGACGTGTGATTCAGAGACGTGTGATTCAGAGACGTGTGATTCAGAGACGTGTGATTCAGAGACGTGTGATTCAGAGACGTGTGATTCAGAGACGTGTGATTCAGAGACGTGTGATTCAGAGACGTGTGATTCAGAGACGTGTGATTCAGAGACGTGTGATTCAGAGACGTGTGATTCAGAGACGTGTGATTCAGAGACGTGTGATTCAGAGACGTGTGATTCAGAGACGTGTGATTCAGAGACGTGTGATTCAGAGACGTGTGATTCAGAGACGTGTGATTCAGAGACGTGTGATTCAGAGACGTGTGATTCAGAGACGTGTGATTCAGAGACGTGTGATTCAGAGACGTGTGATTCAGAGACGTGTGATTCAGAGACGTGTGATTCAGAGACGTGTGATTCAGAGACGTGTGATTCAGAGACGTGTGATTCAGAGACGTGTGATTCAGAGACGTGTGATTCAGAGACGTGTGATTCAGAGACGTGTGATTCAGAGGCGCGTGATTCAGAGGCGCGTGATTCAGAGGCGCGTGATTCAGAGGCGCGTGATTCAGAGGCGTGTGATTCAGAGGCGTGTGATTCAGAGGCGCGTGATTCAGAGACGCGTGATTCAGAGACGCGTGATTCAGAGACGCGTGATTCAGAGACGCGTGATTCAGAGACGCGTGATTCAGAGACGTGTGATTCAGAGACGTGTGATTCAGAGACGTGTGATTCAGAGACGTGTGATTCAGAGACGTGTGATTCAGAGACGTGTGATTCAGAGACGTGTGATTCAGAGACGTGTGATTCAGAGACGTGTGATTCAGAGACGTGTGATTCAGAGACGTGTGATTCAGAGACGTGTGATTCAGAGACGTGTGATTCAGAGACGTGTGATTCAGAGACGTGTGATTCAGAGACGTGTGATTCAGAGACGTGTGATTCAGAGACGTGTGATTCAGAGACGTGTGATTCAGAGACGTGTGATTCAGAGACGTGTGATTCAGAGACGTGTGATTCAGAGACGTGTGATTCAGAGACGTGTGATTCAGAGACGTGTGATTCAGAGACGTGTGATTCAGAGACGTGTGATTCAGAGACGTGTGATTCAGAGACGTGTGATTCAGAGACGTGTGATTCAGAGACGTGTGATTCAGAGACGTGTGATTCAGAGACGTGTGATTCAGAGACGTGTGATTCAGAGACGTGTGATTCAGAGACGTGTGATTCAGAGACGTGTGATTCAGAGACGTGTGATTCAGAGACGTGTGATTCAGAGACGCATGATTCAGAGACGCGTGATTCAGAGACGCGTGATTCAGAGACGCGTGATTCAGAGACGCGTGATTCAGAGACGCGTGATTCAGAGACGCGTGATTCAGAGACGCGTGATTCAGAGACGCGTGATTCAGAGACGCGTGATTCAGAGACGCGTGATTCAGAGACGCGTGATTCAGAGGCGCGTGATTCAGAGGCGCGTGATTCAGAGGCGCGTGATTCAGAGGCGTGTGATTCAGAGGCGCGTGATTCAGAGGCGCGTGATTCAGAGGCGCGTGATTCAGAGACGCGTGATTCAGAGACGCGTGATTCAGAGACGCGTGATTCAGAGACGCGTGATTCAGAGACGCGTGATTCAGAGACGCGTGATTCAGAGACGCGTGATTCAGAGGCGCGTGATTCAGAGACGCGTGATTCAGAGGCGCGTGATTCAGAGGCGTGTGATTCAGAGGCGTGTGATTCAGAGGCGTGTGATTCAGAAGCGCGTGATTCAGAGACGCGTGATTCAGAGACGCGTGATTCAGAGACGCGTGATTCAGAGACGCGTGATTCAGAGACGCGTGATTCAGAGACGCGTGATTCAGAGACGCGTGATTCAGAGACGCGTGATTCAGAGACGTGTGATTCAGAGACGTGTGATTCAGAGACGTGTGATTCAGAGGCGCGTGATTCAGAGACGCGTGATTCAGAGACGTGTGATTCAGAGACGTGTGATTCAGAGACGTGTGATTCAGAGACGTGTGATTCAGAGACGTGTGATTCAGAGACGTGTGATTCAGAGACGTGTGATTCAGAGACGTGTGATTCAGAGACGTGTGATTCAGAGACGTGTGATTCAGAGACGTGTGATTCAGAGACGTGTGATTCAGAGACGTGTGATTCAGAGACGTGTGATTCAGAGACGTGTGATTCAGAGACGTGTGATTCAGAGACGTGTGATTCAGAGACGTGTGATTCAGAGACGTGTGATTCAGAGACGTGTGATTCAGAGACGTGTGATTCAGAGACGTGTGATTCAGAGACGTGTGATTCAGAGACGTGTGATTCAGAGACGTGTGATTCAGAGACGTGTGATTCAGAGACGTGTGATTCAGAGACGTGTGATTCAGAGACGTGTGATTCAGAGACGTGTGATTCAGAGACGTGTGATTCAGAGGCGCGTGATTCAGAGACGCGTGATTCAGAGACGCGTGATTCAGAGACGCGTGATTCAGAGACGTGTGATTCAGAGACGTGTGATTCAGAGACGTGTGATTCAGAGACGTGTGATTCAGAGACGTGTGATTCAGAGACGTGTGATTCAGAGACGTGTGATTCAGAGACGTGTGATTCAGAGACGTGTGATTCGAGGCGTGTGATTCAGAGACGTGTGATTCGGAGGCGCGTGATTCAGAGGCGCGTGATTCAGAGACGCGTGATTCAGAGACGCGTGATTCAGAGGCGTGTGATTCAGAGACGTGAGATTCAGAGGCGTGTGATTCAGAGACGTGTGATTCAGAGACGTGTGATTCAGAGACGTGTGATTCAGAGACGTGTGATTCAGAGACGTGTGATTCAGAGACGTGTGATTCAGAGACGTGTGATTCAGAGACGTGTGATTCAGAGACGTGTGATTCAGAGACGTGTGATTCAGAGACGTGTGATTCAGAGACGTGTGATTCAGAGACGTGTGATTCAGAGACGTGTGATTCAGAGACGTGTGATTCAGAGACGTGTGATTCAGAGACGTGTGATTCAGAGACGTGTGATTCAGAGACGTGTGATTCAGAGACGTGTGATTCAGAGACGTGTGATTCAGAGACGTGTGATTCAGAGACGTGTGAATCAGAGGCGTGTGATTCAGAGACGTGTGATTCAGAGACGTGTGATTCAGAGACGTGTGATTCAGAGACGTGTGATTCAGAGACGTGTGATTCAGAGACGTGTGATTCAGAGACGTGTGATTCAGAGACGTGTGATTCAGAGACGTGTGATTCAGAGACGTGTGATTCAGAGACGTGTGATTCAGAGACGTGTGATTCAGAGACGTGTGATTCAGAGACGTGTGATTCAGAGACGTGTGATTCAGAGACGTGTGATTCAGAGACGTGTGATTCAGAGACGTGTGATTCAGAGACGTGTGATTCAGAGACGTGTGATTCAGAGACGTGTGATTCAGAGACGTGTGATTCAGAGACGGGTGATACGTATGGAGCATGGATGCCATTCATTGCTGCTCCTTGCGGGCCCAACCCTTGGTGCAGGTGCGGGTGCAGGAGCGGGTGCAGGTGCGGGTACAGGTGGAGGGTGGCGCGCGCAGAGAAAAGTGAGGGAGTGTTGGTACGCACTGCATTCACAAGAAGAGACGCCACGGGCCGACGCAGCACCTGCAGTAGTAGCACACAGCTCACAGCATGCAGCATGCAGCATGCAGCACACAGCACACAGCACACAGCACACAGCATGCAGCATGCAGCACACAGCACACAGCACACAGCATGCAGCATGCAGCACACAGCACACAGCACACAGCATGCAGCACACAGCATGCAGCACACAGCACACAGCACACAGCATGCAGCACACAGCACACAGCATGCAGCACACAGCACACAGCACACAGCATGCAGCACACAGCACACAGCACACAGCATGCAGCACACAGCACACAGCATGCAGCACACAGCACACAGCAGGCAGCACACAGCAGGCAGCACACAGCACACAGCACACAGCATGCGGCACAGAAAAGGGTAGAGTTTAGCAAACGGAGAGGAGAGGGCGGGTGTCGAGTGGAGGGATGAGTGGAGCAACCAGAAGCAGAAATGCTGGCAGCACACATAGCAGCGACAAGACTGAGGCGGCAGCGAGGAGACTGAGGCGGCAGCGAGGAGACTGAGGCGGCACTGACATAGAGGGCGCCTTTGACAGCAGCGAGGCGGCAGAAGGCCTGGGCGAGCTCGCCCATGCCGTACAGCGCCACCATCATGCCCGCCTCCGCACCGTACCTGCCATGCCATGCCATGCCCCATGCCCATGCCCATGCCCATGCCCATGCCCATGCCCATGCCCATGCCCATGCCCATGCCCATGCCCATGCCCATGCCCATGCCATGCCATGCCATGCCATGCCAACGCACACATGCGCACGGGAGCAGAGCTGCACAAACAACCAATCAAAAAGGCTGCAGATGGAAGGGGCTGGCGCATGAAAGGGCATGGCGAATGCGGTGGTGGAGCTGCCCTGAGGGCCAGCATGCGGGTAACCACCGCCCCACACACACCCCTGTGCCGTGCCAGCACAATGCACCCAGCACCCAGCAGGCAGCACCCAGCACCCACCGGCCGACGGAGTTGAGGAAGAGCGCCATGTGAGCCAGCCCCTCCGCCGCTATCACCATGCCCCCCCGCATCCCCTCCCCTCCTCCGCCTCCTCCCCCTCCTCCCCCTCCTCCCCCTCCTCCCCCTCCTCCCCCTCCTCCCCCTCCTCCCCCTCCTCCCCCTCCTCCCCCTCCTCCCCCTCCTCCCCCTCCTCCCCCTCCTCCCCCTCCTCCCCCTCCTCCCCCTCCTCCCCCTCCTCCCCCTCCTCCCCCTCCTCCCCCTCCTCCCCCGCTGCAGCTGCTGCTGCTGCTGCTGCTGCTGCTGCCACTGCTGGCACTGTTGGCAGCGGTGGCAACAGTGTCAGGGGGTGTGGGGTGCTGGTTGCATGGCAGCAGGGCGATGGCGTACAGAATGAAGCTGGGCGGGCACAGGGGCGCCGGCGGGCCGGTTGGGGGGGGAGGGGGGGAGTGGGGGGTGAGAGAGGTTGGACGCATGAGTGGTGGATGAGCAATGGGGGCGAGGGGGGGGATAGAAGCATGGCGGGTTGAGAGGGCGGTGGAGGATGGAGGACACACCACCAGAGCACACAGGTGGCGTGGCGTGGCGTGGGTGTGTGAGAGCAGGGGCAGGGGAGAGCAAGCGTGAAAGCAAGCAGTGTGGACCACAGGGCCATGGGCTGCATGTACGCCCGGTGCTGTATCTCACTCTTGCACGCGTGCTGGCAGCCCGTGTGCCTCCAGCAGCGCAGTGAACGTCCCCTCCCCCTCCCCCTCCCCCTCCCCCTCGCTGCCGCTCGCCGCCTTCCCCTCCTCCTTCGCCTCCGCCCCCACCTCATCCCCGCCTTCCCTCGCACCACCACCTCCAGCAGTGGCAGCAGCGGGGGCAGGGGGGCGAGGGGGAGCGGAAAGGGGGGAGGCGGAGTGGAAGAAGCGCATGAGGCGGCGCTTGTCCGCCAGGGGCAGCTGCCGGTCCTGAAACACGTCGCCCCGACTCGTCGGCACCCGCACCAGCCCCCCTTCCCCCCCACCGCCCTGCCCCTGCGCGCCACTCTCCCCCCGCGCCTTCCCGTCCCCCCCCCGCTGCCAGCAGAGCAGGGCCTGCACGGCCTTGAACTCCACGTAGTGATGCGCGCCGGAGCGCACCAGCACGCGCACCACGTCCTCGCCGCACATCACCACGCGCGGCCCCGCCAGCTCCACCGCATAGCGCCGCGCCTCCCCCAGCTCCACCGGCAGGCGCGCCGGGTGGAAGGGCTCGTGGGAGGCGCGTGGCAGCCACGTGGCAGTGGACACGCGTGAGTAGAGCGCGCCGTCCTCCGACGACCCCAGCGCCACCGCCCTCACCTCCCCCTCCCGCACGCGCTCCTCCAGTGACACCTCGTCCGCCCCTGCCCCTGCCCCTACCCCTGCCCCTGCCCCTGCCCCTGCCCCTGCGTCTGTGCCTGCGCCCGCAACTGCATCTGGCCTCCCCGCCGCGCCCGCGTCTGAGTCCCCGTTCGTGCGCGCGCGATCTTCAGTTGCGCCCACGCCTTCGCTATCCCCCTCCTGCCTCCCCTCGGCACCCCCCTCCCCGTCTCTCTGTCCTGTCCCCGCGTCGCCGCTCAGCACTCCCCCGTCCCCCTCCCCGCTTTCTCCAGGGGCTCTCCGCGCATCCTCCCCGCGCTCCTCCTCGTCGTCCGCAAACCCGTTGGTCTGCGTGTCCTCGTTCTCCCCCGGAGGCGGAATGCGCCCGCCGCTCGCCGCCCACTGCGCGAGCTGGTCGAGCGGCAGCGATGCCCAGTGCGACCCGTAGAAGTCAGCGCAGTCCACGTGCAGCACGCGCCGCCCCGCCAGAGACAGCGCCGCCGCCAGCAGCGACTCGGGCAGGCCCGTGCCCACGACGATCGCGTCGAACGACGTCGGCTCGATGCGACGCTCGCGACGCATGGCGCTGCGATGGGCGGAACAGTGGCGAAGGACTGTCACACGACGAGCGGTGATTTGACTGTTGAAAGGGGGTTCCTTTCTGCGCTGTTCTAGGGAAAGCACGCTCAAATTTCATGCGGAGTGGGGCTGGAAATGGCGATTGATGTGAACACATAATCCGTTATGGTAAAATTCGAGAACAAGTTGGGGACGTAGTTGCACAGTGCGTGAATTACAAACAAGGACACAGATTGCACCCCGCACTCCAGTGTGACTGGTGGCTCCGTGGTTCGTGGAGCGGAAAGGCGCTGCTGTCTCGTCGCACCACCTCCATCGCCGCACCTCGCCCCGCACTCCCATCGCCCTGCATGGCCATCCGTCAGACTCCCTTTCTTCCTGCCGTCGCGCAATCGCCATCTCCGTCGCTCAGCAGTCGTCGATCGTCCGGGCGACAAACTGTCGCGTCGTTGGCGGTCGATAAGGCCACGGCCGCGCGCCTCACGCAGTCCCTGGGCTGCGCGCGCCCCGCGCTTCTCCTCCTGCTCGCCGCGGTAATCGGCGCGCTGCTGCTGCCCGTCCGCGGCCCCCACCTAGGCGGCTTCATCTTTGCGCCGCAATCGAGCGCCGCGAATGACGACCCACACGAGGCGCTGCTCGCCTCAGCGTTGGCGGAGCTGAGGCGGGCGCGCGAGGAGGGGCGGGCGGAAGAGGTGGTGGCGGCGCAGGAGGAGGTGTTGGCGCGGCAGCAGGTGCTGCTGCGGCGGTACTGGCGGCAGCTGATGAGACTCACGGGGCAGCGCGGCGGGAAGGTGTCTCAGCAAACAGTGGGAGGGGGCCCAGGCGTGGGGGCTGGAGAACAGGGGAAGGCGGAGCTGGGGGGAGGGGAGTTCGTGGGGACGCGGCATGAGGGGTGCGGCGGCGGGGAGTCAGTGCCGCGCGAGCAAGCGGTGGCGGAGGCGGCGATGCTGGAGTGGCGGCCGCAGGAGGACTCGTATCTGCTGGCGGCGTGCGTGTACGGGCGGATGACCAACCGCCTGCTGTGTCTGCGCAACTACATTCTCGCCGCCACGCTGCTGCGCCGCACGCTCATCGTGCCCGCGGAGGACCTCTACCGCCCCGCGCGCCGCTGGAACTCGCCACTCGACGCGCCTCTCAGCCTAGATGTTGTCTTCAACGCGTCGCACCTCAACGCCTGCCTCGGCCGCCGCGTCGCCGTCACGCTGCGCGACTACCTGCGCGCCGCCAACGCCACGCGCCTCGACGTCGACCGCTTCGTCTGCTGGGCGGACCGCTGCGCCTTCCAGCGCGGCCGCCCGTCCCACCCCGCCATCCGCTTCGCGTCGCGACGCCAGGCGGGGCTGGAGACGAACGTCACGCGCCGCACCTTCACGGACGCGTACGGCGACGTGGGCGGGCGCGTGCTGTGCCTGGGCGATCTGTACGAGTCGCACGCGCGCTTCCTCGACCCGCCGCCCGGCTTCACCTCCAGCCTCGCCACCGCCTGGACCATGCCCCACCGCGCGCCGCCCCCTGCCGTCGCGGGCGCGCGCGATGCTGTCCGGGGGCTGGCAGGCGGAGGGGGGCCGCAGTTAGGGGCGGCAGGGATTGGCATGGAGCAGCGGTGCCGGTCGCTGCTGTGGCCGTGCGATGCGGTGGTGCATGCAGCAGAGGGCTTCGTGCGCGAGGTGACTGGAGGGGCGTTTGCAGCGCTGCACCTGAGGCGAGATGACATGTTCCGACACTGCGTGGGGCAGGGCAAGTGTCCTTACTGGGCGCAAAGGCAGGCAGGAGAGTGCGTGCGGGAGAAGCTGCTGGGAGGGGCGTTTGACGCCGCCAGTGCCCAGCATGCACGGCACGCGGGAGGGGCGGCGTGGGCAGGGCGAGGGGCCATGGGCGCAGTTCCCGGGCGGCCATTGGTGTTCCTGGCGTCAGACACTTCAGACTCGGACCTCGCTGTGTTCCTCTCCGCCCTGCAAGGCATGCCCCTGCTGCCACACGCTAACACCACCACTGCCTCTGCCTCTGCCTCTGCCTCTGCCAGCACTGGCAGCAGTTTGACCTCGCCCACACCAGCATCGCTAGCTGGCATGGATTCACCCGAGGCAGTGACGGTGGTTCGGTTGCCGAGCCTGGAGGGCAAGATGTGGGCGGAGAGGTTGAACAGAGAGGGGCTGGCAGGGGACGCGGTGGCGGTGGCAGCGGTGGAGAAGGTGGTGTGCGCCCTGAGCCGCCTGTTCCTCACCACACCGGGCTCCACCTTCTCCCACCACATCATGCACCTCCGCCTCGCCCTCCACACCGCCTCCTGCCATGACGGTGGGTTGTGCCGCGGCCTTGCAGACCCTGAGGTCGTGTGACCTGACTCACCCCACATGGGCTCACTGACACGTGGCCTCTACCCTGGTGGCCTCATCGTGCTGCTGTGCGGACCTGGAGCAGTATTTGTCGATGTGGCTTAGGCCGCTAGGCGCACTCTGTAATTATTCATTGTGCTGATAAGATGTAATACCGTATGTACAGGGCTTAAAGGACTGTGATGTGAAGGTCCATGTGCTAGTGAAAGATGGGTACCCCCGGAACATGCTCTCCATACGAGTGCTTTTGCACTGCCTGCTATTGGTACCACAGGCAGCTGCTTGCATCCCTCCATCCTGTCACCGCCTCTATCCATAATCGCTCCCAATCCACGCCGCAGCCACACTTACACGCCTCACAGTGCCTCCTCCTCATCGCCAATTCCCTCTGCACCTCGCTCCTTCACCCTCACCCCTGCCTCTGCCTCCTCGTTGCCCCCCTGCGAGCCCAGCAGCAGCGGGGGCAGCAGCAGCACGAGCAGGAGGGGCAGGTACGCAGCGAGGAGAGGGGGTAGGAGGGCCGAACGGCCAGCAGCAGCGAGGGCGGTGGAGAGCAGGTGGAAGGCGGCAGCGAGGGGCAGCGCCAGCTGGAAGGGCGCCCCTCTGCTGCCCGCGTGCTGTCCCCCCATCCCGCTGAACCGCTTGCTGGCAGGAGCCGCTGTCACCATCACTGCCACCGCCCCCAGCTGTGGGGAGAGGGGTGCGGGTGGGGTGAGAAAGAGGAGTTAGGATGACATGGCGAAGTGGGGTGAGAAAGAGGAGTTAGGATGACATGGCGAAGTGGGGTGAGAAAGAGATGAAGAGGAGTGGGCTGTGGACAACTATCATGCATAAACGATTGCACCATGCATGCCTCACCACAGCATGCATGCCTCACCACAGCATGCATGCCTCACCACAGCATGCATGCCTCACCACAGCATGCATGCCTCACCACAGCATGCATGCCTCACCACAGCATGCATGCCTCACCACAGCATGCACGGCTCACCACAGCATGCACGGCTCACCACAGCATGCACGGCTCACCACAGCATACGCCACGCAGGAGGCACAGGAGGCATCGCGCAGCAGCAAGGCACTCTCCGCCTCCGCCACCCTCCTCCTCTGCTCCCCCACTCGCCTGCGCTGCTCCGCCACCGCGCGCTCATCCTTGCTTCCCCACCTCGGCCCCTTCTGGGGTGCCTGGCGCTGCAGCCATGCCAGCTGGGCGCGCAGGTGCCTGCTGCGCGCTGTGAGGAGGCGGCGAGGGAGAGAGGCGGGCGGCAGGGCGGCGTGGGAGGCGAGAGGGGAGGAGGAGGGCAGCGCAGAGGCCAGTGGCACGTCTAGTGACTCCAGCTGAGGGGGGGGAGAAAAAGGGGGGTAGGGGATGGGGGGAAGGGGCAGGGGCAGTGGACCTGTGGTGTACAATTCAAACCAGGAATGATACAGGCGAGAGGAGCAGCATATGGAAGTATTGAGTAGTTGGGTTTGTGGAGAGAGAGCAAGAGAGCAGGCAGGAGATGGTGACACATGGGTGTGCGGAGTAGCACACAGGTGAACACGGTGCACATGGTGATGGCATGGGCGCACACATGACGTCAGGGGTGAGTGATGGTGGCAGGCAGAGACAAGAGCACCTGCAGCAGAGACAAGAGCACCTGCAGCAGAGACAAGAGCACCTGCAGCAGAGACAAGAGCACCTGCAGCAGAGACAAGAGCACCTGCAGCAGAGACAAGAGCACCTGCAGCAGAGAGAAGAGCACCTGCAGCAGAGACAAGAGCACCTGCAGCAGAGAGAAGAGCACCTGCAGCAGAGACAAGAGCACCTGCAGCAGAGAGAAGAGCACCTGCAGCAGAGAGAAGAGCACCTGCAGCAGAGAGAAGAGCACCTGCAGCAGAGACAAGAGCACCTGCAGCAGAGACAAGAGCACCTGCAGCAGAGACAAGAGCACCTGCAGCAGAGACAAGAGCACCTGCAGCAGAGAGAAGAGCACCTGCAGCAGAGACAAGAGCACCTGCAGCAGAGAGAAGAGCACCTGCAGCAGAGACAAGAGCACCTGCAGCAGAGAGAAGAGCACCTGCAGCAGAGAGAAGAGCACCTGCAGCAGAGAGAAGAGCACCTGCAGCAGAGACAAGAGCACCTGCAGCAGAGACAAGAGCACCTGCAGCAGAGACAAGAGCACCTGCAGCAGAGACAAGAGCACCTGCAGCAGAGACAAGAGCACCTGCAGCAGAGACAAGAGCACCTGCAGCAGAGAGAAGAGCACCTGCAGCAGAGACAAGAGCACCTGCAGCAGAGAGAAGAGCACCTGCAGCAGAGAGAAGAGCACCTGCAGCAGAGAGAAGAGCACCTGCAGCAGAGACAAGAGCACCTGCAGCAGAGAGAAGAGCACCTGCAGCAGAGAGAAGAGCACCTGCAGCAGAGAGAAGAGCACCTGCAGCAGAGAGAAGAGCACCTGCAGCAGAGAGAAGAGCACCTGCAGCAGAGAGAAGAGCACCTGCAGCAGAGAGAAGAGCACCTGCAGCAGAGAGAAGAGCACCTGCAGCAGAGAGAAGAGCACCTGCAGCAGAGAGAAGAGCACCTGCAGCAGAGAGAAGAGCACCTGCAGCAGAGAGAAGAGCACCTGCAGCAGAGAGAAGAGCACCTGCAGCAGAGAGAAGAGCACCTGCAGCAGAGAGAAGAGCACCTGCAGCTGAGAGAAGAGCACCTGCAGCAGAGAGAAGAGCACCTGCAGCTGAGAGAAGAGCACCTGCAGCAGAGAGAAGAGCACCTGCAGCAGAGAGAAGAGCACCTGCAGCAGAGAGAAGAGCACCTGCAGCAGAGAGAAGAGCACCTGCAGCACACACAAGGAGGCCGCTGCTGCTGTGGGGCTGTGCGAGGCTGGTGCGGTGGAGAGCGGTTCAGCAGGTGGCTGGGGCGATGGTGGCGCCATGGTGTGTGTGGTGGGAGGCAGGCAGGTGTGTGTGGCGAGGGGCAGCAGGCAGCAGTTGAGGAGGCGCCATGTGCGCGAGTGTGCCTGCCACTCACACCGCTCCGCTGCCACCACCTGCTCACACCACACCACACGGCACACAGGGTAGGCTGTGACGGATGCTCGGGCCCGTGATCCACTCATGTCCAAGACAAGTCGTGTGTGACTCTGTAACCTACCAGTCATGCCATGGACCAAGGACAGATACACTGTGACACGGATAGACACCAAGGGGAAGAAGGAAGGACCTACTGCGTGCACGTGCCCTTGAGGTGCGAGGTGCAGCAGCATGACACGCCGCATGGCAGCACCCCCCACCTCCCCCGCATACCACACCCGCCACAGCCCCGCCCCCCCTCCCCCTCCCTCCCCCCCCTTGCCCGCTGCCGCCACTGCCCCCCCTGCACTGCCAGCGAGAGGAGAGGCAATGGCGGTGTGTGGAGAGGAGGGGTGAAGATGGGCGAGGAGGAGTGCGAGGGGGTCATGGTGGTGCTGTGCCTGGTTGGGAGAGAGGGGCGGGCACGGAGGTGTATGGAGAGAGGAGGGGAGAGGGGAGGGTGGGCAGGCGATGAGTGAGTGGGGCAGAGTGAGGTGAGGGCGCACGCTGTCACTGGTAGCAGCACTTGACATGCCATGCATGGCATGGCACTGCATGACACCACATCACACTGCATGGCATGACACTGCATGGCATGACACTGCATGGCAGTAGATACATACACATGCGCACCCTTTCCCCCCCCCATCACATACATGCGCACCCTTTCCCCCCCCCCATCACATACATGCGCACCATATCCCCCCCCCATCACATACATGCGCACCATATCCCCCCCCATCACATACATGCGCGCCATATTCCCCCCCATCACATACATGCGCACCATATCCCCCCCCATCACATACATGCGCACCATATCCCCCCCCATCACATACATGCGCACCATATTCGCGCAGCAAGACATGCTGCTGGGATGGCAGCGATGCCATGTCCGATGTCACCGCCGCCTCCACCATGCGCTGCGCCCTGCCATGCCATGCCCAGTGCCATGCCATGCCGTACGGTGCAGTGCACAAGAGTGAAATTTGATGGACGTTGGGGCAGAATGCAGCAGTGCAGACATGACATGACATGACATGACATGACATGACATGACATGACATGACATGACATGACATGACATGACATGACATGGCATGACATGACATGACATGGCATGACATGACATGAGATGACATGGCATGACATGACATGACATGACATGACATGACATGACATGACATGACATGACATGACATGACATGACATGACATGACATGACATGACATGACATGACATGACATGACATGACATGGCATGCTGTGGCAGACAGAGTGGAGTCACCTGCCCATGGCCCATGGCACCACGTGTTCATGGCATGCGAGCATGAGCACGCCTGCCCCCACGCCCACACACACTGGCGCGCGCATCAGCCTGCCCCACGCCACTCCCCCCGCCGCCATGCCCGCCAGCTCGCCCTGCGCCTGGGGGCACTCGGGGGGACATGGGGGCCATTCGGGGCGACAAGTTGGGATGAAAATGAGGGAGTCGGCCCCCTCCCACCTGCGGGCGACGCTGCAAAGGGAGGGGACGCGGAGTGGTGCAGGGATAGATGCAAGGGAATGGCGCAGATGTGGGCGCAAGGGGGGGGACGGGGCGCACCAGGAGGTGGGAGAAGGCGAAGAGGGAGGCGGCGAGGCAGGCGGGGGGGAGCGCGAGCGCGAGGAAGCGCGGGAGGTGGTGCAGCGCGACCAGCAGCGCCAGGCGGAGCGGCGCGCCCGTGTTGGCCGCCACGCGCGCCACCTCCGCCAGCGACCCCAGCGCCACGCCCACGCTCGCCGCCACGCCCGCCGCCACGGCGAAGGGGCGCGCCATGCTGCGCGCCAAGTACCCGTCCAGCACGCCCCACCGCCACCGCCGCCCCCGCATGTCCCACTTCCGCGCCAGTTGCGCCCACAGCTTCCGCCATTCGCGCGGGGCTTGCGGTGTCGAGGGCGGAGATGTGGCGGAAGGGACCGAATGGGCGGGGAGAGCGGCGAGCGGGCGAGGGAATGCGCGGGATGCGCGTGGCGCGAGCAGGCGGATTGTGAAGGACGGACGACTAAGGGAATGGCGGGAGGAGGGGGAGCTAATGCGGAGGGCGGGTGTAAAGCCGGGGGTAGAGGGGCGCGTGCGCGAGCGACGGACAGGCGAGGCGAGGCGGATGGCGATGGCGATGGCGGGAGGCGAAAGCGACCCCGCCATGCTACCAAAGTTGGCGCGGAGGAAAAGGCGAGGGGCGCTGTGTAGATTGATATCAGCACTATAGTGCATTCTGTTACGAGGACAAGTTGTTTATTCTAGGACACATACAACCATCTCTTATACAATGCATAAGTACATGCGAAACCCCAAGGAAATGGTAAGCCGTTCAGGTGCTGCATCCCTTGATTTTGAAAGGCGATCACGAGGGCAGGGAGCGCTTGGTCCTCTTCCTAACCACACTCTCCACGAGCTGCCTCACCTCCTCCTGCTGCTCTGCACTGCGACACGCCGCCAGCATCACCCGCACCGCCCCCGCATCCCAACGCACCCCCGCTGCCGCCATCTTCCTAAACACACTCGTGCACTTTCTCAGAAGCTTCTTCTCTGCGTATCCGCCCATGAGGGTGGTCCACGTGGCAGCATCAGGAGCCACGCCGCCCGCCCGCATGTCATCCATGAGCCGCTCAGCGCCCGCCATGTCAGCAGCATGCACGAGCACGGCCAGCACGGTGTTGTACGAGGTCACATGCCATGCCGCCCCCTCCCCCCCGTGCATGCGCACTAGCACTCGCTGCATGGCGGCCCTGTCCCCCGCGTGCCCATGCGCCCCCGCCAAGCAGTTGAGCATTGTCCTGTCCACCCGCCCCCGCGCCCTCCCTCCACCACCTCTCCCACTCCCTCTCCCACGTCTCCTCTCTTCCCCCGCATCGTCCCTCCCCTCCCCCTCCTGCGTGCGCCCCCTCTCCCCTTCCCCCCAGCCGCGCAGCAGCGCCAGGTGCGCCTGCACTTTCTCCGGCAGCCCTGCGCGCTCGTACGCACGCAGCACCTCGTGCTGCCACCGCACCGGGGGGGGTGTGCCTGCTGGCAACACTGACGCATACACCTCCTCCGCCTCTGAAAGAGGGGGGGGGGAATGGGTGAAACGAGGCGGGGAGTGGGTGGTGAGAAGGGAGGCAGGAGTGGGGCTGAGAGGAGGATGAGTGCAGGCATGACATGCGTTACATGACATGCGTTACATGACATGCGTTACATGACATGCGTTACATGACATGCGTTACATGACATGCGTTACATGACATGCGTTACATGACATGCGTTACATGACATGCGTTACATGACATGCGTTACATGACATGCGTTACATGACATGCGTTACATGACATGCGTTACATGACATGCGTTACATGACATGCGTTACATCACATTCACTCTCTGCTGCACGCCCACCACCACACTGCTTCCCTTTCCCTTTTCCCCACGCCATCCCCCACCCCATCCCTTCCCTTCCTCCCCTCCCTTCCTCGCCCTCCCCTCTCCTCATCCTCCCCCCTCCCCCCTCACCTGCCCACAGTCCCTGCCGTGCCAGGGAGGCGAGCAGCGGGGTGACACAAGAAGGCGGCGGGGCGGCACCGGTGGTGCGCTGCATGGCGTCCAGCACACCCCGTGCCCGCTGCACCTCGCCCGCCGTGCTGGGGGAGGGGCGGTTGGGGGGAAGATGGGGGAGGGTTAAGGGGCTAAGCGGCATGGTGGGGGGATGGGGTGAAGGGAGGAAAGAGGCTGTTGTAGCTTGCATTGAGAGCGGGCGACGGGCGTCACTCCACGAGTGCCTCGTGTGCCCTGCTGTCTGCACCCTCTCTGCATGTGCCCACACTGCACTGGACCTCGCCAGTGTCTCACCAGAGGGCGTGCAGGAGAGCAGTGGTGGCATGCACGTCAGGGCGCAGCCCCATGAGGGCGATGCTGTCGTATGCGCGCTGTGCCTCCCTCCACTGCCCCACGCGTGCATGCGCCGCTATCAGCGCCGTGAAGCATGGCAGCGTGGGCAGCACTGCTGCCCCGTGCAGCCCTGCAAGCACCTCCTCTGCCCGGTGGGGCAGGCCCGCCTGAAAGCAAGCAAGGCGGGAGACACGGTGGGAGGGAGAGGGAGAGTGAGCGGGTGTCATGTTGCGGGTGGCGGAGACAGTGAGAAACCAAGCAGCAGGGGTAACTGTGTCACCTCACCTTGCCATAGGCGTCACCTCACCTTGCCATAGGCGTGCATGAGCAGCGCATAGGAGGCGGCAGTGGGGCGCACGCCCTCCCCCCGCATGGCGCGCATGAGCCCCTCCGCGCCCTCAACGTCCCCCGCCCTCCCCCTCACCTCCAGCATCGTGTTGTACGTCACCAGACCTGCGGAAGGACGGATAGGGGTGGGGGGCCCAGGGGGCCCAAAGAGGCGATGAGGAGAGCATTCATGATGGGAACAGAGGGGGGTGGGGAGGGAGGGAGGGGAGGCTGCATGGCTGATTGAGTATTGCTGCGCTGCCCACCACTGGCCTGGCTGCTCCCGCTTCCCCTCAAACACGGCAACTGCAGTTCGCCGCCCACCCACTCACTGCGGCAACGGCAGCACTCACTGGGGCGGCAGCACTCACTGGGGCGGCAGCACTCACTGGGGCGGCAGCACTCACTAGGGCGGTAACCGCGGTTCAGCATCTCCTGAAAGAGCTCTTCAGCGGGCGGCAGCAGGCCCTGACGACACAGCCCGCCCAGCACCACGTTGAACGACGCCTCGCTGGGCACACACACGCCCACGCCCTCCTCCACCCACATCTCCACCTCCTCCCCCTCCTCCCCCTTTTCCTCCTCCTCTTCCTCCCATTCATCCCCCTCCTCCTCATCATCCCCCCTTCCCTGCGTCCGTCTGCCCTCCCATGCCCGCCCTCCCCATGCGCCCTCGCCTTTCCCCGCTGCACCTCTCTCACTTCCACTCGCTGCCTTCTCCTGTCCGCGCGGCTGTGGGAGGGAGAAGCGCACGCGCCCTTGCTGCATGAGGCGGAAGACGCGCAGAGCGGTGGGGGCGGCGCCAGAGCGCGCGTAGGCGTCCATCAGCAGGTTGTACCCCGACACGTCCGCGCGCCACCCCTCGCGCGCCACCACCCACTCGTACACCTGGGGGGAGGGGGGGGGGGAGAGAAATGGCGGAGAGAGGGGTTCAGAGAAGGGAAGGGGATGGGGGGCATGTTTTGGTGGACGGCAAGAAAGGTGAGGCGGGTGGAGGGGAGGGGTGGGGGCGTGTGTGGGGGGGACAGTTGAGAGACGAAACGGGGAGAGGGAAGGGTAGGGTCACCACCACATGCCGCCTTACATGCGCCACCACGTGCCACTCCTCCCTGCGCCGCAGCTCGCGCAGCACCGCCGCCACATCCTCCTCCGCGCCCTTCCGCCCTCCGCCTCCCCCTCCCCCCGCGCTAGCCGCCTCCAGTGCCGCCCATCTTTGTCGGCGGAGCTTCTGCTGGCGCAGCTGGCGCAGCAGCGCGGACGCGGACGGGCTCAGCACGGGCGGAAGCCGCACGGGGGGCTGGTCGCTGCGCCGCCACTTGCTGCCTGGGGGACGGGGTTTAGAGGATTGGGGGTTCTGGTTGAGAGTTGGGGGCATGGACAGAAGGGCAAGGGGTCATGGGCACGCGGGCATGGGCGTGGGTCCTCCTCCTGCGCCTCCTCCTTTCCACCATCGCACGCGCCCGTTGCACCGCGCTACCTCTCCCTCTACTGCAAACCACCCTCCCTTGCTTCTCTCCTTCCCCTCCCCTCCCCCATTGCGTCATTCCGTCTCAGCACTTCCGCGCCCCACCTGCTAGTGCCACCACAGGGGGGCCGCACCCTTGCCGTTGACTGCTGGAGCCGCGGAGAGCGATCGGCGGAGGTCCGCTGAGCGGCATTCCGGGGCGCAGGGCTTGGCGCTTGGGGGAGAGCAGTGAGCGGCGGGGCATAGGCGCAGCACTCAGCTTTCCGCGCAGGCCGCCATCATCTACGGGTGGCCATTTCAGGCGCCGAATGGTGGACTCTTGGGTGCTGTTCCGCGCGCCCGCGCCAGCATCCCAAAGAGCCTCGCGCCCGCCAAGTGCGCATGCGCGCAGGCGGGCGGAGGCCGACATGGGCGCGGAGGGTGAGAGAGACGAAGAGGAGCGGTGTCGGGAGAGAGATTAGGAAGTCTGGCACGTGCTGAGAGGTGGAGGCGAGGCGAGGCTGGTATGGTGCGGTTTGCAGGTGTGCGAGTCGTGCGATGATTATTGTTGGCAGAGTGGAGGCGGTTGCCAAGAGATATGCTGAGGCGTTGGACATACGGTACAAAATTGAGCTGATTCCGGTTGAGAGAGGTGCCTTGCACATCCATCCATCTCATTGCCAACAGGAGAATCCATTCTTTCTGTAAGCCATCTAAAGCACAAATAAGCCACCTACGCTCCTACAGCGGATTCAGCAGTCCTAGCTGGCAGCATGGCAACGCAATTAAATAATAACAGCAAGCGCTCGTCCCTGCCCCACCCGGGATAGCAATCCCATGTGCGATGCAGCTGCTGTGCCCGTCTCGCCTGCTCGCCTGCTGCCCATCCATGCCAGGATAGGAGTGCGAGGTGAGAGGCGTGCTTGTGAGGCCCGAAAGGGCCGTGCGAGCAGCAGGGGCGAGTGTGGGCGTGGTGACAGCATGGCACTGCCCACACACGGAGGCCTGTAAGTGGCACTGCCAGCCCGCAGCCACCGCAATGCGGGCTGCACACACATGGAGTGCTTGCAGCGGGCAGTGGTGGGAGAGGGGCGGGAGAGAAGCGTGGCAAGGGAGAGGGGGAGGGCAACACGAGGAGCGCGGTATGGTGCGCCAGCTGCAGCCCAAGTGAGAGCGGAGAATGGGGCGTGGGACAAACGGCAGTGCTGCCATGGCTGGCAGTGTGGGCGTGGCAGGGGGAGGGGGGGGCGCAGGTGGAGAGCAGCAGCAGCGTAGGGCAGCAGAGCGGCTGACGGGGACCTCTGGGCCTCTGACTGGGTGGCACCTGCACCAGTTGCCGCCTCTTCTTGAGGGACAGGGAGGGGCTGTGGTCTTTGCCAGATGCGAGTCTTACTGCCCCTTCCGCTGCCCCTCGCACTGCCGCTCGACCCCCTTGAATCCCTGCCATTCACCGTTCCTGATCTCACGCTGCCGCCCCTATCGCCCCCTCTTGCCCTCACTGCCACCTTCCCCTCTGCCTCTGCCTGCTGTGCTGCTGCAGTGCTGCTGCCCACGCCCCCCTGCTCTGCACCCTCAACCCTGCTGTTGCTCTCCCCGCCAATCCTCTCACCACCACCGCTGCTGCTCTCACCTTTACTCTCGCCACTACCTCTTGTGCTCTCACTGCTGCTGCTGCCATAAATCGCCCCATTGCCAGCCTGTCCCCCATTCACACCTCCCCCATCCGCCCTGCTGCCTCCCCCTGCTCCTCTTATCGCCCCTCCCCCTGTCCCACCCCCATCCACCCTCACCCGCCTGCCCCTCTCCTCGCGCTTGCTCAGCTTCCGCGCCTCTCCGCCGTGCGCGCCACACTTCTCACGCTTCTCCGCGGCGATGCGCTGGGCGTCGCGCCACAGCCCCACGGACTGCCACGCCAGGCTCGTCTGCTCGTAGCACCGCGCGTCCAGCGGGCCCCCCTCCGCCTCCATCAGGCGCAGCACGGCCTCCGCGCGGTGGGGCAGGCGCGCCTCACAGAAGCCCCAGATGAGCGTGCGGAACGTGAACGCGTTGGGGCGCACGCCCGCGCTCACCATGCGCTCATACACAGCCATGGCGGAGTCCATGCGCGCGCCCATGCTACAGTACGCGCCCATCACCGTCGTGTACGTCACCACGTTCGGCGCCAACCCGTGCTGCGCGCGCATCTCGTCCAGCAGCCGTTCCGCCGCGTCCCCCTGCCGTGCGCGCAGGTACCCCTTGACGAGCACGGAGAACGCCTCCACGTCTGGCGCCAGCCCCGCCGCCATCGCCTCCTGCAGCACGGCGCGCGCGCGGTCGGGGCGCGCGGCGGTGCTCCAGGCGTTCATGAGCGTGCAGTACGACGCCAGGTCGGGGGGCACGCCCGCTGCGCGCATCTTCTGCAGCACCTGCGGTGGGGGGTTGTGTGGGGGACGGAGGTGAGTGAGGGGAATGCAGGGAATGGTGGTGAGTGGAGTGTTGTGTGTGCGGGGAACATGGGTGGAAGTGAGGAGTGGCAAAATCCGCAACTCACAGCGCTCGGGATGCTGCGAGTTCTGAGATTTGTGGTTCATGTAGCATGCATCTGTTCTCGTCTCTTTGCTCCTTGCTTCTTTGCCCCGCCTCTCCTTTTTTCGCTCTCTGCTTGATCCTCCTCCCGCCAAATCCGTCTCTCCGCACGTTCTTACTGTTCTTTGCCCGTCTATGGCTAATCAAGCGCGCATGGCACATATCCGACAGTCGCCCGTTCCTTCTCCCCAGGCCAATTCCTTCTCCTCACGCCAAATCCTTTCCTCACGGCCGGTCCTTCTCATCAACCCCTCCTGCATCTCCGCCAACCGCCTCTCCAGTCGCCTTCCTCTCCCGATTCACCCACCCTCACCCGCTGTCACCCACATCTGCCTCACCCGCTGTCGCCCACGTCTGCCTCACCCGCTGTCGCCCACATCTGCCTCACCCGCTGTCGCCCACATCTGCCTCACCCGCTGTCGCCCACATCTGCCTCACCCGCTGTCGCCCACATCTGCCTCACCCGCTGTCGCCCACATCTGCCTCACCCGCTGTCGCCCACATCTGCCTCACCCGCTGTCGCCCACATCTGCCTCACCCGCTGTCGCCCACATCTGCCTCACCCGCTGTCGCCCACATCTGCCTCACCCGCTGTCGCCCACATCTGCCTCACCCGCTGTCGCCCACATCTGCCTCACCCGCTGTCGCCCACATCTGCCTCACCCGCTGTCGCCCACATCTGCCTCACCCGCTGTCGCCCACATCTGCCTCACCCGCTGTCGCCCACATCTGCCTCACCCGCTGTCGCCCACGTCTGCCTCACCCGCTGTCGCCCACATCTGCCTCACCCGCTGTCGCCCACATCTGCCTCACCCGCTGTCGCCCACATCTGCCTCACCCGCTGTCGCCCACGTCTGCCTCACCCGCTGTCGCCCACATCTGCCTCACCCGCTGTCGCCCACATCTGCCTCACCCGCTGTCGCCCACATCTGCCTCACCCGCTGTCGCCCACATCTGCCTCACCCGCTGTCGCCCACATCTGCCTCACCCGCTGTCGCCCACATCTGCCTCACCCGCTGTCGCCCACATCTGCCTCACCCGCTGTCGCCCACGTCTGCCTCACCCGCTGTCGCCCACATCTGCCTCACCCGCTGTCGCCCACATCTGCCTCACCCGCTGTCGCCCACATCTGCCTCACCCGCTGTCGCCCACATCTGCCTCACCCGCTGTCACCCGCCCCTCGAAGCCTTCCCTCCCTCTCCCACTTCACCCGCCGCACGGCACGGAGCTCACCTGCGCGGCGGGGAGCGGCTGGCCGGCCTGGCAATAGCCCTTCACGATGGTGTTGAAGATGGTGGCGTTGGGCGCCACGTCCCACTCACGCATGCGCTCCGCCACCACCTCCGCGTCCGCCATGCGCCCCACGTCGCACAGCGCGCGCACCATCATGCCGAACGTGCGCGCGTTGGGGCGCACGAGCGCGTTAACCATTTCGCGCAGCACGCGCTCGCAGTCATTGGGGCGCCCCAGCCGCCCGTACGCCTTCATCAGCGTGTTGTACGACACCGCGTCCGGCGCCACGCCCGCTGCGCGCATCTCGCGCAGCACCGCGCGCGCCTGCTCCACGTCCCCGCGCTCGCACCACGCGTTCAGCAACATGTTGTACGTCCGCAACTCGCCGCCCTTCCCCTCCTCCCTGCCCCTCCCCGTCCCCCGCTGCTTCTCCCGCGACCAGCTCCGCCCGCCTTTCCGCCGCCCCGCCGCTGCTCCCGCGCGTCCCACCATCATCTCCGCGACTTTCGCCGCGTCTTCCGGGCGCTTGGCGGCGCCGAAGCCTTTGATGAGCGTGTTGTAAGTGCTGGCCGTCGGCTCCCACCCGTTGAACCGCATGCGCCGCAGCACAGTCAGCGCCTCGTCCACGCGCGCGCGGGAGCAGAAGGCGTTCACCACGGCGTTGTAGCACACCGGGTCCGCCGCCACCCCCGCCGCCTCCATCTCCGCCAACACCGCTTCCGCCTTCTCTGGCTCCCCCAGCATCGCATGCGTCGCAATCACCTGCGAAAACGCCTCCAGCGGCGGGCGATGGCCGGCGCGCTGCAAACCATCGATCGCAGCGTGCATGCCGGCGACGTCAGCCGTCGCACGGCACGACGTGATGCGGTTCAGAGCGGTGGCAACTTCCGGGCACGGCAAGGGTCGCTTACCCTTCTCCTTGGCGGAGCAGTGCGCGCAGCGAGCGGCTGGCGGAGGGGCATCGCAGAGCCACGAGGGATGCGCGGAGCTGCCGCACTGCAGGCAGCGGAACTGGCGGGAATAGCAGACAGAAGGAGGATGGGGGGAGTGGCAAATATAGAGCCGCGGGCCAGCGACAGTGTGAGTTAGCTAGGTCGGGCGGACGCACGAGTGTGAGTGAGCGAGTGTGATGGATGAATTAAGCGTTTAGACAAGGGTTACATCAGTGGTCAGGAACACCCGTCACGGACCTTGGCGGATTGGCTGGGCGCGGAAACCGAGGGGGGCGGCGATGCATCGTCCGCCGCGCTGCTGCCGTCCAGCAGACTCGCGGCCCAGAGCTCCTCGCCATCGCTCCTCGCATCACCGTCGCTCCACGTGTCGACATCGCTTCTCGCGCCATCGTCGCTTCTCGCGCCGTCGTCCGACTCGAAGCCGTCTGGCAGCGATGGACGCGATGGCCGCGGCAGCGACGCATCGCGAGGTTGTCTCTTGAAGCGCGCCGATTCTTGGGCGAGCGGAGGCATGGCGGGCAGGGAGGTACGGCGGTCAGCGACGCACCAGTTGACGCACGCGATACAGCAGCATGGCAGCTGCGGATTGCAAATTCGTCAAGCCGTGGTCGCCGTGACCAAAAACAATAGCTTGCACTGGGGTGATTAGCAGTCAGTAGTGTGCCCTAATCAGCGACGGTTGTCATCAAACGAGTAGGAGTGTTCCGTTGCTTGCGACAGTATCGAGGGTGGCGGGTAGGACCTTCTCGAGGGGACAGCAGAGAAATTAAGTCGACGTGGCCGATGGGACACCTCATTTGCCTCTACACGTCGGACAAGTAATCAGCGAACAAATCAGCGTCGCTGAACGCCCAAGTTCCAGCGTGCGTGCACCACCAGGGAGCAGACAAGTGCGTAGAAAATCGAAACTCAAGCTACAGTCAGACTCTTTACGACGCTCAAACAAATTTGTAGTACAGTCAAATGTCAAGTAAATGCTAATTCCGCTTTCTGACTCCATCCATCGCTATCCATTGCAATCCATTATCGAAGGCGATAATCAGCAGACATTCTCGAGGTCATGGCTGCCCGCCACCTTCTCCCCCGCACACTCCGCCGAGTGCGCGGATTCCCCAACCCAGCGCTGTCACCAGCCTCCGCCGTTCCATCGCCGCTTCCGCCTCCCTCCGCATGCGCCGCCTCCGCCGATCGTACGATACACACGGCACTGTTTTCCGGATCACCTGCCACGCCTCCGCCCACTTTCTCCGCTAATGAAGCCACCGCGCATGGCGCACCCCTCCCGCATACTTCTCCCCGCGCGCACCCTCTTTCCGCCTTCTCGCAGCCTCTTCGATTCGTTCACGCCGCGACCACATTCGCCTCTTCCCCGCATTCCCCGGATGGGACGGTACCACCTGGCAGTACCACGTCAGCAGCCGCGGGCGACGGTTGGCGCGAAGCCACGACAACGGCACGCGAGTCGACGGTGGACGGGGGGGTGGCGGACGGCAAAGCAGGGGGCGGCGGAGCGAGATGGGCGCAGGCCCGTGCGCCAGAGTGGGAGGAGCGCGTGTATGCGCGCGGCGTTCGCGGATACAACAACGTGCTGCAGCACTTGGCGGACACTAACAGGTGCGCGGGTGGCGCGGACGGGGCGGAGACGGGGCGAGGGACGGGGGAGATGGGGTGGGTGCGAGGGGGGGGGATGGGGAGGGCGTGTGGAAGGAATAGCGAGGCTCCCTTACTTGGCATGGCACGGCATGCCATCGCACCTTCATGTCAACTCAACCCCTAGCTCCTCACCCGGCCCACCCAACCCCTTCAATACAACCACCTGCATGCCTGCCACGTGGCACCATCTGCATGACTGATGGGTGGCAGGGCGCACCTGCTGCGCGACGTGTGGAGCGACATGGGGATGGACGGCGTGGCGCCCGACCGCACGTCCTTCCACATCGCCACTGCCGCCGCCATGAAGGCCGGCCGCCTGCACGACGTGCTCTTCTTCTTCAATCAGATGAAGACACGTGGCATCGTGCCTGACGTAAGCACTGCGCGCTGCCTGCTTCCCCCTACCCCTTTTTCCCCCCTCTCTGTGCTCGGCGTGCGTGCACTCGTACAACCACCGCACACCTGTGCACCCTGCCACGCTCCCACGCCCCTTGCTTGTGCCCCATTACCTCTTTCTCCCATCCCCTCACCCTCCCTCCAATAACCCCATCACCATGCCCCACACCTGATGCCCTGCCTCATGCCCCATTCATGCCCCACATCCCATACCCCATGCCCCGTGCATGCCCCATGCCCCGCGCCCCACACGCCGTGCGTGCATCAGGTGGCGATGCACAACATGGTCATCAGCGCGTGTGCCATCTGCCTGCACGTCCACCATGCCTTCAAGGTGCCCACTGCCCTCCCCTGCACCCACTGCCCACCCCTGGTCTTGTGACATATTCTCAGCTGCACTGCCCACCCCTGCACCCACTGCCCACCCCTGCACCCACTGCCCTCTCCTGCACCTACCGCTCCAACCCCTGCACTGCAATGCCTGCAATGTCAAGCTGATTGCGAGGGATGGGCAACTACTGTGCTTCCAATCCACCATGCATTCCATACCTCTGCATTCACCATGCCTCCCCGCACGGCATGGCATGGCATGGCATGGCAAGGCAGGTGGCGGAGGGCATGAGGAGGGCGGGCGTGGAGTTCCATCAGCGCACGTACACCGCGCTGCTCAATGCCGCCGCCAACACCGGCCGCATCGCCCTCGCGTGAGTGAGCCCACCTACCCACACACCCATCGCGCACCCCCACTCCTCTCGCTGCCGCCGCTGCTGCTGCTCATATTCCCTGTCCTGCCCTGCCCTCTCCTACCGCGCCCTCTCCTACCGTGCCTGCACCCTCCTCCTCTCTCTCCCATTTTAACACTCCAAACTCCTCCCTGCCATCCCTGTCTCGCAACCTCCCTGCGTGCCGTGCTGCTGCCTTCCTCCATCCGTCCCTTCCCCACCGTGCGTGCATGTGAGGGAGGGAGCAGGGAGGCGGTGGTGAGGGAGATGGAGGCGGGGGGCAGGCAGCGCACACGCCTCACACTGGCGGCACTCATCACAGCCCACGCCAACCACCTCCCTCGCCTGCCCCGCTGCAAACCCAAGGTCCCACCCACCCGCTCCTGCTTGCTCTGCCACGCCACCTGCTCCGTGTAACGGCTGCAGCATATTCCCCCTCCCCCCGCGCATCTCCCTCTCATCCTTCCCCATGCACTTTCCTCTTGTCCACCATTCCCCCTCTCCCTCATTCATTGCTGCCACTGCATCCCGCCTCCCCCTTCCCTGTCGCAAGCCTTCTCTTTCCCCTCGCCTACCCCACGCCATCCCCCCCCCCCCTCCTCCTCATTTTCCTCGACCATCCCCCTCCCCCATCCCCCTCCCCTCCTCCCCCCCATCCCCCTCCCCCATCCCCCTCCCCCATCCCCCTCCCCCCCCCCCCCCATCCCCCTCCCCCATCCCCCCCCCATCCCCCTCCCCATCCCCCTCCCCATCCCCCTCCCCCATCCCCCTCCCCCATCCCCCTTCCCCATCCCCCTCCCCCATCCCCCTCCCCCATCCCCCTCCCCCATCTCCTCCCCCCAGGTGTTGGCGCTGCTGGATGAGGCGCGCGCCCTGCCCTCTCAGGAGCCGCCAGGGCATGGGGAAGGGGAGGGGGCAGACGAGGGGGGAGAGGAGGGTGGGGAGTTGGGGGAAGGGGGCGGCGAGGAAGGGGGGAAGGAGGGGGGTCACGCGGAGCTAGCAGGAGGAGGAGCAGCCATGCAGGGCGGCGGCACGGTGCAGGGCGGCACGGTGCAGGGCGGCACGTTGCAGGGCGGCAAGTTGCGGCATTACATGGCAGCGCTGACGGCTATGGAGACGCTCAGAGACCCACAGGTAAGGCAGGGGGTTGGGGAGGCAGGGGAGGGGGGGGTGGGGAGGGGAGGGGGAGGCAGAGGGGGGGAGAGGCAGGGGGGGAGTGGCAGGCAGGGGAAGGCGGGCGCAGGTGAGGGTGATGAGCAGGTGGGGGTGAGGAGCTCGACCAATGCGCTCGCTGTGACACTCCTTCCTCTCCCCTTGCCCCTCTCTCTCGGCCCATGCCTTGCCATGCCATGCCATGCCATGCCATGCCATGCCATGCCATGCCATGCCATGCCATGCCATGCAGGGGGCAGAGCAGGTGATGGCAGCAGCGAGGGAGGACGGCGTCACACCAAATGCACACATGCACCGCCGGCTCATCAGGTGGGTCAGCCAGCTCATCAGGTGGGTCAGCCAGCTCATCAGGTGGGTGGCATGCACCGTTACAGCACCACCTGCACCCCTCCACGTCTGTATTTCTCTTCCCTGCCACTCTGCTCGCCGCACCCACTGCCATCCTCCCACCATCGTCCCGCCTCCCCCCTTAACCCTTCCCCTTACCAGAGTGTATGCGAGTGCGGGGCAGCTGGAGGCGGCGAGGGCGGTGTGGGATGCCTTTGTGGCTAGTGGGGGCTACCCGGGAAGAAGCCTCTTCCTGGTGGGTGGGGCATGCACACATGCACCCTTGTCACTGTCTTTGAATGAAACCCATGTCGCCCTTAACACTGCCAGAGGACCAGAGGTTTTCCTTTTGGTGCCCCTCCTTCCTCCTCACTTCCAGCCGCCCTCCACCCTCAAGTCTTTCTCACTCCCCCACCCCTTTCCCCGTGCCGCTGCGCATCTCCCCCTCCCCGCCCAAACCCCCCTCTCATCCCGCTGCTGCGCGTGTGATCACCGCATGGGCCGGCAGCACGTGGCAGAGGCAGCCATGGCGCAGGCCACGCAGGACAGCACCGCCATCGCACGGCTGTACATGGTCCGGGGGGGGGGGGGGGGGGGGGGGAGGGGAGATGGCAGGGCCTTGTACTGATTGGAGGGGTGTGCTGGTGAGAGGGTGTGCCGAGGGGAGGGCTTTTGAGGTGCCTCAAAAGTCGCAGGCCACGCATGACAGCACCGCCATCGCATGCCAATACATGGTCAGGGGGGCGTGCTCATGGTCAGGGCACTGTGCTGGTGGGAGGGCGGTCTGCTTGCCACTTCCACTGCTGCTGCTGCTGTTTTTGCTATCACCATTGCACACTGTACCACCTGCCGCCGTGCCTTTCACCTGAAACCCTTCACACGTCCGTTCATGTGCTAATGTTCTCTCCTCATCGCACGTGTGCTCGCCCCTCCACTGCACCGCATCCCCCACACCAGGAGGAGTTCTTCGCAGCGGGCTACTTCCTCAATCCTGCCACGGGCGCCCGCCTGCTCAAACTCGCCTCCATCTTCGCCCGCAAGGTGCTGCTCCCACCCTCCGCTTGCTCACCCCCCGCTTGCTCTCACCCCCCGCTTGCTCTCACCCTCCGCTTGCTCTCACCCCCCGCTCGCTCTCAACCCCCCGCTTGCTCTCACCCCCCGCTTGCTCTCACCCCCCGCTTGCTCTCACCCCCCGCTTGCTCTCACCCCCCGCTTGCTCTCACCCCCCGCTTGTTCTCACCCTCCACTTGCTCTCACCCCCTACTTGCTCTCACCCCCTACTTGCTCTCGCTCCCCACTTAACCCCTTACCTCTAACCACACTGTGCAAATCCCCCCCCCCCTCACCTGGCCCTGCACCCTCCCCCACCCATTGCCCTCCGCAGAGTGGCGACCCATCATGTGCGTCGCTCATATTCGACCGCTACACAGCAGCCATGAGGGACGTGGACCCGGACGCACTCTGTGTCTTTGCCTCCGCGCTGCTCGATCTGGGAGTGCCGCGCACAGACGCGCGTGTGCACCGCGCTCACAGCCTGGCGGCACAGCGCCGTGCCGTGCGCCTGCATGCCAAGGCTCGCGCCGGTGTCTGGCACGGCGCTCTTCCGCCGCCCTCGTAGGCGCCGGGCGGGTTCGGGTGGAAACTAGTGCAGGTGGTGACTGACTGCCTGGGACTGGTTTAGGCTGGTGAAGTGAATGTGTACAACAGTGCAAGGCAGCATTCTCTGTAAACCTTAGTTGTTGGAAGGGAGAAAGGTACCAGTAGCTTTTTCTTAACCTTTCCAACAATATCATTTTTGCTCATTGGCAAACAGAGACAGTGTGGCAATTAGGTTGATGAAGGGTGTGTGAGAGTCCACAGCAACAGCAGCAGTGCAAGGCGACTTGTACCGGAGATGGTGCAAGAAAACCAGGTGCAACAATATGCTGTCCTGCCCATGGTACCACGTAAGGTACCCGTTGCAATAGTCATCAACACACTGAGATCAGTTGATCTCTCTGCTACCAACCAACACACCCCTGTTGCCCACCTCCCTGCCATGCCACCTCCAGCTTAGCCCAGCTGCACAGACACCACTGTGAGCTTAAATAATATCATTGGTCTGATATATAATAATTAGCAGACGAGCACCCCTGCCAGTCCAGCCTTGGGATCGGCTAAACATGGCTGGCAGAGCTGCAATCACGTGGACCTAGATAAACTAAAAGACAAGGGAGAGGGGAGGGAGGGTGCTTGCACGGCTCCTCATGGACGCTCCTGCAACAAGGCGTCTATGGCGGGTGGGCAATGGCCCGGGTGCATACATGGGAGATACGGCATGCTATCGCTGTCGGAGCACACGGCTCCCACGCGCATGCCTTGTGGAACTGGGTGGGCGGGGCAGCAGCGGGCGGATTAGATTTCTTGGCCAAAGTCAACGAAGGGGCGGCCAGTGTCGATGACTTTGCGCTTGGCCACCGTGTTGATCAGCGCGATCATGGACGTCACGCCCGCTGCACGCACACACACGTCGCATGTCACGCACACGGGGGAGAATTGAGTTCCAATTGCCACTATTAGAGCGTTGTCACGCTCAACGCGGGAGTTTCTTCACAAGCTGCCATAAGGAAGCTCGTGAGTTCGGTTTAGTATGATTTTGTATGTTTCCATGCGGTAATCAACAGTTTCGTGGGTCCTAAAATGCAGGAAAAACGAATCGCCGTACCCCAGCAGACGCAGAACACGCGAGAGTTCGCCCTAACTTCTTCTTCCCCTCTGACCCTTGCCCTCACCTCGTCGCACATGATTCACAACACTCCGCACCACCACCGCGCCATCGCCCTTCATATCCACTACTGCGTCGCGCCGCACGGCTCATCTCGCATACAGCAACCCCACGCGCATACTCACACCGTTTCCGTTCCTTTTCTTTTCGCAAGATCATTATTCAAGGAGAGAACGCGGTGGCAGCGGAGGGCTAACCTGAGATGGCGGTGAAGACGCCGACCCAGCCTCCGGCGGTGGTCCACTTTTTGTTGGAGGGCGTGAAGTTGGCGATGACGAGCAGCACGAAGGTGACTTCGAGCAGGAAGAAGGTGATGCAGACGGTCTTGGGCATGAGCAGCGTGGCGAGGAACATGTACGTGTTGAAAATCATGAACCCTGACAGGTACCACCCCAGCGCGCTCGCCACGATCTCCTCGGGGACCTGGAAGGGGGGAAGGGGAGGCGTGGGGGGCGGGAGGCGTTGGGGGGAAGCGGGAGAGTTGATGCGCGGATGGAGGTGCGAACGGCGGAATGGCGGACTAAGGATGAGCAGGTTGGGGTGCTGGGAAGACAAGGATGCGACGGTTCGAGGGCGACTTGGAAAGGCGCGCGGGACGGGTGCCGCATGAGCAAAGCGCAGATCGAGAGTAGAAGCGGAGGGGGACCCGAAGAATTGGAATTTAATACAAAGAACACCGAAGCGGTGAGACTTGAAGCGGAGGGAGCGAGGCGGCGAGAGCGAGGGGGCTGACCCAGCCGAGGCGTTCGAGGAGAATGAAGGTGGCGAGGCCCATCCAAAAGCAGCCGAAGGACGTGAAGGCCGTGCACGCGAACACGTTGTCGTGTTTGAACTCCCACATGCCCGCCAGGATCTGCCCCACGCCGCCGTAGAACAGCGCCAGCCCTATCCACACGTGGTTCGGCGCCCACCCTGCCGCGCACCGCCGGGTTGCGGAACAGGAAAAGCGAGGGTTAGCGCGGGTGGCGGCGACAGTGTGATTTTCCACGGTGAGTTGCTGCGCGGCTAGTCGCGAATGAAAACGGACGGGGAGCACGGGGATGCATCACGACGGTGGGAGGTGCGTACCTGCGTTGTGGGCTGATAGAACGAAGGTGGTGAGCGCGAAGGATGCGAGGCCCAGTGGAGCCGGGTTGGCGATCTTCTCCGCCTCAATGAGCGCTCTGTACCCACACGACTCTGCCATTGCGTGCTGCGTGATGTGTGCTTTGTGATCAACGACTGGGCGTGATCTGTTAAACCTGCTGTGGTTACAAGGTCTGTTTTGCAGAACTATGAATTTGGTAACTCCTGGGAAAAGAGCGAGTCTCAACCGAGATTGTGCGTGTTAGGATTGGGTGACTGAGGAATGCAAAGAGCGAAGTGTGTTGAAAGTTGAGAGACAGAAAATGCGTCGAGTGCCTTCCACAGTTCAATTAGCAGCCGCACTCGCCCCTTCTTCATCTATCGCCTTCCCGTACCACCCCGCCTCCGTTGCCTCCGCGAGCTCCGCACGATTCGCGCTCTTCTGACTCCCCGCGTGTGTAGCGATGGCGCGTAACCGAACCGAGCCTGACACGTTTGGACCAAGTTCTGGGGGTTTGGTCCAGCGCAGCAGGTCGGTTGGTGAGCTCGTCGTGTCAGCAACAGATATTCCATCTGTTGTGCCAGCGCAACGTTTCATTACAGCTTTCTGTGCCTCTGGGGCCACTGATTTTTGTAGGCGCGCCGCCACATACAGGTGTCAGGGTCCACGTGCTCCTGTCTGCTTGACCCCCCCTATGAGCAGAGGTGAGGCTCACCTACCTCGCGCTTGATGCGTCAAATAAGTCAACCCAATCACATCAGCGCATCTTGCTCACATTGAACCATCAGCTGCCGTTGTTGCGCTGTCAATCCTTAGCTGGACTCTCACGTGGCAACTTTTCGCATGCGCTGTCACGGGATTCGCGCGTGCAACATCTCACGTTGGAGAAACAGTTGTGGGTTCGGGTGTTCAAGCAAAAGCACGAACCGCGTTCCCTTCCGTCTAGCTGATTGGCTGAGCAGTGCGTCGTGGTTCGGACCAAACCGGATTAGCACGTAACCCTGAACCCTCCGCGTTTTGGCGGAGGATTGTTGGGGGGGAAGCCCGCTCGACCATGTTGCTTTCGTCCCTCCCGTCTTCGCCTTTATCTCTCTGCCTCATTCGTTCCTCTCCAAGTCAATTCGACAGCCTATCAATTCTTTCACCTTGCACTCAGGTCCCAACACAAGTTACAGACATATCCATCACTGTCAAACCAGTAGTCCAGCACGACTAAGTTTCGACTGTCACTTTTCTCACCAGCAATTCTTATCTCCTCGATAGACTATACTTAATAGCACCATGGGTCTGGAAGACGGCGCGCCCGACGAGATCCGCATCGCCAGCCAATGGAAGCCCACAGCCGACGGGCGGCCGCTGGGGCTGGCGGCGTTCGCGTGCACAACGTACATCATGTCCGCATACAACGCCGGTTCGTCCCACTCCTTTCCCTTGCGGGGCTTGCCCTTCCCTGCGTAACCATTCCGTCGCTCACGCTTGCTCACTTCCGCGGCCAAACCCTTGAAAGCCAGCGCTTCCTTCCCTTGGCCTGATGGCCCTGCTAGGTGTCCCTTCTCTCCAATCCCTTGCTCGCGACCGCCGCCTTGCCTTGCCCGCTCCAATGCTCACCGTTCCTCTCTCCCTTCCCTTTTCTCCCTTGCCACCGCAGGCTGGGCGCCCGACTTCATCTGGATCGGGGCGGCGCTCTTCTACGGCGGGCTGGGGCAGCTGTTAGCGGGGATGTGGCAGTTCAAGCGCAACTGCACGTTCACGGCCACCGCCTTCTCCACGTACGGCTGCTTCTGGATGTCGCTCGCCGTCTTCAAGATCCTCGAAATCTCCGAACTCGTGAGTCTCGCTAAACTCGTGAGTGCCGCCATGCCTAGTCGCGGCAGTTTTCCGTTTCGAAAATTCCCGCCACAATCGCTGCATGTTGCGTGCCTTTCCGAAACGCGCCGTGGAGAGCTCCTGACCTGATGAAACATTGACGCGATACAACGAAACAAACAAGAAAATGCTGATCTTCGGCGGCACTGACACAATCGTCCGCGCCGCAAGCACGCACAGACTTGAATAGGATGAGCCCCGCGAGCACGGAGCACGCGCATAGGATGAGTCATGCCCCCCGCGCAAGCAAGCACGCACGGAGCACGCGCATAGGATGAGCCATGCCCCCCGCGCAAGCAAGCACGCACGGAGCACGCGCTCCTCCACCCACCCTTCCGACCTCCTCTTCCCCCAACTCACTCTTCCCCGCTTCACGCCCTGCTCGCTGTGTCCGCTCCCCTACCCCCCCGGTGGCCTTGCGCAGCTACCCAAGGCGACGATGGCGGAGGTGGTGGAGGCGGTGGGGTGGTTCCTGCTGGCGTTCTTCCTGTTCAACACGTACGTGCTGGCGGCGTCGCTCATGATGTGCGTGGTGGAGGTCGTCGTCTTCTTCCTGCTCGAGCTCACGCTGCTCTGCCTCTTCGTCGGCCACCTCAAGGGACAGCCCGCCGGCCTCACCGCGTCCTGGACCATGGCGGGCGGCTACTTCGGCCTCTTCACCGCCATTGCCGGTGCGCGCCCCACCCGCCCTGCGCTTTCGTGCCTCCGCGCTGTGCTCCCCTGTGTCTGTCCCTGTCCTGAAACATGCTTCCCTTCATCTCCCTCCTGCGCATCCTTCTCTTGCGGTGTTTGACCCCTCTCATGCGTGTTTGACCCCTCTCATGCGTGTTTGACCCCTCTCATGCGTGTTTGACCCCTCTCATGCGTGTTTGACCCCTCTCATGCGTGTTTGACCCCTCTCATGCGTGTTTGACCCCTCTCATGCGTGTTTGACCCCTCTCATGCCTCACTCGTTTCTCTCACTGCTTGAAGCGGAACCATGGAAAGGCTGACTGCTCACAGCATCGCTCGAGACTGACCGTGCCATCCCTTGCTACCCCTTCCCCCCCTGCAGCGTGGTACTACTCGTTCGCGTGCCTGCTGAACTCGCTCATCAAGAAGCAAGTCATCCCCGTGGGGCCGCCACTCATCAAGTTCAACGTCGAATAAGCCCGCCAACCGCCCACTGCTCTACATTTTCTGCCATTCATGCGTGCCAGTCGCGGCTGGCCTGCACCCGTGCTTCTTTACTCGCACCAGTCAGAGCGCTTGAAAGCCGCTCTTTCCAATTGGTGCCCTTACCACCATGCCTAGGACGCCTGTGTATTTAGCATTATAATTACTATATAGATATGAGAACAATCCCTCCTTTCTGCCTGCTGGATGCAAAGGCAATCGCCTTCTCGCAATAATGCAAATATCATTTGAAAGCCCTGTGCCAAGATGTGTATGGCAACAGATGTGAAAGGGGAGAACCCAAGGAAGCCTTAGGGGTGTAGAACATGGAGCAGATGTTGTGCATAACATGGTGCGCAAGGTCATGTACCGTATGGCCCCGGATATAAGCGCCGTCCGATTAAAGGCGCCGGCGCTTCTATCTGGAGCATGGCGCTTATAGAGGATCCTCGATTAGAAGCGCACCCCTTTTCAGGTCTGAACTTATTATAAGCGCATGTGCAAAGTCTGTTATCTACTTATCAATCTAATTTCACAGAACATTACATTTTTTAAACAATTCCTAACAAGAGTTGTTTCACCCTATCAATTTCAAGGTTCATACACAACAGCCTACTCAGGTTGAACCAGCTACTCAAGTCCGACTACAGCCTAGCTACCTACTCCTCCTCGTCAGACTCGGGCTCCTGGCAGTTGTTGCCAAAGAAGCCGTCAGCGATGATGTCGTCATCGACATCGACTTCACGAGTCAGCTGGCTTCGCCTGTGCGCCATGGCAAGCGAGTCCTCGCTGCCGTCAAGAGCGTTGCTGATGCCACAGGTGAGAAAGGCGCGCTTGATGAGGTCCGCGGGCACTGCCTTCCATGCCCGCGAGATCCACTTCACTACCACCGCAGGAGGCGGCTTCTTGAGGTTCCCTGCACCAACAGGCAGAGACACATCACTCTCGTCAGTTTTAATAAACGGTTCACGAGAGCATGTCAAGGAACGACTGTAGTTCTTCTATGTAAGCTTACCTGCTGCTGTCAGTCGCTCTTGGCCTTCGTCTTCAAACCACTTCTGGTACTGCTGGCGGACGGAGGCCTTGAACGACTTGTTGATAGAGACGTCCAGCGGCTGAATCTCCGCCGTACAGCCTGCCGGGATCACCGCCGGCACGATGTTGAGCTCGGCGAACTTGTCCTTGACCCCTTGGGTGAGGTGACCGCGGTAGGAGTCGAGGACCACCATCGCGCTCCTTGCATGCCTGCCGAATCGAGGCCTGAGAAACGGTTGGACGCACTCCTCCAGCCATCGGATGACGCCTTCGGCGTCCATCCACCCGTTCTCGTGGCAGGCGACGACGACATCTGCACAATGATACACGGGCAGGGTGGTTAGCGACGATTTAGTAAAGCAACGAATCAACCCATTTAAAGTGCAATTTCTTACCGGGCGGGAAATCTCCCTTCGGCACTGTCTTGCGCTTGAAAAAAACCCATGGTTTGAGTTTCTCCCCATCCGCCGTGCACGCCAGCATCACGGTGACGCGCTCCTTCTGGTATCCCGCACTCCGGATGGGCACCGACCGCACGCCTGTCTGTTCCACGGTGGTGGTGGCGGGCATCTCCAGCCACAGCGGCGCCTGGTTCACCCTCTGGAAACACATCGGCCGCGGTGCCAGCCTCGGTTTCGGCCTCCGTGCCATCCTCGGCACCGTTGTCGCCCTCGGCACGACCTTCTTCCGCGGCGTCAGCCACATCGTCGTCGGCGCCGACGGCAGATTCGTCCCACGTGCATTCTTCGGGCGCGCCCCATCTTGGTGCAGGTGCCGGAGCCCGTACATACACGTCTGGACCCTTGTTATTGTCCGGTTCAGACAGGTACTCGTCGAAGGTGGACGGGAGCAAGAGCGTAAGCACGGGATGATTCCCAGGCGGTTGTGGGAACGCCTGATACGGAGGAGCAGGAGGAGCGGGAGGAGCGGGAGGAGCAGGTGGCGCAGGAGGAGCAGGTGGCGCAGGTTGAGCAGGAGGCTGTGGTGGCGATGGTGGTTCTGGTGGGATACGTGTGTACCATCCGTCAGCGTCAACTGTGTAAGCGGGCCTAGGTTTTTTCTTGAAAAGGAAATGAGTGCCTGTGAATTCCGCCATGGCTTCCGCAGCCAGGCGGGCGTGAACAAGAAAGTGAATGGGAAACGCAAAGCATGAATGAAGAAATGAACGATTGAAGAGGACCCCTTCAGGAAAGCGCCTCGGGGTCCTCATCAATGAAAGACGAAAATCACCCTGCATGAACTCGCAGAGGAGGGTTCATGGCACCAGACGTGCTGTGCTGGCAGGGCATATTCCACACCCTTCGAGAGGGTTCGGATGAGTTGTCCTGCCTGGCCGCGCATGACAACCCGATTGGGCCGCACGACAGCTTTTGTGTCAGCGCTGGCAGGTGCGCTGCACTGGGACGTGAAGTGTGCGGTGGGGAATCGAATCGCGGCGAATAGCGCGAGGATTCCATGCATGACCCCACGTGAACGGCACATCGTTGTGTTCGCCTTATTGCAAGCTTCATTTTGGTACCCTTACAAACAAATTTCATTTTTGCCATTATAAAGGCGCCGGCGCTTATGGCCGTTACTCGATTATAAGCGCACCAAAAAAAAATCAAGATTTTATTATAAGCGCATCTGCGCTACTATCCGGGGTATGACGGTACAGGTAGCCTCTTTACCCTCATGACCTGCCCTATGCATGACCTGCCCTCTGCATGACCTGCCCTCTGGATGGCCTGGAACGGTCACCACCAGGGACCAACAACACCCACGTGGCCCTGCTCCGAGCAGTGTGGGGTGAGAGGCATTCAGGAAAGAGTTGGGGAAAGAGTGGCAGGGGAATCTGCTGAAGTCCCACCTGCCAGTGACCCTTGCTAGCTCCAATTTCCAATGTGATGGAATCACCGTGGGCTGCTTACTCACAGGGGCGTGCTTGCGCATCCGTCATCCTTGGCAGGGGCATGTCATGGCAGGTGAGTGGCACATACAGTACCCGGTCTTGTTTACATTAGCCACCAAGGTACGGTGTATACCGGTATATGATTTCACATGCACATACCGTATGCTATGCACAACTGTGCACAACCCTACAGACGAAGGCTTGATCCCCAAGCAAACATTCGTACCCGTCAGAGACTACCGTATAATGCATAACTAGTGCCATTTTGAGCATCATCACTGCATCACGATTCACAACCCACTCAACAATCAATGGCTAGTGCATATGCACCAACAAACATCCTGTGGAACAAGAACCGTGGCCGTTGAATATTCTATGACCATGCATACTGTATGAACGCGGAAATAATAAGGGAGACACACATAGGATATTCATACGCCTCATCTCAGATGCGCCTCTTGTAGAACTTGTGTGGTTCAATGTCTCTCAATGCGATTAAAGGTGATTACTTGCTGTAAATAGTGGCACGATGCAAGTCTGACAAAAGGGTTCCCTGATAAGAGGCTGCAGGAACACGCCCAGACAAGGATTGTCTGTTGAGTGAGAGATAAGAGCCTCAATAGCAATACGTAGGGAATATGCTGCACAGAATGCAGGAAGTACAACCCCCACCTATTATCTTATAACGAGTCTCGGTACAATGTGGCACAATCAATCCTGGTTGTTCGTGGTCGTGGGTGCATGACTTGTACCGCGACGTCTGTTGGTTGCAGACACCTGACCTCCCACAGGGAGCCAACCAGAAATTCCCGTTGCTTGGATTTATTCGGCTATTGCCCACACCGAAGTCTATGAATGGACTCGGCATTTTGTGCCCCACGTCGTCGGACATAGAAAAACAATCGTTTGATAGCACCTGCGCTTTGGACGCTGCGGCGCATTTCAGGTTAGTTTTCCAGGGTGCAGGTGACGACAAATGCTGTAGAAGAAGCACACGTCGGTGTTTCTTGCTTCAGAAGAAAAGAAAGTTTCTCAGCGTGGTTTGTCTACCCACTTGCGTGTCACAAATGAGAATGATAATTTCTTTGGTAACTTCTGTTACAAGTTTAGGTATTTGAAGGATCGTAAACTTACACTGGCAATGTTTCGCATCTGCCCGCCACCTAGTCAATATGCTGCCGATGTGTTCGGTTGCATACAGAAGCTGCGATTTTACGCTGATTCATTGAGCCAATCGGGCTTTTCAACCAGGAGACTTGTGCCCGCACCGTGTTGGTTGGTTCCCCTTTTGCGAGAAGGCTTCCATGTCGCAGCGCAGGTCGCTCGCAATGCAACCTTCGCAAGGAACCACCATCAATCAAATGCAGAGAAGTGTAGAACAGAGCAGAAGTTGTTTCTGTTGCCGTTTTTTTCGTACTGTATCACAAGAAGCAGACACACCCCGCAAAAGTCGCACCGCCACCCGAGTCGCCCGCACAGCAATGCGAACCAATGGCGAGGAAGAGAAGAGAGCTGCCCATGGGTGAATCGGTCGGGGCTGCGCTCGCTTGTCCTGCTTCAAGCCCCCAACAAGGCCTTGGCCCACGTCACACCTTACTCCTTGCTCCATCCACCCACCACACTGGTTTTACTGTTCTGATGAGCAAGCCATTGCCATCACCCCAACCAAACCATCCCACTGTCTCATGTCATGCCTTGACTAATTCGGCGCCGTCTAGTTTCCGTAAGTGCAGATTCGATCGACGTGCTTCTGTTCTGCATGACTATCGATCAGTGCAGGTCGAACTAGTATTAGTTCTACGAGTATACGAGTACTAGTATAGCAATTTCCCCAGAGTACATTCTTCGATCTCGACCAATACCCTTAGTCTATCGACCTAGAATCCATGGCGGCGTTTAGCTGGGACTGGATAGACTCGTTGAAGCAGGCAGCCAGGGCCGAGCAAGTGCCGGCGGACTGGAATGCGCGGACGGCCCTCACGCCCGACGCTGCATGGCAAGCGGACGATCACCGACCACCCACTCGTCGCAAGACGGCGCATCCCGCCGCCCCCACATGCAGTCCCGCAGCAGCTTCCCAGGACTTGTGGCGCCCCGTCTCTTCCGCGCACGAGCCCTCCGCGCTCCCCAATCTCGAGCCCTCCACCAGACATCGCTCCCCCTCCCCCACCTCCATCCCCGCCTTCTACTCCCCACAATCCCAGCCGTCCGCGCAACCACCCTTCCCCCAACCATCTACGCCGGCCCACGTCTCACCGCCTACCCGCGCTCATTTTCCCACAGAGGGTACTGCTCCCAGCCTCCCATTGCGGAGACGCAGCGCATTAGCGCGCGGGGAGCGGGGCAACCCGGCGACGGAGGTGCTTCTGCAGGGGCTTCTGAGTTCCGCGCCTGTGAGCCGGCGGCTGGCGGCGCTGGGGCTCGTGCTGCTGCTCAACGGCGAGGGGCAGGGCGTGGCGGGCGCGCGGAAAGCAAGTGCAGCGGAGGAACCCGCGTCGGCGGAGGGGCCCGTGTCTCCGTGCAGCAGCGTCGGCAGCTGCGATTTGCCGGCTGATCACGAAGACGACACGGCTTGCACCTCCTCGCTCCGCGCCGACCTATGGGCCGCGCCCCAAGATTGCGCGACCGGCTCGGTCGCTGTCTCCCACGCGGCCGATCCAGTTGTCGGTTCGAAGCGGCGCCGCGTGGACAGCTTCGCGTCGCTTGCGACTGCGCATGACACGTGGCAGACAGCGCAGGAGGCGGGTGCGGAGGAGGGGCAGGATCAGGTGGTGGGGAGCGGGGCAGGGGAGGAGGAGCAGGGCGGGCAGACGGAGGAGTTTTGGCAGCAGCAGCGGCAGCAGCTGGTGGAGGCGATTCAGACGCTTCTGCAGGGATGCGCGCACCTGCAGCGCTCGTAGTGCGGGTCGAGTTGTCGTGATGTAACAAGGGTTGCAGCGGGTCTGAAGAGTGGGACGAGGCGCAATGCGCCAAGTTGTGAGCTCGCCGCTTCCCTTCCCTCTCCTCTCGGTAGAGGAACATGCAGCAGCCTGTTCATCCAAGCATCTCGCCATCCGCTCAAGCAACCACAATCTAAGCTTCCCCATCCCTCGCCACAAGCCAACATTGATCTAACCATTTCCTGTGGCGACGAGGTGGGGGGGGAGTAAAGTAGAAGGTGCCCACAGTGTTGCCTTGCCACAACATATGACTGTCTTGACGGCTTAGGACGTCCAGCTGTAATATGGCCAAGTGGTTTGTATGTAATTCATTTTTGCAATACTCAGAAGCACCAAGTTCGGCATCAGAGTTATTCTGTGTGGAGGAGCACTAGTACCTAAAAAGGCGTAGCCAAAGCACCCTAAATTGTTTTCCAGGCATAGAGTGCAATACCCAGGAGTCAAGTACCACCCTAAAAAATAGATTCTGCTTAAATCCCACCTAGAACACATAAGCTCTACAATAGGAGCAAATGGTACCATACGATACACAGTTTGCAGTCATGCAGCACTGCTGTGTGATCATGACTAGCGGGCCTCCATCCACCAGCATGATCTCACAACACACAACACCTGTTACCAACAGCGCCCCATCCCAAGTGTTTGTCCCTCCAGCACATGGCCCTTTTACCACACCACCAGCGCACGGCCCTAACGCACTGTCTCATGAGGCCCTGCCGTGCCACATCACGCCACGTCACGTTGGTCCGAGATAACGAGACCCGAGGCCCAGGTGGGGAAGAAGAAGGGGATGAAGCCGCGGAACAGCAGCAGCTTGGCAATGTTGCGCGGCTGCGGCATGGGCTGGATGAGCAGCTCATGTGTGCCGGGCTCCTCTGTCAGCACGCCCATCACCGTGATGGTCTGCCCGGCACGGATGTACCCCTTGCACACCATCAGCTGCGGCGACAGCGCCTTGCGCCGCTTCTTCCTCTCCTCCTCCGCGCTCGCGCCGCCCTCCCCGCCCACCGCGCCCCCCGCGGAAGGGGGAGAGTCCTCCGTGGAGAGCGGTACCTCGGTGGAGATGTGCACAAGGGGCGTGGCGACGCCGGTCTCGGCGGCGTGGAAGGCCTTGACGATGGCGCTCATGCCCGTCTGCCCGTCCGTGATCCGGAAGTCCACGGCGCGCGTCTGCCGCACGTGCTCCGTCCACGCGTCCGCCTTGCGCAGCCCCGGGTAGTACGACCGCAGGCTGCTCTCCACCAGCACCAGCCCCTGCGGATGCGCGCGCGCGGGCGAGTGGGGGTGCATGTGCGCGTGAGTCGGTTGGAAAACGAGCGCAAATTTCCAAATGGGAAGGGGAGGGGAACGAGCGGGGGAAAGGGGGGGCTGCAAAAGCGAGAGCAAGGCATGACTGGCTAGACGTTCTTATCAGCACGCCGGAGCTGAATCCTATACCCCTCCGCCTTGCGCAGCCCCGGTCAGTCCGGCCGCACGCTGCTCTCCACCAGCACCAGCCCCTGCTCCCGCCGCGTGCGCGCATGCGGGTATGGGTGGGTGTGCGCGTGCGTCGGTTAGAATGACGAGCGCCAAATAGAGACGGTTGAGGGGAGGAGGAGGGGCGGGTGGAAGCGGGGCGAAGTAGCAAGGGCATTGACCGGTTAGACGGTCTTAAGCTAAGGACACGCCGGAATTGGATTCCGCCGCCTAATATCGCGTACAAAACGGTACTCACGGGCACGTTGTGGAACTCGGTGGAGAGCAGCTCCTCGTGCAGCAGCGACACGGCGCCGCGCACCACCACGGTCTGCCCGCGCCCCAGCCGCCGCCCCAGCCGCGTCTTGCTCTTCGCGTGCAGGAACCGTTGGATCACGCGCCGCGGCCGCCCCGCCATGCGCACGTTGAACAGCAGCAGCGCCAGCCACCCGCCGCCGAGGAGCGCTATAACGAGGATGCGCTCCGTGCCCTCGAGCGAGAGCGCGAGCCAGAAGATGGCGACGAGCGCGGCGACATTGACGGCCGTGAACGCGAGCAGCGCGAGGGCCTGCGCGACGGGCATCTTGTGCGATTCGGACACCGTGCCGATGGGCACCTGCGGGTGATAACGGGCGGGAAACGCGGAGCCATGTGGACGGATGAGGGAAGATTAGATCTTGTTAGGCAACGAGAAAGCCATCCAGTCCGACCACATTTCGACGAACGGGTGGCGGAAGCGCGCGGATAAGCGCACCTGGACGCGGCCGCTTTCAGCGCTCATGTTGGAGCTGGTCCCCGCGAACGACTCCGGCGCCTTGCCCTGGCTCGCGCCGCCATTGCTGTCTACATCGCCCTCCGCGCGCGCCCATGAATCCCCTTGCGGTTTGCGGGCCGCTTCCACGCCTAGTTGCGCATACGAGGGCTTTCCAAAGTTAAACATGTCGGTTGCTGTAAGCGACCAATGTTGATGGATAATCGACGACCTGTAGATAATCCTCCAAGCCTAGTTCTATGGCTAATCGTGAGATGCGCCTAAAGAAATGTGGTGGTTGTGGTTGAGCACAGAGAAGTGGAGGTTCTTCTTGAGAGGCCATCGAGATTGACACCCTTGCGAGGCTACATGGTAACATTTACGGCTAATAAGGGTCGCAACTCCTGGCTGCGAAGTCAAATCTCCCGGGCTATGCGAACTCGCGAGGTTCTCTGACACTGGGAGGGGGCAGACAACACCAATTTTCCTCGAGATTTGCGGAAGACTAGGGGGTTGCGCAGGTGAGGTGATGCTGGCGCGGGCAGGTCCTTCCGCCATGCGCGCAGGTGGGAACGAGGGACGGAAAGCCGCTGCACTGAATTGATTTCAAATAATGTACACTTACGATGTCAAATCTTAAAGAAGGGTGTATGTGGAGAGCGACTTTGTGCTTGTACGGACGGTCTGTCACATATTTCGTTTGAAGCCATGCAGGCACTTCACGTTGGATCCTCACTTCGCTATCATTTCTGCTGCCCCGCGCTGAGCCTGGTTGGCTGGGGTTCTGCCACGCGCTGTGGTGGACAATTCGTGTGCTGCCCGTTACTGCAGAGTCCGTTCCGTTTCCCGCCACTCCACATCTCCGGCACACCACTCCCGCATTTGCATCCATTTCTTCCTCGAGTAAATTAGGGTTTCTGCGCGGCCACCTTCAACGACTTGGGTATTCTGGCCCAAGGACCCGTTAGTCATCGGCCCTCAGGAATCTTTTCACTAACTAATCAGCTATGTGCTACAAACTCACGGAAATAAGTGAGATTTGCTTCTTCGATCTGAAGCAATGCGTGAAATATTTGAAAGATTGGGTGGCTGACCCTTCACCAGCCAACCGTAAGCACAAATTCTGACGGAACGCACGGACAGAATGGAGAGAGACGCGCAGCCTCGTTTCCGGTCCCGTCAGTTCATGCCGGTGCCTATCGGCAATCCTGGGGACCTGCTGTACACATGCATTCTCAAGAACGCGTGGGGTGTGGAGGTGTCTCCCCTGCACGACGTGCCGCTCTTCTCCTCCTCCGCCAGTTTCCACTTCGTCTGCCTCTGTCCACGTGGTTCAACCTACGACATGGCCATTTCGTTAACCGAGCGTCTCAGCCCGTTAAAGTCTCGCCTCGTTAACAGAAACCTCTCGCGCCTGACAGAGCCATCCCCGTGGCACTTCGGCCTGCTGCCGCAGACCCTAGCGAACGAGGAATTTCCATCGGAAGTCGCCGGCTTGTCGAACGACAACCAGCCGCTCGATGCCATCGAATTAGGGTTCGGCGTGCGACAGGTGGGCGACGTGTACGAGGTGCGGCCCATCGGCGCGTTTGGGCTTGTCGACCCGGTAACCAGTGCGCTTTCGTGGAAGGTGCTGGTGGTGGCGTGGGACGACCCACTGTTCGGGCGCGCGACGAGCCTGGACGACGTCGAGTCGCTGTTCCCAGGGGTCACGGATCGCTTGCGCGCATGGCTCGCGCGCTACCGCACGAGGCCGGGACGAGGTAACCACTCGCGAGCGGTGATGTCTCCACGTGTCGTGTGCTAGTTGCTCCGTCGTCCGTGCCCTGTGCTCTGGGGTCCGTCTGGCACTTGTACAGTAGAGTAACCATTATCATGGCCGTTCCAGATCCACCCCCTCTGCATCGCCGTGTGTGTCATCAAGGGTCAGGATAATAGCGGGGTGCGGTTGCTATCGCCGTGCGCGTAGTGCCATCATGTCAGTATCGACATCGTGTCAGGCCGTGCTCGAACATGGCATGATCAATCACCCCTTACTCTCCTATCCTTTAATTCTTTCCACCCCAACCTCCCCTCTATTCCCCCCGCTTTTCCCGTCACCATCCCGCGCAGCCCCCAAGGCGCAGGCGGTGTTTGCGCAGGGCGGGCGGCCGGCGTCCCCCGACACGGTGATGCGCGTGGTGGCGGAGGCGAACGCGTGCTGGCAGCTGTTTAAGGCCACGCGCTGGCCTGACGCGCCCTCCCCCCCCGCTGCTGCCGCTGCGCCCACCTACGACCAACAGCAGCCGCAGCAGCAGCAGTGGGAAGGGGAGGTGCGGGTGGGCGCAGGCGGAGGGGCGAGTCGCAGGCGGCGCAGCAGCCGCGGCAGCAGCGTGAGTAGTGGCGCTGGGAGCGCGGGGGGGGACAGCGGAAGCGTGGTGGAGTGGGGTGGGGGAGCGCAGGTGCTGCGGATAGAGGGGGCGATGGAGGGCGAGAGAGAGGCGTTCGCGGGAGCGGAGCGGGGCGGGGGACTGGACGGGTGGAGGGGCAGTGGGGGTGGCATGGCGCAAGCACGGCCAGCTGCTTATGCTGATGCCGATGTTCCTCACGGCGTTGACTCGCACGGCTTGCTTGACCGTCAGTATGAGCGGCTGATGCAACCTGATTTGTCGGACGCTGCACGCGCTGACAGCTTCGCGTTCCATGACGTCAGCTGTGGCTCCCCCCCTGAGTTTTCTTATGACGAAAGCTCGCCTCGGCTGCTGCAGTCCAGGAGCGAACCGGGGCCTGCTTATATCGGGGACGAACATGATCATGAGCACGAGGATGACGATGAGCATGAGCATAGGCACCGCCCGTTTGAAGAACACCACCATCCGTATGAGGAGTATTCGTTTAGCGAGCACTCGTTAGTGGATCACTCGTTAGACAGCTCGTTAGACGGAGGAGCCGTGCAGCAGCGCGCACCCGCAGGCGGCATGGGGTGGGACAGCCCGGACAGAACCGCCGCCTGGGGCGCGCATGACGCCCGCGCGCACGCCGCGGAAGGGAGGGGGATTTGGGATGGGGTGAGCGGGGGTAGGGATGTGCGGGGCGGAGTGGAACGGGGAGGGGCAGGGGATTGGGGCGGGGTGCATGGTGGGGGGCGATTGGAGGGCGAGGCGGGGGGGGGCGCGAGAGAGCTGAGCTTCGCAAGGGACTTGGCTCATGGGGAAGATGGCCGGGGAGGGGGTGAGTGGCGCGGGGCGGAGGGGTTCTTTCATGGGGAGCGCGCGGAAGCGGGTGGAGCGGCGGAGGCGGAGCGGGATGGGGGGACGTTTGGGAGGGATTCAGGTGGATTTGGGGTGGTAGAGGGTCCGCGTGGCGAGTTCCAAATGGCGTGGGGTGCGGGGGACACGGGGGACGCGGGAGACGCGGGGGACGCGGAGGACGATAGGGCCGCAGGGACCGTGGGGAGCGTGTATCACTCTGATGGGTACGCGCGCGGTTACACCACCTCCGACGCTGATACTAGCGCGTGGGAGGGGCGCGAGGGGGATGACGGGGACGAGGAGGAGGAGGATGAAGAAGAGGAGGAGGAGGCGGGTGAGGAGGGAGGTGAGGCGGGAGCGGAGGAAGAGGGGGAGGATGGGATGTCTGTAATGGAGAGGAGCGTTGATGGGGACGCGGAGAGGGGAGAGAGTGGCGCGGAGGAGAGTGCGGAGGGAAGTGAGGGGAGGGAGGAGGAGAGTGAGGAGGGGAGTGACGAAAGCGAGGAAGGAAGAGAGGAGGGGGAGGAGAGCAATGGGGATAAGGGGTACAGAGAGGAGCATGTGCAGGAGGGCGTATGGATGGGCCGCGCGCGAGATGGGAGCGTGGATGAGCCTGGCATGGGCGGCGGCATGGGTTGGCAGTTTGGCAGGGGTGCTGGTGGTGTGGAGCAGCAACAACAGTACTGGCAACAGCAACAACAGCAGCAGCAGCAGCAACAGCAGCAGCAGCAGCAGCAGCAGCAGCAGCAGCAGCAGCAGCAGCAGCAGCAGCAGCAGCAGCAGCAGCAGCAGCAGCAGCAGCAGCAGCAGCAGCAGCAGCAGCAGCAGCAGCAGCAGCTGCAGCAACAGCAACAGCAACTGCAGCAGCAACAGCAACAGCAACAGCAGCAGCAACTGCAGCGTCAGCTGCAGCAGCAGCTACAGCAGCAGCAACAACAGCAGCAGCAGCAGCAGCAGCAGCAGCAGCAGCAGCAGCAGCAGATGCCTGCATCCCTGTCATTGCTCCGCTCTCTCTCCCTCACCAACAGCCGCCCCCCCCTCAACCACCCCCCCCATGCGCCCTGCTCCTCCGTCTCCTCCAGCCCCGCGCACACCCCCCGCGCCCACCACCCCCTCGCTGCCAGCGCCGCCAGCAGCCCCACTGCCGCGCACCCCCCGCTCCTATCCGCGCTGCACCCGCCGCTCAGCCACGCGCCCGCCCACCCCTCTGACCGCCGCCGCTCCTTCCCCCTGCACGCGCACCGCCACTCGCTCTCCCACATGCACCACATGCGCCTGCCGCCACACCAGCGCCAGCAGGCGCAGCAGAGGGCGCAGGCGGGGGTGGGCGCGGAGCGGCAGATGCACAGGCAGGGCGCACTAGATGACGGCGCAATGGCGGGCAGGGATGGGCGGATGGAGCAGAGCGGCCAAGCAGGGGCGGAGGGCGGCGGGGCGGGCGCAGGGGGCGCAGGGGACACAGGGGGCGGAAGGGTGTTCCGCAAGGCCAATTCCAGCTCCCCCCGCACGCTCAACCGCCCCTCCTCCGCCTCCAGCAGCCCGGGCAACGCGCCTGCGCGCCTTCCGGGGCAGGGGGGCGCGGCGCTGGAGCGCCCGCTGGCGCCTCTGAGGAGAGACGCGGCGGCGCTCATCCCGGGGCTGCTGAGGGCGCGCGGGAACGCGCAGGGGCGCATCATGCGCTCCCAGTCGCTCTGCCAGGGCGCGTTTGGGGACGTGCTGGGCGCCCAGAGCAGCGGATCGCCAGGGGACCCCTCTCATGCTGCTGCGCTTGCTGGTGCTGGTGGTGGTGATGGGGCGTTGGGTGGTGTTGGGGATGATGGCAGGATGGTGCTGGAGCGGTCCATGTCGTTCACATCCGCGGATGGGGCAGGGGGGGTTCCGCACTGGGTGCAGCAGCGGCTGCAGCAGAGCGTGTGGCAGGAGCAGGCGGGGCTGCGGCAGCAGCAGTCACAGCATCACCACCAGCAGCAGGAGCTGCAGCTGCGGCAGGAGAAGGGGGAGGAAGGAGAGCAGGAGGAGCAGGAGGGGGGCAGAGGGCGCATGGCAGGGCATGGTGCAAGGTTGCACGGGGAGCAGCAGGCGTCAGTGCCGCCACTCCCCCCTGCACCCGCCACTACAAGCGCGCCCCCCATGCCTCCGCGCTGGCCGCCCACCGCCCACTCCCCCTCGCCCTCCTCCACTGTCGCTCGCTCCTCCTCGTCCCCCGCGCATGTCCCTGTTTCACCCGCCACTGCCGCCATCCCCCCCCAGCACCTCCCCGCCCCACAGCAGCACATGCGGCGATCTCGCTCCATGTCCCAATCCGCCTTCGGGCCCGCCCTGCCCTTCCTCTCCCTCGCCCAGGGCCCCCATGCCCTCTCCCTTGCCTCCCCCCCACAGCCGCCGCCTCTGCCATCACAGCAGCAGCAGCAGCAGCTGGTTTCCCCATCCCGTGTGAAGCTCTCTCACAGCTACAACGCTGGGGAGGCCACCGTGCCTTCCTCCCCACCCGCTCACATGCAAAATCTCACCCAGCGGCCTCTTGCACAGTCACGGTCACACACCTCTATCCCGCGACAAGCACAATCCCAGGTCTCAATTCCGGTACTATCACAATCCTTAGCTTCCATCCCGCTACAATCACAACGCCTCCCTCGTCAACGCCCCTCTCGCTCTCTTTCCAGTGACCCCTCCTCCCCTCGCGAGCCTTCTCTTGTCCCCCGCTCCTCCTCCTCCTCCTCCTCCTCCGCCTCCTCTCGCCCTCTCAGGCCGCCTGTCCCCCCGCCAGCTCCCCCGCTCCCCCCTGCCTGCGCCTCCTCCCCGCCCCCCCGCCCCACGCGCAGAATGCAGCGCCGCCACACCCTCCCCCCGCGCGTGCTGGATGGCGCCCCTGGGGGAGGGGTAGCAGGCGGGGGAAAGGGGGGCGGGGCGGAGGGGGAGCAGAAAGGGGAGTCTGAGCGTGGGGGAGGCAGTTGGGGGGATCGGACAGGGGGAGGAGGGGCGGAGGAGGACGAGTTAGTGAGGGCGGCAGCAGCGGTGGCAGGAGTGGAGGTGCTGGTGGTGGGGAGGCCGGCGCGGGGCACAGGCATGAGTGGTCCCGATGCAGTGAATGTGGACCGCCTGAGACCCGTGCAGCAGCACCAGCCACCACCACCACCCCCACCACTGCCACCACAGCAGCAGCAGCAGCAGCAGCACAGGCGCAGGCGCAGGCACGGCAGCAGCAGGACGCGCGGAGGCAGCAAGGCATGGCGGGCGGGAGGGAGGCAGGGGCTAGGCCCCCGCGCATGGTGCGGCATGGCAGGAGCGGCAGCCTGGCAGACGTGAGCAGCATGGCGCTGGGGGGCATGGGCATGGGTATGGGCATGGGTATGGGCATGGGAGTGGTGGTGGGGATGGCAATGGGGGGAGCAGCAGAGGGCAGCAGCCGGGGCATGGGCATGATGGGGACGGGCGGTGGAGGGGGAATCGTGGAGATTGGGGGAGTGGCAAGCAGCAGAGCGGCAGCAGGCGGTATGAGGCAGATCATTCAGTCGAATCTACAGGCGCAGCCACAACCATCCCCCTCCCTGCCTCAACGCGGCCTGGACCCCTCTCCGTCCAAGGTTACAAGCAGTGCGGTGCAGATGGGTGGCAGGGGTGGCGGCATGGGGGCAGAGGCAATGACAGCAGGGCGGGGCGTGGGCAGAGGAAGGGGCATGAGGGCGCGGAGCATGTCAGGTGACTTTTCGCACATGTCCGTGCTTGCACTCCTGGGCACACACGCACAGGCACACGCACAGGCACAGGCACAGGCACAGGCACAGGCACAGGCATCACGTGTGTCCCTGGATGCACAGGCACAGGCATCACGTGTGTCCCTGGATGCACAGGCACAGGCATCACGTGTGTCCCTGGATGCACAGGCACAGGCACAGCGCGCACATGTGCCCCTAGACGCACAGGCGCAGGCACAGCCCGCCCTCGTGCCGTCGTCCCAGCGTGCACAGAGCCCAGTGCCCGCGACAGCCCACGCGCCCACTGAGCCCACCACGGATGCTCCTGTGCCGCTGGCAGGGGGGCGCGGCAGAGGGCGAGGGGCTGTGGGAGGGGGGAGAGGTGGCAGCGCTGGGGGGAGGATGGGAGCAGGAGGGAGGGGGAGAGGGAGGGGGCTGGGGTCAGTGTCAGATGTGCTGTCTGCGCCTGCAGCGGCTGCTGCGCCCCGCCTGCCCTCTCCCACTGCTGCCGCTGCTGCTGCGCCGCCTGCTGCGCCCGTCGCCCCTGCCTCTGCCGCCATTGCACCGCTCATAGACGCCCCTCGCATGCTGCAGCAGCGGTTGCTGCCACATGGGCAGGCGCAGGGTTGGGGGCAGGGGCAGGAAGGGGGAGGTGGGCGGGGGCGGGGACGGGGGCGGGGGCGGGGGCCGGTGCAGGATGGGGTTAGGGGGCGGGGGCGGGGGGTTGAGCGACAGACAGGTGATGACAGGAGCGGGCATGCAGCAGGTGTGGAAGGAGGAGGGGGAGGGGCAGGGGGAGCAGGAGGAGGGGAGGGAAGAGGAGGGGAAGCAGGAGGAGCATCAGTAGCAGCGGCAGCAGCAGAAGGTGAGGAGGCGGGCATGGTGTTTCAGCGCTCCATCAGTCTGTCAGCGCGCCTCTTTGCCGACAAGGATGTAATGGCCGCCCCCCTCGGAGGCCCTGTGGGAACGGGCATGGGAGCAGGTGGGGGAGGGGTGGAGGGGCGGGGAGGGGCTGGGCGGGAGGGTGAGGCTGGAGGGGCGCCCAGTGCGCCGGCAGAGGGTGTCAGGTCAGGCGGAGGGTCGGGGCGGTTGGGTGCGGTACCAGGCGGTGGTGGCAGGGGGCGGGGCCGTGCAGGTGGGAGGCGGCACATGCGGTTTGCGAGTGTGGACCTGAGCCGTGCTGCGGATGGTCTGGGCTTTCAGGTGGGCAGCATGGTGGGGGATGATTCAACTGTCCACTCGTCTCAGCTGCCATTCCTGCACCCACGGCCGCCACCACAGCAGCCCCAGCAGCAAGGGTCGCAGCAGCAGGCGCAGCAATTTGACCAGCGGCAGCAGCAGCAGCAGCAGCAGCGGCGGCGGCAATCGCCTCTCCATCGCGAGAGAACCCCCTCCCCCTCACCCCCCTCATCATCATCAGCATCGCCATCTGCACCAGCACCACCAGCATCAGCAGCAGCACCAGCACCAGCATTGGCGTCGGCAGGAGCAGCAGCAGCGGCGGCAGCGGCAAGGCAGAGGCAGCGCATGGTGTGCACGGTGGCGGGCATCCCCGCCTCTGACTCCCTCCCCTCGCCCACCTCCCACCCGCCCTCCTCCGCTCCCCGCCCTGCCCCCGCCACCGCATCCCACCGCCCCCTCCCTGCCACCCACCCCTCTCAAGCTGCCGCCTCACCCATGCGCCCCCGCCCCCCCGCGGGGTCGCCCCCCTCTGCGCGCCCTGCACTCTCCCACGTGCGCCACCCCTCCTACATCTGGCCCCACGTGCACTCTGCTCCCTCTGCTCCCCCAGCTAGTGCAGCAGCACCGGCAGCACGGGGGGCAGCAGCAGCAGCAGCAGCAGCAGCAGCGAGCTCAGGAGGTGCCGGTGCTGCTTCCGGTGCTGCAGGCGGCCGTGCTGCTGCTTCTTCCGCACGTGCTGCTTCCCATGTGCCCAGTGCTGCTGCTTCTGATACTCCTGCTGCTGCACGTGCTGCTGACAGTGCAGGCAGGGGCTCGGGGGTGGGAGACACAGCAGAAGTAGACAGGGAAGTGTCGTCCCCGCCCAGCAGCAGCGGGGCCGAGTGGGAGCACTCACCAGACTACCTCTTCATGCGCCACCAGACCACCCCCTGCCGCCTGCAGGGCGCCCACGACCACGACCTCGCGCACGGGCTGGCCCTGTCCCCCGCTGCTGCCCCTGGGAGCGCAGCGTCGCTGGTGTCAGATGGGCAGGGGTCGGAGGCAGGTAGCTCGTGGGGCGATGGCGAGCAGTGGGAGGCGCACATGGCGCTGCACGGCGATGCGGGGCAGGCGGGCGGGGCGGATGGGCATGCGGATGGGCAGTGGCATGGCGGGCTGCAGCAGCATGAGAGGCAGTTGTCCCCTCTGAAGCCTCGAGACGCATCCCCACAGGCGAACTTGCATCAGGCCCCGCCTCCCCACCAGCAGGCGACGTCTGCTCTGCGCACACCGCCCCGCCGCACCCCTCTGCAGCAACAGCAGGCGCATCAGCAGCAGCAGCAGCAGGGGCAGCAGCAGGGGCAGCAGCAGGGGCGTAGTGCCAGTCCATCTCTCACCGCACCCTCTGCCATGGCACACACGCTCACACCATCCCGCTCGCCTGCCCGTGCCGCTCACCTCACTCCCCTGCAGCGGCAGCAGCAGCAGCAGCAGCAGAAGCTGCACCAGGCACAGGCCGCCCCGCCACAGGGGGGATTCCGCAGCGTGAGTGTGGGCGGCCCTGGCCCACACAACACCTCACCCTACCCCTCCAAACCCTCTCACCCCGCCCTCCCCCCTGCCTCCCCCCAGCGCCCCATTCCCGGCTTCTCCCCTCTGATTGCCGCCCGCAATTCCATGTCTGCCCCCGCCGGGCAGATGAAACACCGCAAGTCGGGCAGCTTTGACAAAGCCTCAGGGAAGCGGCGGGTTCCGGGCAGCCTTGGAAAATTAAGGATGAACAAGGAAAGGGGGTGGTGGGGTGGCAGCCCAGGGGTGGGGAGCGGTGCTGCTGCCCATGGCAGTGGTGCTGCTGGTGGTACTGGTTCAGCTGGTGCAGCTGCTGCTGCTGGTGGCGGTGGCGGTGGCGGGGGGGGTGGGAGGAGACACGCGGGAGCAGCAGGAAGCGGGGGCAAGGCGTCGGTGGCATCAGCGCTGATCAGCCCGCGCATCGTGGGGAAATCTATCTTCTCCCGCTCTGCCACCACTGCTGCCCCCTCCTCCTCCTCCACCTCCCTCTCCACCGACCCTGACACTGACTCCCACGGGCCCTCCAAGGGTAACTGGCGGCGCCTCGTGGGCAAGCGGGCAGGCAGCCCGCAGCACGGCAGGCGCGGCCACGGGGGCAGCAGCAGCGGCAGCAGCGGGCATGGAGGGGTGGTGTCACGCGCTGCTCGTGCGGTGACAGGGTTTAAAGCCGGGCACAAGGGGGGCGTGGGGCACAAGTTGGGGTTTAAGGGCATGGGGGCGGTGAGCCTGCCACTCATGGGAGGAGGGGGGGGGAGCCACGGGGGGATGCATGAGGGCATGAGTCTGCTCAGTGCAGGCGAAGAGGCAGTGGCCCTGGCATTAGCAGCAGCGGCGGCAGCGGCAGCAGCAGCAGCAGCGGAGGTGCCGTGGGTGGCGATGGTGGTTCCAGGGGATGAGGGCGAGGGCGAGGGCGAGGGGCTGCTGCGGTCCCCGCGTGCAGGGCTGGCGTCACCGCTGCCATTCAAGGCGGGCAACGAGTGGGCCATGGAGGTGCGCGCTCACATGCAGTGCGACGAGACTGCCAGTGGGAATTACGAGCTCTGGGATGAAGAGCTCGCTGCTCCTGCTGCTGCTGGTGCAGGTGGGGAGGAGGGTTCACTGGCAGCAGGAGTTGCGGCAGGAGCTGCAGCAGCAGGAGCAGGGGCGGCGGCAGGAGCAGGGAAGGAGGGGGCAGCAGGGAGTGCGAGTGCAGGGGCGGCAGGCGGCACAGGAGGGGCGGAGGGTGGTGGGGGGGATGAGCGGGTGGGGCTGCAGAACATGCTGCTGCTGGACGTGTACCCCGCCCTCTTCCCTCTCGTGCTCGGCGCCCGCAAGGCACCGTCCCGCCCACCCCCACCTGACGCTGATGCTGATGCTGGTGAGGGTGAGGGTGCGGGGATTGAAGCAGAGGTTATGGGGGGTGAGGGTGATGGGGAGGCGCAGCATGAAGGTGAGGAGGAGCAGGGCAATGTGCAGGTGCAAGGTGCGGTGGAGGCAGGGGGGATGGATGGAGAGGCAGGTGCAGGTGGGATTCAAGAGCAGGTTAGCATCGCAGTGCTGGAAAGCAGTGCCGCACAGGAGAGTCAAGGCTGTGGGCAGGTGATATCTGGGGAGGCTGCACCTGTGCTAGCTGGTGCAGGGATGGAGCAGGAAGCAAGGGCTAGTCTGAAAGAGGTGGCTATTTATCAGCCTGTGCTTGTATAGAGTTGAATGCATCTGTGTATGTGCATGTTCGACATGCAATGATTTGTTATTGGCAGTCAAAGTTAACAAGATAGCACTTTGCAAGCGTAGCTGCAAAATATGGGGAAGCTTAGCTGCAAAAATATGTGCAAGCGTAGCTGCAAAAATGTTGGCATGCGTAGCTGCAAAAGTATTCAGTCAGACATTGACAACTTGGCACTTTTTTTTTTTGTTAAGAGTGATTTATCCAAGATATTAAACTGAGTATTGGTGACCAACTCTATACACTTGGAAAGCTTTCATAAATACAGCAGCCTACTTTTTTTTCTAGCATCTTCGAACAGTGTAGGTGTTTTTGTGTGTCTATCGGAGCAACCACTGAAGTTCCACTTTCCTCTCTGCCACACTTCCTGTATCGCATTCCACTGCACCCAACCCCTCCGCGGCACCATCCAAGCTACTTCTGCTACCCGCGCCTCCTACCTGCGCCAACCTCAAATCACCCATACCCTCAGGGTTCCCGCTGTCCCCCACCACGCTCTGGTTACCCCCTTCCGACCGCAGCTGCTTCTGTTGGCACCTGGCGCGCATGAGCGCGGCGAACTGGTGCAGGGCGGTGCGCGCGGAGGGCTGTTGCGATCCGCGCAGCTGGCTGTGGAGGAACACGAGAAACTGGTTCACGTTGCTTCCAAACTCCGGCTTTTGCGCCACGCGCTCCCGCAGCCGCCCCACCGCCACGTCCCACTTGCTCAGGTTGCCGTGCGGGAGGGAGGAGCGGAGGGACGACGTCAGCTGGTCGTAGCGGGAGAGTCGCTCCGCCAGGCTGAGTGTAGGATCAGGCTGTAGCGCGCTCGACGGAGCTCCACGAGTCCCCAAGGCTTCCTCGTTTGGCGGAATTCTCGACGCGACGGGAGCTGCGGCTTCGGTGAGCGCAGGTCGTTTCGAGGGTGGCCGAGGTGGTGAGCTTAGCGGTGACTTGCGATGGCTGCTATTCACCTCCTCGTCCTCCGCCGCCACTTGCGCGAACCTCCTCTTCTTCGCGAGCGCGGGAACATCCCCTCGAAGCGCAGGCTCGTCAGACCGAGCCTCGTCCGCGCCGCTGTTGCGAGGAGCGCGGATGGCGGTCGGTCGGAACAGCACCTGCGCGTCGTGATTGTCACTGGGGTGTGGCGCATGTGGATATGCGCAGTCTGCCTCTGGTCTCGCGCGGAGAGCGCCAGCGGCGAGCGCGGCCGCGGGGTTGGTATGTGCAAGGAGCCAGGCGGGAAGGGTGGAGCCTGCGGGTCTGTCTTGGAGCAAAACGCCGAGCTGCTCCTCCCGCTGCGCGGGGTCGCGCGATAGTTGCTGAAGGAGCATGGCGGGCTGCGCGCGGGAAAAGGTCGAACCGGAAGCTGGCTTATGAGAGGCACTGGCGAACGATCGATCTAGCGGCATTGCAAGGAACTGGAGCGATGACATGAAGCGATCGAAGAAATCAGATAGTTTAAGACGTGATACTAGCGGCGTGGAACACTGAACTAAATGCACGAGCGCGACTGGTTGGATGCAAGTGAAATTGGCTTCGAAACTTCTTTCTCGTGTACCCTTGCGGTGCTGGTTTCTGAGCTGAGGTCTATAAATCCAAGTTGAGTTGTGCTCCCGTCGCACAAAGTTTTGTGTGTGTTGGAGAAGGACCGTCCTCCATGGATCCTCTTCACCCTGCTGTCGCCCGCTCACAGCCTACCACAGCTCGACTCGTGATGACAGCGCAGCACGGTGCAAAATCATCAGGGCCAAGCAGATGCGAGGGAGGGAGGCAGGGAGAGGAGGGGACATTTGAAAAAGCGCAATGCATCCGTTCAATGCTCCCTTGGGCTTTCCTCGGGAGCTTACTCAGCAGAATGTTGCACTTCTCATTCGCCAATACTGCAAGACATGCCACCCGGACCGCGCTCAAATCTCCACCGCGACTTGGCCGTGTCGCGATGCTGGGTACTGTGGCTGAGAACCCACGGGGAGTTAGTCACGGACTAGCTGTCCAGCGACCTCAACCACGTCAGCAGCCAAGGCCTCTAGGTCTTGCTCCGCACACCTGGAGCGGGAAGAGATAGACAGTGGCTTGGTACTGGCTGGCTGTCGACTTGCGCATGTACGCTGGCACCACGTCACTCGGTCAACCGCGTAAACATAATGCGAAACTACTCTATCATTGGTCCGATTCATGACAGCTGGCGAGGTGCGAAATGCTGAGGCCAACCACGAGTGAATTTGCTGTGGTGGGCTCGGGAACGCCTGCAACGGGTGGTTGGACCGAAAACAGTACACTACAGTATACAGCACCGCTTTACGCCTCCCAGGTTTCATCAATCTCCGAAACAAGCCAGCACCGCGCAGGTGTCCAAGCAAGCGAAGGTTCGCCACGCAACTTCGCCGACAAAGCACACGAGGCTTAGGTGGCCACAAGCACGCGCAACTTGGCCCAACCTGCGGTCGTTGGTCGGATGTCGGGCATCCCTCTGTCGTGGCGTGCACCCAGCAAGGTTCGATTGTTGAACCACCAGGCTCGGCTTGCTGTACAAGCCATACCCAACTAACACTACAGACGACATAGATTCACTAATTCAATAAAATGCGTGTAGAAGAAATCAGGCCTGCAAGCGCCGTAAGCAAGAAAAATTTGATTGCCTGAAAAACCTATGATTATCACTTATCTACCATATCTCAGCAGTATCAGGGGCATATGTATCATGATCGAATTGCTTCTTTTCGTGCTGAATTTGTGAGCACCGAAATCGCAAATACTTCAGCTCATCAAAGTCAGGACATTCGGATCAAAAGAGTGCACTCGTCTGCTCTCTCTCCCATTTTTCCCATGTCTGTCTAAACTGGCCCCAGCCCTCCGCTCAATTGGCTTCTCCAGAACCACCCACAATCTCTGCACATGCCTGTGCGGCACCCCTCCCACCACTGCATCCACCTTCCTCACAAATACAGCACGATACGCCAGCCGCTCCAGAGCAGCCTCATACAGTGGCATCGCATCCGCACTGTGCTCTATTGTTTCCAGCCAAAGAATGCCGCCCGGCCGGAGCACGCGGTCCCAGTCAAACAGCGCGAGGTGGAAGTCCCTGGGCGGCAGAGAGTCAACACCCTGCAGGAGCGCGGGGCCGGCGGTGCCAGTGGCATGGAGGAGGTCTAATGAGGCGTCAAAGAAGGGAAGGCGCGCTGTGAGAGGCATGTCCACCGCCACTAGTCCCCGCCATGCCAGTGCCTCTTGAAACGGCACTGCCACCCGGCTGCTGCTGCTGCTGCTGCTGCTGCTGCTGCTGCTGGCACTGGTACTACTCGTGCCGGTGCTGCTGCTGCTTCCGCTTGCAGTAGCGTCTGCAGCAGTGCGGCCTGAGGGCGACTGGGAGGGATCAGGGTAGCCAATCAGGTTGGACTGCGCAGTGAGGATGGTCACATTGTGCAGCGCCATCTGGGCGGCAAACTGGCCTGTTCCGCCGCCCAGGTCCAGCCCCAGCCTCACACCACCCCCCTTGAGGCGCATGAGATGGCGAATGTGGAACGTCTCTCTCGCACCTGCCTCCTCCGTATTGCCACTCGCAGCACGACTCATGGGACTGCTCCGCCCGCTCCTGCCACTGCCACTGCCACTACCACTGCCACTGCCACTGCCACTGCTATGGCTGCCTCCGCCGCTCGCGCTGCTGGCGGAGGGGCGCGTGAACTGGAAGCAAGCAGCGCCACCCGCCCATCCGTCCCTACTGCATCCGCTCCCCGCGTCTGCCCCTCTTTTCCCCCCATCCTGTCCGCCTGCCCGCCCGCTCCTCCCCCTCTCCCGCTCATTCTGCTTGCCCTCCCCCTCGCGCCGCTCCCAGGGATATGGGTCCAGGCTCGAGTTGACCTTTCGCGCTACGGCTGCTACAGCTGCAGCGTCCGCAGCAGCGTCTGCAGCTAAGGCTGCCAGCTTGCGCTCGACGCATGCCACGTCAGCGCAGTCGTAACGCTCCCACCGCACGCTTCGCCCGTCTAGCGGCGTCCAGAGCGCCTCCGGATGCGGCGGAGGCTCCACGGGGTCAGGGGGGGTGGGGGAGAGGCACGCGCGGGGAGGGATGACGTGGCAATGGTCGGTGAAGCGGAGGCGGTGGGCTAGCTCCCAGTCGTCGGGACACGTGGCGTGTGGATGGAAGCGCAGAAATTGCTTTAACTCCGCGTCGGATGCGGCGCATTCGCTGAGTCTGTCCGCCTGTAAGCGCGTCAGATGCGCGTCCCGCCTCCGCGCGTACTCCGCGGAAGCAGAACCTGAGCCGGCCTCCCCGCCGGCCCCAGCGCCGTGATGGACGGCGGCGACCGCGCTCTCCGCGAGCCAGCGCTCATCGAGATCCGCGCCGCCCGCCGAGGCATCGTTATAAGCACTCCGCGCAGCCACGCGCCGGTGCACAAGCTCCCCCTGGCATTTGCGGAATGCCGAGCGCAAGGCGGAGACGTCAGCGGCGGTGTCGGGGCAGTCGCGGAAGGGCGCGGGGGGTTGGGGAAAGTAGCGCGTGAGGAAGAGGCGGAGGTGCAGCAGTGAAAGGGCGGTGACCGCGAGCAGGCGGAAGGGCGTGCAGGAGGGGGCCGCGCGAGGCATCAGCGAATCGCGCGCCGTGTCGCGACGGCGGCCATACGGAGGCGAGGAGAGTGGATCGGGCTGAACTCGTAGCTATTGGCAGCAGTGGTGACGAGCTACCTACCTAGGACGTGATTTCATATCACCCATGTTCAGTGGCGAAGCTGAAATCTCTTCACTGACGCAGCCCGAGGATGTGTGCTGCGAACTGACAAAAAATTGCGACTGCTGTAACGCAAAATCAAGATCAGTCACTGAACCATTCCAGAATTGTTCTACATACCGATTTGAAAAGTACACAAGCTCTGTATTCGAGTCTCTCCATATCGAGCGGAAGCATTTGCCCCGCATCTCTCAACCCAACTTCCAAATCACCCCCACCCCACCACTGGACGCTTGACGCGAATTGGCGCCAATAGTCGCATCGTTGGCACGCAGATCAGAGCTGGCCAGCAGCGAAAGGCGCGCCGACTGCAGCATGCGCGCCCATCAGCCGCCTCAGGCACTCACGTCGCGCTCTTTCCGCTCCTTCCGCTCCATCCGTGCGCCCCCCACGCCCCGCGCGACCGCTCCATGTCAGTTCCCGCTCCCATTCCCCTCCCCGCCCCGCATGCTGTCGTCACAGCCGCCCCTCTAGCGCCGATCTTCACCGCCTCCCGCGAGCATCGGCGCGAGTTGCGGAGATGCAGGCGCGACCCGCAGTCGGTAGTTTCCGCGCGCCTGCTGCCTGGCTCCCCCTCCGCTAGTCGCATTGGCGGACGATGCACCGCGGCGCAGGGAGGCAAGGCGGACAAGCGGAGAGTGCGGAAGGTGCGGGCAGTGCAAGGGGGAGGGGGCGGCGACTTAAGAGATTCGGAGAACGGGGAGGGGGAAAGGGAAGGAGTGCGTGGAGCGGAGGGTTCATGGCGCGACGGCGGAATTCTAGAGGGGGAAGTGGAGGGTGATTTAGACGAGGACTGGGCTGGGGAAGCGGAAAGGGGCACGCGGTTGCGGGGAAGGGTTGCGGCTGGTGGCGGAGCAACGGGCGGGAATGGGGAGGGCGCAGAGAGGCGCGGAAACGGGGACGAGAGGGAGAGTGAGAGTCGGGGGCTGGGGGAAGCGCGAGGGGAGAAAGCGGCGATTTCTGCGGGAATAGGCGGGGGTGCAGTTATAGGGGAGGAGAAGATGGATGATGATGAGGAGTGGGCGGAGTGGGAGGGGGAGGAAGAAGGGGAGGATGAGTGGGAGGTTGAGGAGGATTTGGAGGAGGACGGGAGGGGTGGGGAATGGGCGGCATTCAGAACAGGTGGAGAGTTGGGGCCGGGAAAGGGCGGGTGAGGCGGTATGACGTGGCAGGAGGTGCAGCACGCGTGGCATCTGACGTGGCACGAGGGAGCAGGGGCAAGGGCGAGGGGGCAGGGGGAGCAGCAGGCAGCGTGGGCGCCATTGGCGGCCCGCCCTCCCGCCATACTGCCGTGGCTGGCGCTGCTGGTGGTGCCGCTGGTAGTGGCGCTGGCAGCACCAACACCGCTCCCAGTGGCAGCAACAGAAGCTTTTCCAACCTCACTCCCATTCCCTCGGCCACCCCCAGCAGCAGCAGCAGCGGCAGTGCTGATAGCGCCCCCAGTGGCGCGTGGCGGCTGCGCCTGGCGGCCCTGAACGCGCTCTCCGCGCTGAGATCCGCCCAGCAGCGCGATGAACAGCTCATGGCGCTGGCAGACGCGCAGCAGATGGAGGGTGGGGTGGCGGAGGGGGAGGGAGCTGAAGGGGAGGCGAAGGGGCGGACGCGGGCAGGGAGGGCGAGGGCAGAAGAGGGGCCTGGGGACGAGGGGGGGGTTGGGAGTCGGACTAAGGGGAGTGATGCAGCAGGGGCTGTGGTGGGGGGGCGGGAAGGGAATGGCGAGGCGGAAGTGGGGAGTGCATCAGGCGGGCAGGGTGGGCTGGGAGCGGGCATGCTGGAGGCTCTCAAGGCAGCCGCTGCTGCTGATGCTCAGAGTAACAGCTTAAACCCTAAACCATCCCCACCAGCATCATCACAACAATCATCATCGTCACTAGCATCATCCCCATCCGCATCCTCAGCGTCATCATCAGGTGGGGGCGTATCAATCTACGTGAACTGTTCATCGGTGGGGTTACAGCGAGTGGCAGTGTTGGAGGAGGGGCGGCTGGTGGAACTCATTGTTGCCTGCACTCCCCCCCCCTCCCTCCCCTCGCCCTCCCTCCCCTTCCGCTCCTCCCGCCTCCCTCCCATCCACCCCACCACCACCACTGCTGCTGCTGCTGCTGCTGCTGCTCCTCTCACCCCGCTCACCGCACTTAACCCACCCACATTCCCACCCCAAGCAGCATCAGCAGCAGGCAGCAGCGTTTCTCCTGTGCCTCCCGTGCCCTCCCCTCCCCCTCCCCCCTTGCCATGGGGGGTGCGCGTGGGGGACGTGTACCTGGGGGTGATCCGCTCGCTGCATCCGGGCATGAAGGCCGCATTTGTCGACATTGGGGGGGCCGCGCCCTCCCTGCTCAACCTCGCGCACAACGACCGCCCCCTCACCTTCCCGCCCACAGGGGGTGACGGCGCCGCTGCGCTTGCGCATGCCTGGGGTGCCCCAGCTGTGGTGGGGGGCGGTGGTGGGGAGACAGGGACTGAGGCAGAGGGAGAGATAGAGGGAAACACAGGGAGAGGCGGAGTGGCAGAGACAGGTGCTGATGCAGACACAGGCGGAGATAGAGGCAGAGAGAATGGTGCGGCTGCAGGGTCGGAGCTAGCTTCGGGTGCAGGGTCGGAGTTAGGTTCGGGAGCAGGGCTGGATGCTGCGAGGCAGTGGGAGGCGGGGGTGGGCAGGGAGGAGGCAGGCGGTGGGGCGGGTGCTGTGGCGCACGGGAGTGGTGGCGTGTGGGTGGGCGTGGAGGTTGAGAGTGGGGGGTTGATCCAGGGATGGGCGGCGAGGGAAGGGGTGGAAAGGGGTGCAGTGGTGGTGGCAGGTATGCAAGGGGGTGAGGAGGATGGTGATGATGATTATGATGACGATGGGGATGAGGAGGAGGAGGAGGAAGAAGAAGAGGAGGAAGAAGATGAGGGTCACGAAGAAGACCTAGATGAGTGGCATGAGGATGATATGGCGGAGGAGGGGGAGGGAGAGATAGTGGGCGATGAAGACGAGGAGTGGATAGGAGAGGAGGATGGGGAGGAGGATGATGAAGAGGAGGAGGAGAGGATGAGGAGAGGAGGAGGAGGAGGAGGAGGAGGAGGAGGAGGAGGAGGAGGAGGAGGAGGAGGAGGAGGAGGAGGAGGAGGAGGATGAGGAGGAGGAGGAGGAGGAGGAGTGGGTAGACGTGGATGGGGAATTTGAAACGGACCTTGAAGACGAGAGCAGTGATGCCCATGATGCCCACCAATTGAAACGATCACAAGGGAGTGAGGATGAGAGAGGGGAGTTGGAGGGTGTGGAAGGGGATGTGGAGGAGTTGAGTGAGGAGGAGGCAGAGGAAGACGGAGGGTGGGAAGAGGAGGACGAGGAGGAGGAATGGGAGATGCAGGAGGAAGAAGAGAGGGCAGATGGGAGGCGGCGGAGGAAGAAGGCTGTGAGGAGGCGAGGCATGGGGCCTGGTGATGATTGGGAGGAGGAGGACGAGGAAGAAGCAGGGGAGGAAGAAGAGGAAGAGGAAGCAGAGGTGGAAGAGGACGAGGAGGCCGAAGAGGAGGGGAGCAGTAGGGAGGCGGAGAAGAAGCATGGGGGGGAACAGAAGCCTGAGGAGGAGGAGGGGGAGGAAGCAGTTGAGGTGGTGGGGAAGGCAGAGAGTGAGAATGACAGCCGAGACCCCACAAACGACTCAACCAGTGTCCTGCCTGCGCATGCCAGCTCTTCCCTCTCTCTCGCACTGCACGCCCGCCCGTTCCCCCCACCTGCCCCCTCCCCGCCCTCCATACCCCCTTCCCCTTTTCCGCTTCCCGCTCAGCCGTCGCCTGCCCTCCCCTCGCCCTCCTTTCCCCTCCCACTTGCATCAGGAGACCCCCTTCTGGACCCAACTCTGCCTCCTCTCGCATCCCCCCACCTCAGTGCTCTACAGGATTCTCCCACCGAACCTGCCTCTCTACACCCTGCCGCTCTTCCCCTCCCTGCCGCCACTAACCCTGTCCCGCTGAACCCCAAGCCCTCCCTCCCTCCGCCACCCCTCTCCCCTCGTGCCCGCTCTGCTGCTGCCCCGCCTCTTCCTCTTCCAACCTCCTCCACCACCAGCACCGTCGGAACCAGCAGCAGCGGAGGCAGTGGGAGCGGGGACGAGGACGGGGAGGGTAGGAGGGCAGATGAGAGGGAAGCGGAGGTAGAGGAAAGAGAGGCAGGCGAAGGGGCAGAGGAGCATCAGGAGCAACAGCAGCACAAGGAGCAACAGCAGCAGGAGCAGCAGGAGGGGAGGCGGCACCAGGAACAGCAGGACCCCCCTCTGCGCCGGCCCTCCGGCCGCCCTCGCCTGCTCTCCCTGGCCACTACCCTCCCCTTGCCCCTCTCCCCCTCCCCCCGTCGCCGCTACTCCGCCCTGCTCTCCCAGCAACTCAACCTCCCCCTTCCCCCCGCCCCCTCCGCCCCCTCCGCTCCTGCCAGCGCCAGGGGGAGGAGGAAGCGGGGGGGAGGCGGCAGCAAGGGGCAAGGGGGGAAGGAGGGCGCTGGAGGCAAGGGGTGGGCGGAAGGCATAAGGGGGGGCGGAGGCGAGGGCAGTGGACAGAGCAGGCAAGGGGATGCGGAGGGAGGGGCGGTGGGGGAAGAGGGGGAAGGGAGGAGTGGGTGGGTAGATGCTGCCAATACAAGTGAGTCCACATGGGGGGTTGAGCCTCTGCCAGGGGTGCGCCGGCCAAGGGTCAGTGCGCCGCCATACGCGGCGGGCGGCAGGCTGGGCGGCGGGCGGCTGACAGTCATCCCGGGCTCCCGAGGCCAGCCGAGGAGCCGCCGCTCGGCCGCATGGTCGCTGACGTGGCGCCAGCTCATGGAATCACGGCGGGCGGCGAGGGAGCGAGCGAGGCGAGCAGGGGGCATCGATGGAGGGGATAGCGGGGGGACGAGGGGGAGCGAGGAGGCGAGGGAGCCGGGATCGGAGGAGCAGGAGGGAGGTGGCGGAGAGGAGGAGGAGGAGGAGCAGTATGAGGAGTGGGGGGAGGTGCGGGCGGGGATGTTGATTCTGGTGCAGGTGGTGCGCGGGCCCATAGGCGCCAAGGACTCTGTGCTGCGGGCCTTCCCCGTGCTGGCTGGCCGCTGCTTTGTGAGTTGCTGCTGCTGCGTGGCTCCCTTTGTTGCTCTCTCCCCCTCCCTCTCATTCTCCTCCAATCCTCGTCTCCACTTCTTTCTCCCCCCCCCCATGCCCTCCCTCCCTGCGTTGTACAGCGGCTGGTGCTGCGGGGAACAGGGCTGGTGATGCCGAGGGGAGTGGCAGCAGAGGAGGCAGCGCGCATACAGGCCATTGTCGCCCGCCTCGCACCCACCCGCTCCTTCTCCATTCAGGTGCACCCCTGCCCTTGCCCATGCCCTTGCACATACCCCGCACTGCACCCCCTTCCTCCAGCTGCTGTGACCTCTCTCTTCCCCTACCCTCTCCCCGTTGCGCGGCTTCCCTCTCCTCTTGTCCACCGTCTTCGCTCTTCTCCCCGCTCCTCTCTTATGGCGCTGACCGCAGTGCTGCTGCCTGCCCTGACTACATGCGCCTACCCCAACCTGCACCCGCCCAACCACTTCACTCGCCCTTCATTCACTCCTCCCCCCCAAAACCCCTAGCAGGTGCGGCAGGCGGCGGTGGGGCGGGGGGAGGCAGAGCTGGGGGAGGATCTAGCAGAGCTGGTGGCGCGGTGGAGAGCGGTGCTGGCGCGTGCAAATGCGGTGGCGGGGCATGTGAGGAGCGTGGTGGATGTACCCGCTGTGGGCCCCACGCTGTTGCTGCAGGGCACGCCCATGGCTCTTGATGTCATCCACTCGCTGCTTGTTCAGCACCATCAGGTGGGGGGTGGGCGGTGGGCTGGGCATGCATGGGGGTTCACAACGGGCCTTGCCTGGGTAGGCCCCCGCAGCTGCTGCAGGGCACACCCATGGCCCTGGATGTCATTCACTCACTGCTGCTCATGCAGCACCACCAGGTGGGCGACTTATGAGACAGCAGCATGTCAAGGTAGGAGTTCACATAGCACTCCCAGCAGGTGGGGTGGGTCACACATGGGGTTTCACAACAGACCAAAGTTGTGGGTCACACATGGGGTTTCACAACAGACCAAAGTTGTGGGTCACACATGGGGTTTCACAACAGACCAAAGTTGTGGGTCACACATGGGGTTTCACAACAGACCAAAGTTGTGGGTCACACATGGGGTTTCACAACAGACCAAAGTTGTGGGTCACACATGGGGTTTCACAACAGACCAAAGTTGTGGGTCACAGCACGCATGGTCCAGGTGGTGATGGAGATGCTGCTGACTTGGGCATTGAATTGGGCCCATGTGGTTGGTTGTGCTTCATCAGCCTCCACACCACTGCTGCGTCATCCCATGCCCCGTTGCTCCTCTCCTCATCCACCACCCCTCTCTTTCCCATCATCCAACTTCAACCTCCTTCCTCCCAACATCCGTTGTACTACGTGACCTTCTCCCTCGCCTCACCGCCACACCTCACCACAGGTGTCGCGCCTCGTGGTCGACTCGCCTGCCTTCCTGCAAGAGGTACGCCCTCTCCCTCGTTCCATCCCCTTCTCCCTCGTTCCATCCCCTTCTCTCTCGTTCCATCCCCTTCTCTCTCGTTCCATCCCCTTCTCTCTCGTTCCATCCCCTTCTCCCCATCCCCACTCGCTTGTGTCCTCCTGCGGCCATCACTTTAACCAAAGACTCCCGAATTCACTTTGCCGCGTCCTCTTCCCCTCTTTACCCGGTGCGCGCATGTGCCTGCATGCCAGTTGGAGGCGTATCTACAGCGCATGCAGCCGGCGCTGTGCGGGCGGGTGCAGCTGCACACAGGCGCTTCGCCCATCTTTGACACCGCCCACATCGAACCCGCCCTGCTCTCCGCCCTGCACCGCTGGTACGCCCTCCCCTACATGTCAAGTAATCCCAACTCTTGTACATACTAACTAATCCCCCCTTGTCTCCTACAGGCTATTGCCACACTGCATGATGTGTCAAACCCGTTCTACTCCAACAGCAGTCCCCCTTTCGTCTGTCTTCCACCGCCAGTCCTCTCCACACCAGTGTCCCCCTAGCAGGTGGTGGCTCACTAGTGATAGAGGAGACGGAGGCGCTGGTGGCAATAGACTTGAACAGCGGGTGGAGCGTGCTGCACCTCCGCCCTCCATGCCTGCCTCCCTGCATTGCCGTGCCTCCCTCTCTCCCTCTCTCCCTCTCTCCCTCTCTCCACACCAGTGTCCCCCTAGCAGGTGGCGGGTCGCTGGTGATAGAGGAAACAGAGGCGCTGGTGGCAATAGATGTGAACAGCGGGTGGAGCGTGCTGCAGCCCACCGCACGGCAGGAGGACACCTTCCTTGCTGTGAACCTCGCTGCTGCCAGGCAGGTGGGTGCACCCCGCACCCGCTCTTTAGAGGCCTATAATGCTCGCCAGTTGGGCATGTGCAGTATTTGCGCATGCACTCGGCGTGCACGCAATCCCTCACCACTGCTGCCTCTCCTGCCCTGCTACATCTCCCCTGCCCTGCTGCCCCTTTCACTGCTGCCCGCCCCGCTGTCACCCCTGCCATGTTCCCCCCATACCGTGGCAGATTGCAGTGGAGCTGCGCCTGAGGGACCTGGGAGGGCTCGTGGTCATTGACTTTATTGACATGCATAAAGGTGACTGTCACTCCCATGACTTGCTTCATTCCATTGATGAAAATGACTCCATTCACATGCATCAGTGTGAATGCCTCTCAGTGCTTCTGTGCCAATTCCACCAGAAAATCACACGTCCCGTCCTCTTTCCCCCTTTCCTTCCCCCCACCACCACTCCTCCCAGCGGAGCATCGGAGGGTGGTGGAGGAGGAGGTGAGGAGGGCAATGGGGGGGGACCGGCGCAAGGTGCGCGTGGGGGAGATCTCTCAGTTCGGCCTGCTCGAACTCACCCGCCAGCGCGTGAGTGCGGTGTGGTGCGGTGCGGTGTGGTGTGGATCACGACACAGTGGTGCAGTGCGGTGCTATGTAGTGAAGTGGCGCCATGTGGTGTGTGGGCCAATGCAACGCAGCCAAGGTGCGCGTGGGGGAGGGAGATCTCTCAGTTCGGCCTGCTCGAACTCACCCACCAGCGCGTGAGTGCTCTCTGGCCCGGTGCACTGCGGTGCTCCCATGTCCTGTGTGGCTCAGTGCAGTACAGTGGGATGCAGTGCTGCCACGTGCTCTGTGTGTTGGCCAATTCACTGCAGCCATGTTGTATCCTATCCTTCACTCCTCATCCCCATCCCTGCTCTCATCTCTCCTCCCCCTCTCCCCCCTCCCCACCTGCATCTGCCATCAGATGCGTCCAAGCCTTGCCGCCTCGCTGACGGCGCCATGCACGTGCTGCTGGGCGGCGGGGCGGGTGGAGTCACGTCTGGCCATGCTGGCTCGCCTCGAGCGCGCCCTGCAGCGCTGCCTGGTGCGCGCACCTGCTGCTGGTTGGGGGAACTCTGGGGGAGGCGGGATGGGGGGGCTTTGGGGGGTGGGGGGTGGGGAAACTTTGTGGGGCGGGTGGAGTCACGCCTGGCCATGCTGGCTCGCCTCGAGCGCGCCCTACAGCGCTGCCTGGTGCGCCCAGGGTTGCTGCCAATTGTGGGGGGGGTCTGGAGGACGCGGGTGGGGGCGCATTGTGGGGGGCGCAAGATGGGGGGACTGCATGTGGAGGCTAGACATTGGAGGCCGCAAATTGAAGAGCTGTAGCGCTGGCAGGGGGTTGACTGGGTGCATGATACATTGTGAATGCTTTACTGACCTTGTCTGACCATCTGCATGTCATCCCCCTCCTTTTCCTCACCTCACCCATGCACACCACACCACACGTGCCCCTTTACCCTTTCCCCCATCCCCCCTTGCCAACGGCAGGCGCAATCTGCATCTGCGGCAGGCAGCAAGCAGGGCAGACAGGGAAAAGGGGCCAGGGAGAGACGGCGGGAGCGCAGGGCCCAAGCAGCAGCGGCAGAAGCAGCGAGTGGTGGGGGTGAGGGGGATGAAAGGAGAGAGGGCGGGCGCGAGGAGGTGGTGGTGGGTCTGGCTGCTTCCCCTGCCACGTGTGAACAGCTGCTCATGGGACCCGCCCTGCCAGATGGCACTCCCTCGCTCGTCCACGTCATCTGCGCTGCCCTCCACGTCACCCTGCACATACAGGTGCGTGAGAGGAGCGCCCATGCTGAGGGGAACCATGGGCGTGCTTTCAAGGCAGTGCCTGTGCTCACCTGTGGCATGCCCAGGGCTGCACCGTGCCTGAGGTGGGAGGCGTGTCATTGGGTGCACAGGTTTGGGGTTCACTATTACAGGTTTATTGCATGCGTGGCAGTGCAAGCATCCAACCCCATCCATGCCCATTCCCACCCCATCCCCAACCCATGCTCATGCCCCAATCCCCATCCTTATCCCCATCCCTACCCCCCTCACCCACACCACCAGGTGGATGTAGCACTGCCGTACGGCTACTTGTTGTTCTCCCACAATGGCCGCTCCACCATCGATCCCATCCTCATCCCCACCCGCTCCCTTTCTCCCTCCCCCACCCCCACCCCCATCCCCATCCCTACCCCTCTCACCCGCACCACCAGGTGGATGCAGCACTGCCGTACGGCTACTTGCTGCTGTCTCAGAATGGCCGCTCCACTGTCGACCCGCCTCTCACCCCGCACGACCCTCCCCCCCACGCCGCGCCTGCCTTCAACATCCCTGCATATCTCGCATCCATCCCATCGGGACCTTCGTCCCCCTCTCCTTCTCCGTACCTGCCTTCTCATGCTGCCTCCGCACCACTGGCACCGCCTCTTCTAGCAACAGCAGCTCATAGCACTAGCAGCAGCGCCACCAGCACCACCACCGCCAGCAGCAGCAGCAGCAGCAGCATGCGTGTGTTTGTGCAGCCTCTACCAGCTGGTGCCTCGGTGCGTGCCGACGCCCCAGTGCCGCCCAGAATCACCGTCTCCCCTCACTGGACTGCTGCGGGCCAGGCTAGGGGGGCCGAAGGCACAGCAGAGCTGCCTGCTTTCAGTGCACGTGCACAGCCCGGCTCCGCTGCTGCGTCTGCTGGTGTGAGAACAGGCTCAGGAGAGGCAGTGCAACGAGGGAGTGAGCTGGCAGGGGGTAGTGGAATGGTGATGCGGAGGAAGGCGGCGGGGGAGGCAGGGGCAGCAAGGGGTGCGAGGAAGAGTTCCAGGAGCAAAGCGAGTGGTGATGTTTCTGGAGGTAAGGCTAGCAGCAGCAGCAAAAGTAGTGGTGGAGGCAGCAGCAAGGGTAGTCAAAGTGGGAGTGCTTCAAAGGTGGAAAAGGCGAGAAAGGCTGTGAAGAAAAGAAAGGAGGATGGAGGAGTTAGTGTAGGGACACAGAGACGGCAGAAGTGAAGGAGCAGGTGCATTTATGACCGGGAAAGTATGTACGACAGCATATACCTACCTACCCATTGGCCTCACAAACTGACAGCATGTAAAGATTATTGACTTTTGTAAATCTAGGGGCATCCAATATGCTGTCACAAAGGAATAGTGTTTTTTATCACAAGAATGAATGTACTGGATTGAGAGGGCAAAGCCTTGGTTTGAGGTGTGATCAGTCATTTTCCAGTTCTGTTTTGTATCCATTCTTGCATGTAACTGAACCACGAACATACAAGAATGTCCTTATAGCGCGTGTAGCAGTTCTTCAAGGGACAGGGCTTTACGGAAAGGGAAGCCCCAGCGCCAGACGGATTTGGGGTCCACTTCTGTGTGGTTTGTCTGCTTCTGAAATTGTTGCTGTCAGGAACAGGAAGGGGGGAGAGAAGGAACACACATGCCAGGCCGATCACGTGGCAGCTTTTTGTTGAAGAGAGACCCATTCGCGTGGAATCGGCGCCTACTCATCACACCAAGGCCCAATCCGCATCAACCATTTCCGACAGTCGCGTTGCGTCCACGAACTCCGGTACAACCAGCAGCCACTCAAATCGCGTTGCCTTTTCGCATGCCCCTCCAGTGCACCCCTTCGTGGTCTGATTGGTTGGTGGAATCGCCCTTGCTTCACCCCGAACCCCCATTGAGATTCCATCATCGACACATCTCAGCCGTTCCCTTCTCTGTGGATGGATTAGCCGCTTTCCCCTGGGCTTCTCCCTCCATTTCCCAGGGACCAGGTAAAGTTCACCTCGATCTTTGCTCCACCATTTCAATCCACACATCTTCCCATACCTTGCCATATTTTTCCCCTCCAACCTTGAGATCGCTTGCCTGCTCGGCGATCTCTTTGGACCTAGCATATAATTCTGATTAGCTTTAGATCAACGCGCCGCCTACGTTCTTCCAGCAGCCATGGCCGCTATAGCCTCACCAATTACCTCGAGAACGCCGAGCAGACAACTGTCATCCTGTAGCCAGCGACAACAGACATGGTGCTCTCAGGTCTCCAGCTCTGCGCTGCAGCAGCCGCATAGAACACGCCAGTCCCAGCAATCATGCACTAGGGCCATCGCCGTTGTCCCAGGGACAGTCAGCAAGCGCACGAAGCAATACCAGCTGGAGATCCTTCAAACAACAGCCAAGCCGAAGCCGCAAAGCCCGGTGAGGCAGGTTTCGGACGCCGGGTTGACCCGACGACAACGGTTTCAGCAAGATGAGGACGGCGGGTTGCCGTCGAGACAAATCGCGCTGATTGCGACTGACGTGGATGGGACTCTGCTTAACAGCAATCACGCCTTGAGTGAACGGACCGAGAGAGCGCTTTTGATGGCGCAAGAGCAAGGCATCCAGGTTAGCATCAATTTGATATTCCAAATTCTACCCTTTTCTAAATCTGCTCGTATGATATTTGGAGCTTCAAATTACCCGTTGTACTTTCCATCAGCGGCAGTCTTAGTAAAAGCGTTTTTTTGGTGCAGGTTGTTTTGGCCACTGGCAAAGCAAGAGGGCCGTGGTTTCCTGAAATCAAGGAGCGACTGAAGCTTGAAAGTCCTGGGGTCTTTTTACAGGTAATTTTCTCGGCACTCTTGTGATTTATATTTCACAATAGCTATGCGCAATCCGTCTCACCAACCTTCATCGTCGTATTGCCTCGCTCCAGGGCTTGATGGTTTACAGTGCGGACGGAACTCTGTTGTACGAGCGAGCCATGGCGGAGGATGTGGCTCGACAGGTTATTCGGTTCGGCAAGGCCGAAGGTGTTACGCTCACGGCCTACTGTGGCGAGAGAATGTAAGCGCTGTGAACGTGGTGACATTCGCCTCTCCCCCTTCGTGTCAGCGACTCGCAGGCCTGCGTTTTTAGCAATTAAGTGGTACACGAGCTGTTTCGTTAGGGAATAGAGAGCACGTAGCTAAATAAAGGTTCATTTTTTGTCGGTGAGTTCTGCTTATTTAACTCCAAGTTTTCATGGTTCCAATTCGTTCCCCAGATTGTGTGAAGAAAGGGACGAACACACTGATCGTCTGATTCCCTATGGCGAGCCAATCCCCGAAGCCGTTGGGCCCCTTGAGGACCTCATTGGCATCACATCCATTCACAAGGTGTGTTGCTCAGCGACACTGCTCTCTCCCTCACCACTTATGTGTTATTCTATTCCCTTCAGTTCTCTCCCAATTCACTCTTGACTGCATGTAATGGATGATTTATGTGATAATCCGTTATTGTTAAACCATTTTTTCCAACATTCCCATCCCTTCCATACAAACCCTCCAGCTCATTCTCATGGCTGACGACGACAACTTGGCAGCACTAAGGCCTCGTTTGGACGCGGAGCTGGGTGGCAGGGGGTCGCTTATCACATCAGTGCCAGGCATGCTGGAAGTGCTTCCAGTTGGCGCATCCAAGGCCACAGGCCTTGCCACTGTGCTCGACATTATGGGTCTGGACCCGCAGCAGGTCATGGCGGCAGGAGATGGTGAGTTGATGGCAAAACCTAAATTGCAGCCTCTTCACCCTTTTTGTCAGATATCTCAGCTGCTAATTTTGATGCTGAAATTCCTCCTTGTAATGGCAGGTGAAAATGACATTGAGATGCTCCAGATGGTTGGTTTGGGTGTGGCAATGGCAAATGCTGGCCCTTCCGTCAAGGCAGTGGCAGACCATGTGTCGAGCTCAAACGACCATGATGGCTTGGCGGCTGCTGTGGAGAGATTTGCCCTCACTGCTGGACTCTGGTGCTGGGACTAAGATGCGCAAGTAATCACTAGCAGTGCCCTGAAACGATTCTGTGATAAAGCTAAGCATTCAGTAAGCTTCATTTTGTGCTGCTTAGGGTCAACAAGTACAGATTTCAGCAAGATAAATAGGTGGAAGTTTCTCATTGCTCCAGATGTCATGAAGTTATATCATTCAGACAAAAAGAGAGGGAATGATTTCGGGTGAAACACTAATTATATTTATTGTCTACAGTAGATTCCGTCATATAGAAGACTATTCAGAAGTATGTGTAGATCATCCCAATTAATTCTGGATTAGTTCATTTCGTCCGTTGGATCACGATGTTGCAGATGTCGAATCAGAATCTTCATGCTGTTCTACAGTACAAATTTCCCCAAATTGCGCCGTCCACAGGCATCCCCCGTTGGAGCAGCAGCCCCGCCCTCTGAGGCTGCGCTCCGCAAAACTCCCAAATCTGCGCTTTCACCGTAGTGTGTCAGGCTTTTGGGGGGAGCGCATTCACTAGCCCGCGCTGTTTGACGGATATCTTGCCATCCTTGCCGGAACCGTTAGGCTCGACGTTCTTGGCCGACACCCACGAGATTCGCAAAAGTCAGTCGTTCGAGCAGAGTACTGCTTGGTACGCGCAAGCGAAGCAACCATTCCGTCGCAAGCGCTATTTCGTTGGTCGCACACACGTTTCGTCACTTGGCCGTTTGCTGAAAATCATCCGCGCTCGCGGAATTTCGCGGGCAAATCTTGTGGGCGGTGCTTCCTCGTCCGCCGCTTGGCCCACCTCGGGATTGGTTGATAACTCTGGGCTGTGCTGAACCATCCCTGAAATGGTCGAGCAGAAACCGGGAGCAGCCAGACACACAACAGGATTCAACCACTTCTCAACCATCTCAACCGAGCACAACATGGCCATCTATCGTCTCGATCCCAGTTCAGACGAATCCCTCCCTAACCCCCACCCCAAATTGGGCAAACCAAAGGGCGCAACTCTTTCTGCTCATCTCCTCCTAATTCAAATGTTCATACGCGCCCTGTCGGAAGAACACGGGCGAACGCGGGGTCGCTTCCGCGTGCTCGCGGAAGCGACCTGCCCGCGGGCAAAAAAAAACTAAAACCCAACGCGACCGGCATGCGGTTCGGGAGCATCAACCCTAAAATTTTAGGGTTGAGGCTCCCGAATGGCATGCCGGTCGCGATGGGGTTTATTTTTTTTGCCCCCGGGCAGATCGCTTCCGCCGGCTCCGCGTCCTGGTGGAAACGAGTTTCCACCAGGGGGGCACCTGGTGGGTTTGCGCCCACCAGGGCTCGTACGAACTCCGTACCTCTTTGCCTGCACTGCCTTTCTCTCTGGCATTGCCCCTCCCCTCCATTCTCAATCTCACTCACCACGTTCTCTTCTTGCTCGCGACTAGTTTTGGCCGCTAGTCACGGTCTTATGGCGACTATCTCTCTCTTCCTCGTGAGTGGCTTTTCTTGTGATCGCTCGGTTTTGGTTCTCTAATGGTCGCTCGCTGGCTGCGTTTTCCACGGTAGCGTTTCCTGCGGGGATTTGTCTTCTCCGTGCCGTTCACACGGCGATGAAGCAATAATGTCCGAATAGTTCGTCCAACAAGGTTAGGCTTCCAATGCGATTCTTCGAATGAGTTTTGTTCGCCGCGAGATTTCATCGTCGATCAGATTTCACGTTTCGCTGTCGCGCATGTCAAATAATACTTTCTCGATTTTGCACTTCTTGTTCCCGATTCACGCTCGCCAGATGCTCCCATCGCGACAACGCAATTCCTCGTTCCAACGAACTCCAATCCTGCTCATCCGTACTCCGGTCACTGGTCGCGCGCGTCATAACGATTTCCGCGAGTGCTTCGGTACGACTCACGAATATTGAGATGATTTTAGGACTGCCTTTTCTGTTGCTCCGTTGAATTTCGGCAATCGCATTTCTCGTCCCTACTACTCGTCGTTGTTGCTGTTTTGCTGCGTCATTATCACCACTCGTTATCCCAAATTCCTCACTCCCCGTTATTGTCTGTGTTCAGATGCAGCAGACGACGCTATCGAAATCGTCCGCGCGTAGTCGCACGGCGAGACCGTCGTCCTTGCGTCGTCGCATGGCGAGATCGTCGTTCGCGCGTCGTCGCGAGCCGAAATCGTCGTCCGCACGATGTACCCCTGCGAAATTGTCGTCCGCGCGTCGCCGCACGGCCAAATCGTCATCCGCGATTCGTTTCATGGCGAAATGGTCGCACGGTTGTGCCTCCGTTGACGTGGGCTGCAGCTGCGCTCTCGGTGCTTCTTCAACCGCCAGCTAAGTGCCTTCTCCTCCCTCCACTCTCCCTCGCTTGCTGTCCACCGTTGCTGCTCACCGTTTCTCCCTGAAATACTCGCCACTGGTTGGGGCCCGCCTCACAAGCAACAGACCCCCACCCCCCATTGCAGGTAAGCCCATCAGGTACAGGTTCAGCCCCCCTAAAGCCTTACAACCCCCTCAGGTTCCCCTGGGGGTCTGTGGCTTGTGGATGTGCCTCCACCAGTGGCCCCTCCCTTGTCTTGCCTTTGTTTCTGCTGTCTCACACGCTGCACTGGCCATTCCCCATCTCACTCTCGCTCCCACCTCCCCCGCTGCCTTCACCTCATTCCTCATGCCCCCCCCCCCTCGCTGCCCTCCCCGCCCTGCCAGAAGAGCGCAAGCCAAGAGGAGAGCAGCAGGCGAGCAGCAAGCAACGTGGAGGGCCGAGGCGGGCAGCAGGAGGGAGGGCAGCGGGGCAGCAGCGTCGGCCTCATCAACGGTCGAGGTTGCAGTATCGCCCCTGCCACCACACTCCACTTGAGCCCACTCCCCCTCAGGTTCAGGTTCAGGTTGGTAGCGGCTCTTGTGGGGCTGTGGTTGGCGTCACATGCACCGACGTTTTTGCACTCGCACTGCTGCCAGAGTCTTCTCGTTTAACAAAGTCTCTCCCTCCCACCTGCCTCTTACTATCTCTCTATCTCTCTCTCCCTTCTCTGCCTCGCAGGTCCGTCCCTTCAAGCCCCGCTCGCCCTGCCCACTCTCCATTGAAGCACCCCCTCCGCCTGCACCACACAATCAGCTAAGTACCCGTTCCCCCATGCCCGCACCCTTGCCAGCAGCATCGTTTCGTTTGTTTCATCTGCTGATGCACCGTCTTCTTGAAACAACGCCACTGGTAGAGCGCGGTTCACATGCTACAGACCCCCACTCTTCAGGTAACCCCCTCAGGTGCAGGTAACCCTCTCAGGTGCAGGTAACCCTCTCAGGTGCAGGTACACCCCTCAGGTTTTTTTTCAGGTGCCCTTGGGTCTGCAGCTTGTGGCCGTGCCTCAACCAGTGGCTCCTCCTCCCTTCCCTTGTGCTGGATTTCAAGTCACAGTTTCCCATTCAACTTGCTCCCACCACCGCGCTCTGACTAGCTCTGTGTGTGCGCATTGCAGGTGGCGGGGAGGGGTGTGGGGTCAACACCGACGCTCCCTCACGCCCCTCCCCTGTGGCCGTGCAGGGAGGAGGCACCTGGAGGAGGGCTGCTGCGGAGGGAGGCAGCTGGTGGTGCTGCAGCTGCCTTGAGCTCGCCCTCACGCTATCAGTTAAGTACCCGTTCCTCCACGCCCTCACCCTTGCCTGCCATATCGTTTCCTTTGTTTGATCTGCTGTTGCACTGTCTTCTTGTAACAATGCCACTGGTTGAGTACTGCTCACATGCTACAGACTTCCCTGCTTCAGGTAATTCCCTCAGGTGCAGGTTTTTTTTCAGGTCCCCTTGGGTCTGTAGCTTGTGGTCGTGCCTTCACTGGTGGCTCTTCCCTATTCTCTTGTGCTGGATTTGAAGTCAATGTTATTCATTCGACTTACTCCCACCATCGCGCTCTGACTAGCCCTGTGTGTGCTCTTTGCAGGTGACGGGGAGGGGTGTGGGGTCAACACCGACGCTCCCTCACGCCCCTCCCCTGTGGCCGTGCAGGGAGGAGGCACCTGGAGGAGGGCTGCTGCGGAGGGAGGCAGCTGGTGGTGCTGCAGCTGCCTTGACCTCGCCCTCACGCTATCAGCTAAGTCACCCACTTCCATGCCCTCACCCTTGCCCGCCACATCATGGCTTGTTGCTTTCTTGCTGCCATTTCGTTTGCCGGTTGTGCTTTCGCCCTTCCCTTTGAAACAATGCCACTGGTTGAGCACGATTAACATGCCTCAGACCCCCTCACTTCAGGTAACCCCCTTAGGTGCAGTGCAGGTAACCCCTTCAGGTGCAGGTACACCCCTCAGGTTCTTTTTCAGGTGAAGCCTTGGGTCTGCAGTTTGTGGCCGTGCCTCCGCCAGTGGCTCCTCCCTTCCCTTGCACTGGATTTCAGGTCACAGTTTCCCCTTCAACTTGCTCCCACCACCGTGCTCTGACTAGCTCTGTGTGTGTGCGTTGGGAGGGGTGTAGGGTCAACACCAACGCTCCCTCACGCCCCTCCCCTGTGGCCGTGCAGGTGGCAGTGGTGGAAGGGGAAGGGTGCAGCACTCCATTCGGCTGGGATGGAATGGGAGAGTATCGGGATGGGGTCGTCTGGAACAAGGTGAGCCTCTTTTTCCTCATGCACTCATGCTGCTGCTTGGTCTTCTCCCCATACTCACATTTCTTTCTTGCTCGCTCCCTGCCTTCACTCTTCTCCCTGTTCTCACTGCTGTCCCTTGATCCCCCGCCTTTCTCCATCTCCCCTCCCTCTCTCCTCCCTCCCAGAGCATTGAAGGCTGTAGCAGCGTAGCAGCAGGGCAGCACGGGGGCAGCAGGAGGGCAGCAGCGGGGCAGCAGGTCGCTCACACGGGAGTGGCAGTGGCGGGGGACATGGAGTGCACAGGCAGCACCTGCGCTCCACCCAACCCAACCAAAGCTAAGTACCCCGCCTTTCCTCTAATCTCCCAATTTTCGCTCGCACTGTTGCTTTCGCACGCACTGTTGCTTTTCCTCTAAACCTGAGCCTCTGGTCATGCCACATTTTCAAGCCACAGACCCCTTTTTTTAGGTAAACCACCCCAGGTACAGAAGGTATTTTCTCAGGTTAAGCCTCCCTTGGTATATAGCCCCTTGAGTCTGTGGCTTGTAGCTGAGGCTGCACCAGTGGCCCCCTTTCCTGCTGTCGCCCCACCCCACCCCAACCATGTACTCCCTTCACATTGTTACCCCTAGCCGCTTACTCACTAGTCTTCAGTTCTCTCCTTGCAGGTGGAGGGGAGGGGCGTAGGGGTCGACACCGCCACTCCCCTGCACCCCTCCCCTTGTGGCTGTGCCAGATGGCAGTGGTGGGAGGGGAGGGGGGCAGCACTCCACTCGGCTGGGATGGAATGGGAGAGTATCGGGATGGGGTCGTCTGGAACAAGGTGAGCCTCTTTTTCCTCATGCACTCATGCTGCTGCTTGGTCCTCTTGACATGCTCACTTTTCTTTCTTGCTCTTTCCCTGCCTTCATGCTTCTGCCTGCTCTTCTCCCCATTCTCACTGCTCTCCCTTGCCCCCCTGCCTCCCTCTCTCTCCCTTCCCTCCCAGTACATTGAAGGCTGTAGCAGAGCAGCAGGGGGCAGCAGCGGAGGGTAGGGGAGGGACCGCAGCAGCAGCAGGGGAAGCAGAGTAGCAGACCGGCAGCAGCAGGAGCGGTAGCTAGAGGGCAGTCTAGGGTAGATATAGCTGCAGGTGAGGTGTGGTACAAGGTGTGGTATGGTAACAGGTGTGGTATGGTTACAGGTGAGGTATGGTAAGCTGATCCCCTCCTCTCTCACTTCCCCTCCTTCAGGCTGAAGGTGGGAGCACTGGAGCAAGGGCGGGAGAGTGGAGTCCACCCTCTCACTCACCTCCTCCTCTCTCCCTTCTCCCTCCCTTCCCTCCCAGCAGCATCCTGCCTGGATCACAGAGGAGTCCTGCCCCCCCCCCCCTCCCAATCACCCCCCCTCCTTCCCAGCAGCCTCAGCATCATGGCGCTCTGCATGGCTCAGGTAAGTACAGGTAAGCAGAGGTGAGGAGGCATGGGGGTGAAGTGTGGGGGGGATGGGTGGGTGGGGGAGCATGGGAGCAAGCAGGGAGTTCACTGCCTTAGGGGCAGCATCTCCTGGGGTTTTGTCTTGTGGGTGGGGTGTGGTGGGTGGAATCTGCGCGGCACGGCACTCGGTGCTCAAGTAACCGATCTGGCGTTCAAGGCCTAATGGACACCGTCAGAGCCGACCGGCCGGCGGCTCTGGTTCGCGTCAGCTCTGGCTACGTCAGGGGTGGGATTTGAGTCTTGGGCTGGAAGCAATTTTCCACTACAGCACCTCGCCCCACAAGGCACCGCCTCTGGGGGTGCTGTTTCCTTAAGGAGGTGGGCTTTCTGCTGCTCCTACTGCTGGCAGGTGAGTGTGGGGATGGGCTGGGTGGGTGGGTGAGCGAAGGGGGGCTGAATCCCCTTGGGTGGGTGGGTGAGAGGGGAGGGGACTGAATCCCCTTGGGTTGGGTGGGTGAGAGGGAAGGGGTAAATTCCCTTGGGATCTCTGCTGCTCTTACTGCTGGCAGGTGATGTTGGGGATGGGCTGGGTGGGTGAGTGAGGGGAAGGGGACTGAAACCCTTGGGTGGGTGAGTGAGGGAAAAGGGGCTAAAACCCCTTGGATGGGTGAGTGAGGGAAAAGGGCTTAAAACCCCTTGGGTGGGTGAGGGAGGGAATAGGGACTGAAACCCCTTGGAAGGGTGAGGGAGGGAAAAGGGTTGAAACCCCTTGGGCGGGTGAGTTAGAGGGAAGGGGACTGAAACCCCTCTTAAGAGGGCGTGTGGGAGGGAAGAGGGCGTGTGGGATGGAAGGGCGCTGGAACCCCTTGGGTGGGTGAGTGAGGGGGGATTGGGTGAGCAAGTGAGAGGGAAGGGGGCTGAAACCCCTCTGGTGTGCTGGGCAGGTGAGAAGGAAAAGGGTTGAAACCCCATGGGTGGGTGAGTGAGAAGGAAGGGGGACTGAAACTCCTTGGGTGGTTCACAGAGAAAACGGAGCGGGAATTTCCTGGGTGTTCTATTTAAAGTTGTGAGTCTGAGTTACTGAGAAAATCTGAGAATGTGAGAATGAGTGTATGTGAGTCTGAGTTGATGAGTAAGTGAACGTGAGAATGAGTGTATGTGAGTCTGAGTAAGTGAATGCGAGAATTAGCGTATGTGAGTATGAGTTAATGAGTAAGTGAACGTGAGAATGAGTGTATGTGAGTCTGAGTTGATGAGTAAGTGAACGTGAGAATGAGTGTATGTGAGTCTGAGTTAGTAAGTGAATGCGAGAATTAGCGTATGTGAGTATGAGTTAATGAGTAAGTGGACGTGAGAATGAGTGTATGCGAGTCTGAGTTGATGAATAACTGAACATGAGAACGAGTGTATGTAAGTCTGAGCTAATGAGTAAGTGAACGTGAGTATGTATGCGAGTCTGTGTGTGTAAAAGTGTCTGAATGTGCATCTGGCAGGTGAAAATGACATTGAGATGCTCCAGATGGTTGGTTCGGGTGTGACAATGGCAAATGCTGGCCCCTTCGGTCAAGGCAATGGCAGACCATTTGTCGGGCTCAAACGACCATGATGGCTTGGCAGCTGCTGTGGAAAGTTCTCCCTCACTGCTGGACTATGGTGCTGGGACTAGGATGTGTGGACGAAGTTTATGTCTGTCGCACTTTCAACAACTTGTTGCTCCAGTTGGCAGCTGTTTTTGTGACTGATGTCATGCCATCATGTTTTTTTTTGTTGTTCAAATGGGTATTGTCGAATAAAAAGGTGGCTGCAGTGCGTCTTGGAACTGATGTAGGGTGGTGGTTCCTGAATGGGATATATTGGACTAATGTGGTTGTATATGTTACTTTCTGCTGATGGAGTGCTCCTCAAAATTAGCGTTATTGCCAAATATTAAGCAAGGAGAGCAGAGAACGACTTAGGTTGTGGACTAATGGAGGACACAAAAGCATCTTTGTATGATAGCCATTTAGTAAGAGTTGCTGAAGAGAAGACAGAACATTGTGATAGGGGATTAAGTACTATGTATTGTTGAAGCCTAGGATATTATACTGAAGTCGCATCCATCTGCAGCATGTGCGAGACCCGCCCGCCATCGGCGAGGTTGCTTCTGCGATGATTCGTAGAAGTACAACACGATACTTCTTTCGGGACTGCATGTTGAAATGGGCACCGCAGCGAGATAGTGCATGTACCTACTGTACTTGAATGGTTTTCCAGCCCAAATCTCGTTGTGCACCAATCACAGTCTCGCTAGCCACGCCAGAAAGTGAGAATTGTTACACCACAAGGGCTCCACGCGCTCGACAACGCGCACCGTCTTCTCTTGGTCTAGAAATTTACAAGATACAATGCGACGCGTATCGGGTTAACTGTTATAGTCTTCCCACACTGTAGTTTTAAGCTGCCCCACTATGTAAACTCCGTGGATAAGGTCATTGAGCAAGGGAGTCAATTCATTATATTAGTTCGTGGATAGAATGTTTGTGGAGGGTACAATGTGGTAGATGAGTAGAACAGGGTGTGAAGGAATTGTAAGTCAGCAAAATTCCCTTGTTCAAAGGATGGCTCCTTTCCAAGAATAGCCCCCCTCACGCGCCGCATCCCAGCGCGACGCGAACCCGTCAGCAGCCCGCCTGGCGGGTCTCATTTCATCAAACCACGTGGGCTCCACACCACAAACCACCCGTTCCAAGAGCTTGTGTGCGCCATTCCGCCCCGCCGTGGTTGAGCAGCACACGGAGGCGGGCGCAGGCCTGCGGCACACGGAGCTGGGAAACGCGTGCGGAGCAGCGGAGGAGAGTGATGCAAGTCCGCATCCAGTTCACCGACGTGGGAAGGGAATTCGCGAAGGAATTGCCTTGTCGCACACAGATAGGGGGAAACGCTGAGGCGATACAACAGTACACGGCCCGGAGCGCTAAGCGCAGTGTACAGTAACAAAACTTTCAAGGGCCGCCCCAGCAAAGGCCAGCACACAATTCTTTTTCGGTTGTGCGGGATGGAATGCGATTTTGCGCAACAAGCGCGAAATACACCCAACCTTCGTCCTAGATTTGCTGTCCGCTAGTGATGTATCGCTTCTGTACCTTAACTCGTGTCTGCCTCCCATCTCGCTCTCAGCTTTCTGCGGAAGCTTGCGGTGTCAACTCCTGTGCTGTGCCCCATTTCTGGTTTTTGATCCACTTTGACTGCCCCCACTACTACCACACCTCGCCGCACCATGCTCCCCGCTCTCGCTCCAGCACAGCAGAGAAATTGGGCGCGCGGGACAGGAGGCGTGCAAAGGTCGCCATTTGACACGTTTCACCTCCAAAACCGGCCACTACCCGCCGTATGCACATGTAGCGAGCTAATAGACCGCACTAGACTCTATCATACATCGCAAATCCTTCGCCTCTCCTCTTCGCAAGAGGAACGCCTCCCGACCAAAAGTCCACCAAGTGTCGCAACGCAGTCGCCAAGTCCTGCTATCGCCAAGCGTCACTCCGCGCCGACGTCGGCGTTTCTCTACGGGCGAGCTGCGGCGACCAGCTTACGATCGCCTCGTCGTCGCTTCACGTCGCCACACCGCGGCGCATCATTTCGAATCCGTCAGGCGCCACGGTTGATCGCCGCGGCACACTCACGAATCCAGCGAGACCGTGCCGCGTCGCCCTCCACATCTTGACATTGAACCGTCGCGGCACCGCGCCGCCCCTGCCATGTTGCTGACGCTGTCAGCGTCGTCCATTCCGTCGGATTCCCTAGCTTCGCGCTCCGCGTCGCGACGCCCCTACTCGCTGCCGTTTCGCTCCCTTTCGCGCGCCGCAGCCCCCGGCAAGGAGGGGCCTTCCGCCGCGTTCGTCCCTCGCGCATGCGCTAGTATGACCGCCGTTGCGCCCATCGCAGACGATCTGCGCGCGCTGGACGGTGGAGCCCGCCTGCCCCCGCAAGACGCGGGGAAGAACTCCGCGAACTTGGCGGAGCGCAGAGATGAAGGCGCGCAACAATCTCGCAGGGAATGCTCGCACGCGGAGAAGCGGAAGCTGAGCGCCAGCGCCGATGCTGGATGCCGCATTGGCGGCGATGCAGCGGCGACGACGCCCGAGGGAACGGAGAGCAAAGCCGACTCGACGAGATCCGCGGAACCTGCCGCGAAGAGACCTCGCGGGAGCGCCGATCACGACGAGGAACCGCCACTGGCGCAGCTTGCGGAGACGAACAACCACGGTGGCGGCATCTCGCCGCCCCGTGCTCTCTCTTTTCCGCCTGCCGCCGCGCCTCACCCTGCGCCTGCGGCTGCTGTTGCGCACCAGTCCCCTGAACTCGCGCCCCGTCTCCCTTGGGCGGCACCGCCCGTTGAACCGACGGACTCCGCGACTGCGCGTCCCGCTGCTGACGTGGATGACAAGTCGGGGGAGAGCGGAGGCGCTGGGTTGGAGGAAGGGGACGAGGCGGAGGGGGACGAGGGCGAGGGGGATGGCGAGGAGGCGGTTGGCGGGGTGACCGCCGCGGATGGCGGCGCGTGCGGCAAGAAGAAGCGGTACCGTTACAAGCGGCTGTCGAAAGCGGGTTACATTCCGGACGACGGGCAGCACTGGCACAAATACGGGCAGAAAAACCTCGTAGACGCGGGATACTGCAGGGCGTACTACCGGTGCGCGCGCAGGAGCGCGGGGTGCGCGGCGAAGAAGACAATCGACTTCCCCATTCGGTGGGGGCTGGACATGCGCGTCACGTACAGCGGCTCGCACACGCACGGACTGCCGCCCCGCCTGCAGCGCGAGGTCTTCACATACGCCACCACGCCCGCCCAGCTGCCGCCCAATATCTCCGTGCCGCCCAACGTGCTCGCTGCTGCGGCAGCCAATGCTGCTACAGCCGGCGCTGCGAGCTCCTCTGCCGCGTCTGCGGAGTCCAATCCCGCGTCTGCCAGTGCCGGCCCGTCCCCCATCTCCCCTCCGCTCACTGCTTCCCCCGCCCCACCCGCTCCTGCTCCTCCTGCTCCTGTTGCTTCTGCTCCTGCTGCTGCTACTCACTCTTCTGCCTCTGCCCCTCCCGCTCTCAACTCACCTGTTATGAGCGGCGCTGGTAACCATGTAACTGGTAACACGGTGCACGCATGCAGCCCTGCTCACCACGGGCAGTCACAGCCCATCCAGACGCTTCCTCGCTTCCTCTCTCCACAGCAACCACAGCAGCAGCAGCAGCACCAGCAGCAGCACCAGCACCAGCAGCAGCAGCAGCACCAGCAACACAGGACTACCGCTTCAGTCCCACAACGCAACAACCCATGCCACCCAGCCCGGGCCTGGCCTCCCCTGCGCCCTCCGCGTCCTCCCTCTTATCCTCCTCCCCCTCCCTCTTGACTCTTCCGCCCACCCACCGCCCCTCTCCCGGCGGACCCACTGCCGCGGCTGCTGCTGCTGCTGTTGCTAATAATAGCAATGCTTTGATGAATCAGCCACAAGAGCCGCAGCAACCACAGCAACAGCAGCAGCAGCAGCAGTTCACGGCATCACCTGCTCAGCCCTCCCCATCGCACCCTCCTGGAAACTTCATGCTGCCGTCGCCCATCTTTGCACCCAGCAGCCGTGGAAGCAACCCGGAGCTTTCCAAGCCAGTCGCTGCGTCAACCTTTCGCCCCTTGACCGCCTCGTCCTCCTTCCACCGCTACCCTCCCGCTTCCGCTCCCGCCACTGCTTCCATTCAATCCGCTGCTCCTTCAGCTGCTCCCTCCGCTGCTTCTGGCGCTGCTGCTGCTTCACCTGCTGCTTCACCTGCTGCACCTGCTGCACCTGCTGCTACGCCTGCTGCGCCTGCTGCTGCGCCTATGGATTCCCAGCGCCCACCCATGCCGCCCCCGCACGCCGTCAACCCGCCCCAATACATGCAGATGCCGCCCCAAAACATGCCCATGCCGCCCCAAAACATGCCCATGCCGACTCAGGCATCACCTGTCCCTCCCAGCTGCACCTGCCCCATCCACCATCACCCTCAACAGCAGCAGCAGCAGCCCCAACAGCAGCACCAATCCCAGCAGCAGCAGCACTACCAGTCCCACCCCCATCCTCCCCCCTCCGTCTTCGCCCCTCTGCCCGCACCTGCGCCCGCCGCCCCCCCTGCTTCAGTGCCCGCGCCTTACGGCGGCGCTGCAGGGTGCACTGGCGGATCGCAGATCGCGGTGCATTACCAGCCGAACACGCTGACTCAGCAAGGAGTGGTGAGTCAGCAAGGGGTGGTGATGAGTCAGCAAGGGGTGGTGATGAATCAGCAAGGGATGGTGAGTCAGCATGCTTCGGCAGGACAGCAGTCCCTCACACCTCCATCTCCCCTTCTCCGCCTGCCCTCCTCACTGCAAGCACCTCCCCCCACTCACACCACCAGCCCAGCTTATTCCTTCTCCACCCCTCCCTACGCCTCCTCCTCTACCTCCTCCACCCACACTCTCTCCCTCTCCCCCCCGTGCGCCCCTCCCCCGCACCTCCCCCTCTGCGCCGCCATCTCCCCCTCTCCCGTCCAGTCCAAGCGCCCGCCCATGCTGCAGGCCTCCCCGCAGCTACAGCCGTCTCAGCAGCACCAGGCGTCACCATCACCGCTCCAACCGCCAGCGCTACAGCCGGGGCCTTTACAGCTACAGCCGTCCGCATCGGCAGTGCAGCAATGGACGCCTTCCCCTCACATGCAGCAGGGTGCACAGCCCACGTGGCCTCCTGTGCCGCCTGCAGGGGTCACTTGCTCGCCTGCCCAGCCATGCACACTTCACCCGCCTGCCGTGCCACCTGCTTCTCCGTGCCTTCAACACACTGCTGCCCCCTGCTGCCCTCATGCCTCCCTGCCCTGCCAGCAACAGCAGCACCAGTGGCAGTACCAACAACAACAGCAGCCGCAGCAGCAGCCGCAGCCGCAGCCGCAGCCGCATCAGCAACAGCGGCCGCAGTGGCAGCAGCAGCAGCAACAGCAGCGGCAGCAGCAGCAGCAGCAGCAGCAATGGCAGCAGCAGCAGCAGCAGCAGCAACAGCAGCCGCAGCAGCAGCAGCAGCAACAGCAGTGGCAGCAACAACAGCAACAGCAACAGCAGCAGCAGCATCAGCAGCAGCAACAGCAGCAGCAGGGGCAGCAGCAGCAGCAACAATGGCAGCAACAGCAGCAGCAGCAGCAACAGCAAGTGTGTTCGCATGCTGTTCCTGCTGCTGCTGCTCCTGCCCCTCCTGTTCTCCCCGCAATCCACGCAGCACACAGCACAGCACACAGCACAGCAGGAATAACCACCACCCCCCACACACACCACTTTGCTTCCCCCAACACTGCTGGTGGGGCCGGTCAACAGGGGACAGCAGCACAAGCAGCGGCGCAAGCGGCCCCTCAGGCACAGCAGGGGGAGGGCATGATGCTGCTGGGGAAGTTTATTCTGTCACCCTCCCCGTCTCCGTCCCCTTCCCCAGGGGACTCGCCGCGCAGAAGCCTGAAAAGGGAGGAGTCGTGTTGGGTGGGTAGGGAGGAACAGCAGGGGCGGGTGGCGAGGGCGAGGGAGGGTGCGAGGGGGAGTGGGGGCGTGGTGCAGCGGCTGACTGCGCAGTTTGACGCACAGTGCGAGGCGGAGGGGGCAGCTGACGGTGCTCATGGTGCTCATGGTGCTCATGGTGCTCATGGTGCTCATGGTGCTCATGGTGCTCATGGTGCTCATGGTGCTCATGGTGCTCATGGTGCTCATGGTGCTCATGGTGCTCATGGTGCTCATGGTGCTCATGGTGCTCATGAGGTTCATGGTGCTCATGGTGCTCATGGTGCTCATGAGGTTCATGGTGCTCATGGTGCTCATGGTGCTCATGGTGCTCATGGTGCTCATGGTGCTCATGAGGTTCATGGTGCTCATGAGGTTCATGGTGCTCATGGTGCTCATGGTGCTCATGAGGTTCATGGTGCTCATGGTGCTCATGGTGCTCATGGTGCTCATGGTGCTCATGGTGCTCATGAGGTTCATGGTGCTCATGAGGTTCATGGTGCTCATGGTGCTCATGGTGCTCATGAGGTTCATGGTGCTCATGGTGCTCATGGTGCTCATGGTGCTCATGGTGCTCATGGTGCTCATGAGGTTCATGGTGCTCATGAGGTTCATGGTGCTCATGGTGCTCATGGTGCTCATGGTGCTCATGGTGCTCATGGTGCTCATGGTGCTGACGGTGCTGACGGTGCTGCAGGTGCCACGCAGTGTGTTGCTGACTTCAGAGCACCGAAAGACCAGAGCCGCAGGGAGGTCAACTTGAACCTCTCTCTCTAGGAATCAACTTTTTAGTTGACTCAGAACCCAGTTGTTGGGATACGGTATGTGTTGACTCCAGGTGCTATGCTGTCTAGGAAAGTGGAATCATACATGACCCAATGTTCCGGTTTGAGCTCTGTGGGGCATTTTACATTGGGATGGAGGCTTCATTATTGAGTGATCAGCTAAGGAATGAAAGAACTACGCAACAACAGGGAAGTGAGCAAGCGACAATACATTAACAGACCCCCACAACAACGTGTACAAATATCAATAAAAATAAGGCCACATGTCCAACTATACCTCGCATCCCTTCTTGGCCCCCCTGCTCTCCACCTCATCCTCCACCTCCTCACCCGCACTGCCTTCCCCACTGCTACCACTGCCACCGCTGGCATCGCTGCCTTCCATATCGGGCTGCGCCTGAGGCACCTCCAGCATGGACCCGGGTGTTTCCCCCGTGCACTCAGACGCACGCCCCTCCTCGCCTGCCCCCGCGCATGCCTGCAGCTGCCGCACCCACAGCGGGAAATCCACACTCGCTGCAATCGCCGCCGCTGCTGCTGATGCTGCCACGGCTGAGTCTGAGCCTGCCGCCTCAGGTGCGACTGCCGCCTCTGCTGCCGCCTCTGTAGCTTCCGGATCTCTAGTTTGCCGAGCCTGCAGAGGCTCGGCCAGAGCTATGGTGACTCGGCATGGTAGCGGGGACGGTTGTTGCGATCTAGAAGGGTTGGAGAGTCGGGGACGGTGGGGAGTGTCTGGGGAGAGGAGGGGGAAGGTGAGAGCGGTGCAGGGCGCGCTGGGGAGTGCGCGGGGGAGAACGGGCGGCGCACTGCCAATGCGCGGCTGCACAGGAGGAGAGGTAGTGGATGGCGGAGCAAGGGTTCTCCCCAGTGGGCTGGGATGGCTATGACGACGACGCACAGGGAAGCATCCGGCAACGCCGTCCGCTGCCGTCTGCGCCTCGGCTGTCTTCCGCTCCTCCCCTGCGCGCTCCGGCTCATCCGGATCCGTACCAGGTGAAGCGCTCGGATGCGCTGCCCCCGCGCGCTCCGCCAAGCTCGACCCCTCCTCCGCCTTCTCCGCCGCGCACTGCGTTGACTCCACCTCGTACTCCCCGCCACGTCCGCTGCCCCCACTTCTTCCGCCGTTTCTCCCCGAGGAGGTTCCGCCGAAGCGCACGGTCATAACACTGGAGCCCAGCTCCCGCGTGTGATGCGGCGCCGCGGCGCCAGTCGAGTCTACACCGGCAGCCGCGTCCACGCGCCCTCCAACGGCTAGTTGCGCCGCGTCGTGCGCTGCAAGAGTCACGACACCAGCTGCCGCGCGTGCGTTTTCCGCCTCCCTGGCGGCTTCCGCCGCGCGCTCCTCGGAGTTGGTATTCTCACTCGATTGGTCGCCGCTGCCGCTCGCACTCGAGGCGCCTCGCGTTGCCGGCACGCGGTGCTTCAAGCCACCTTGACGGACGACAAATTTTCTCTTCTGCCCGCGGGCAGCGGCGAAACCTGGGCTGTCCAGCATCTGGCGCATCCCGCTCAGAATGCCCAGCCGCTGCTTCCGCCGCCTCTCTTCCTCCGATCCCGCCTCTAATTTCCCCCAATCTTGTGTTCCGCCAGCCCCCCCAGCTTCCCCGTGCGCCGCTTCCGCGCACGCCCCCGCGTCCATCCGCCGGCGCTTGGCTGCGCGGAGGCGCTCCTGCCACGTCCACGGCCACGCGGAAGGTTCCTCAGCGGGAGGGGGAAGGGCGGTCGTATCCTCCGAAACTAGAACAAGCTGCAGCTGCGAAGCGGGCAACCCCGAGCCGAGCGGATTCACCGTTGCGCCTCCCCTCTCAGCGCACGTCTCTCCCCCTTCCCCCGCCAGCGGTTCACGGGAAGCGATGCCCTTGCCTCTCTGGCATCGCATGGCTTGGATTGGGCCGAACGGGAACACTGTAGGAACAGGCTCGGGCAGAACCGACGGCAATGATGGCTGGGTCGCGCCAGGTACGGGAGACTCCGCGAGAGACGCGAGCGGGAGATGCGGCAGGGCAGGCGGGAGAGAGAGAGGCGACGATTCATCGTGGGACCGCGCTGATGGTCGCGGTGGGCAACGAGGATCGGCGGATCGGCAGATACGCGGAGCGCAAGGGAGGGGAAGGGGAAGGGGAAGGTCTGTGTCGCACTGATTTGGTGCGGTGGGAACGGCAATGGCGGGGCGTGTGGATCCGAGCTGAAGGACCTTCCACGTGTCGCTAAAGCTCTTAGACTTGGTGCGATTCCGCGACAGGTTTATCCACGCCATGAAGTCGGTACGAGCTCGCTTTCGATGTAAGCTCGCGGATGGAACAAAGCTTATGTCGTGGAAGAAAGAGATATGGTGCGCGTGTAAATGGCCTACAATGGGTAAAGAAAAACGACGTGCTAATGAAAAAGAATGATGAGGAAGCAATACAATATTTTGCAAATGGCCGTGGTTGTGTGTATGCTGGGCAAATCAAACGAGTGCCATCCAGTTGCTGTTCCCTGCCATTCCCCACTTCCCGTCAAGTCCAATCCGGATTCTCTGGAGTTCGTTTCAGAGGACCTGCTCAGCTCACCCACCCCACAGAGCAGAACAGCGCGTGGGAGGAGGCGGGAGTGATAGGCTGTGCTCACAACCACATTCATTGCCAGATTGAGCAGGAGTGTATCTCGTGGGGTAATTACCTCCACTCTACCCAAAAAACCATGTCGGTAGCTCTGTGCTTCACTCAAGGCGGAAAATTTTGAAGTTACGTCAGGGTTCGTAATAAACCTGAAGTGGCTGACCTGAACCCACACTTTAGTGGCTGAACACGGAGAGTGGGTCGATTCACAACCTGGTCTTATTCAAGACATTCGCTCGTTGTAGTTTCCTCCTTCGGGGAAAACCATACAGTTTGCCCAACACCGAATGAAATGGTTCCATTGCTGCTCTCCGAATCACATGCTCTTCTCGGGGGATTCTGCAATGGACATGCGTTCATGCGCGACGACGACTCGCGACGATTTGCTGAATGCGTGGATAGATTGGAACCCGTTGCCATCATGATTGGACAATCAACTGCCTTGAGAGCTGGCTACGTGTCATTGAGAATGGAGGAGCAGGAACAAGCGTTTCGATCTCGCACAAGGCACGCCTGGACGATCACATGAGACCGCCAGTGTGCCAGCGAAGCACGGCTGGATCCGACGGCTGTGTCTCTTGTCATTTTAAAACCAGAAGCGCAATCTGTGGCTGCCGAACCCATAGGAAAAATATCAGAAGCACGGCTTCTAGATGGCGAGTCTGGTACACTCGTTGCAAAAGGCAGAGAGGAACAAACGTGTTGACGCGTGACCTTCGCCTGAGGTGTACACCCATGTGCAAATCTCGGGACTTGCTGGACTAGGTTCGCTATGGAAGCTGTAGACACTCGTGTGCACTAGAAATAACTTCATGTGGCGATATGAAGGATAAATGGGGACCGCTGTTGTATTTCATATTTACAAATCTCTACATCACACACAACTAACGTTCCTTTGCAACTCAATACTACAGTTTTAGTTCCAGGTCCAGGTTGGAAGTCTTCCCATGCGACACACTAAGTGTGCTACTCTTCTCCTTTGAAGAATCCACATGTGCAGATCCTTCACGAGTGGAATTGGTAGCCACTGCAGCAACCAGAGGAATAGCCCCTCTTGTGGAAACCCCTGGAGCACCAGTCCCAGTCTGTCCCCACTCCACACGTATCCTCTTGGCTTCCTGGTTACTGCCCTCTGTAATAACGTTCCAGTCCCTATCAGACAATGCCAGGTGGCGTGCTGCTGACTCATCTATACCACGTTCCCCTTGGTGATCTGTGCTTCTGACAGGTGCAGATGGTGCACACTGCGGGTGAGACCCAGAAGAGGGCAACTGGGGATGAACTGCAGAGCAAAGATTTGAGGTGTTATGAGAAGTAGCAATGGGATCAGCAGAACCTGGTGGCTGTGCCTGAAACTGGTGGAATGGTGGTGGCTGTTGCTGTGCTTGCAGCTGTGCCTGTAATTGCAGCTGTGCTTGTACTTGCATCTGTGCCTGCACCTGGGCGGCCTGGATGTGGGGGTGAGGATAGGCAAACGTACTCCCACTGGCAGCTGGTACTTGGCTGCGGTGCAACGGGTTGAAGAGCGGTGGTGGTGGGTGTATGGAAGCCATTCCTACCAGACCAGAGGGCAAGTGGTGGCCAAGGGGAGACAGAGGAACTGCAGACGCAGCAGCAGGGAGGGAGGGGTGGGAGTGAGGGCTCCATGCATGGGCCATGGAAGCAAGGTGGGTGGCCGTTGCTGGGTGTGTCTGCATGGGCATGGGCAGTGCAGGCAGAGGCAGGACATTGAAACTGCTGCTGGTGGTGGCGCCGGGGGGGAAGGCACCAGGGGCGCTGGCGCCAGGAGGAGGCACGATGGCCCAGGGGTTTCCAGGGCCTGAGGATGGGAGCGCAAAGGCGGGACCAGACGCAGCGGCACTGGCAGCAGCAGCAAAAGCTGCTGATATAGAGGGATGACTCCCGGCAACAGCAGCTCCAGCAGCTCCAGCAGCAGCTTCAGCAGAAGGATGAGGGAGCAAAGCACCAGCCATGCCTCGTTCCTCTCCATGACGCCCCACCCCACTGCCCCCTCTCTGTGCCACGTCGCCTTTCTCCTCTGGTTGCGCCTCCACCGAGTGCGACCTGGCAGATGCAGGAGGCGAGCACGCAAGGTGCCCCCCCTCAGCTCGCACCGACCCCACCTCCATGGACCCCCGTGTGCCCGCGGGGCTCTGCTTTGACTGCTCCGTCATCGGCTCATCCGTGCAGCTCCCAGAGTCCCCTGCTTCCGCCGCCGCTGCCGCCGCCGCTGCTTCCGCGGTACTGGGCCTCTGGGCGTCTGCTGGTGCGGGTGCAGGTAAATCGTGAGCGGTGGCGGGCGTGGCGAGGGTGAGAGTGAGCGCGGGGTGGGCAGCAGCGGAGGCGGGTGAGAGCAGCACACGGTCAGCAGCACACGGTTCGAGAGACACCGTGGAGTTGAGGCTCAGGCGGTGGGTCAGCCCAAGCGGGGCCACAGCAGATGCCGCATCAGCCGCACCTGTGCCACTGCCAGCAGCCACCTCTGCTGACTCTGCCACCGCCGTTCTTCTCTCGTGATCCGTCCGCCTCTGGGGCACCACCGCAGCAGCACCGACGGCCCCGTCAGCTCCTGGCGAAGCAGGCGCAGGCTCGTGCATGTCTCCCGCTGGCGCAGCAGCAGAGGCGGCCGCAACGCAGTTGGGGAGGCTGAGAGAGCAGGGGCCCGGCTGGCTGTGGTTGTGAGTGCCGTGGTAGGAAATCACCGGCCCCAGTGCCGCACTGGAAGGGGCAGCGTCACCGGGCTTGGCGATGCTGCCATCGGCTGTAGTAGCAAGTGACGCTGTTGCACTGGATAGCGACGCAGCGGAAGCTGTAGCGGCCGGGGCTGTAGCGATGGGGACGTCCACGGTCTTGCGCGCCATGCACCCCATGCTGTGCCGTGCACACCGGAAGTACGCCCTGAGGACCAAAGGGCAGGGGGGAGGGCACAGTCAACCAATGGCTGTGAGTGTCATCATCATGGGTTGTTGTCGGGAACAACGGCGAGTCGTCGGTGACGGTGCGCGGTGGGAACAAGGGGAGTGAAGGGCAGCAATGCTGACGCGACACCACCACTGTCACGTGAAACAACGAAAGGACGCAGCTGCTTGCTCCCCTTCACAGCGAGCAACCACTACGACGGCGATGAGACAAGTGACGACGGGTCGAGCACTACGAGAACAATTTCAGTGGTAACAATGATGATTACGACAGCAGGAGCGGCGACACGGTAGACACAGCAACGATGGGCTTTACTCGGTGGTGGCTATCCCTGGGAAAGGCTGTATCTGGGGAAGGCGGTACCTGGTGATGGCGCGGTCCATGACGCTCTTCTGTCCGTACTTGTGCCAGAAGTACCCGTCCGCCGCCACCACCGACCTGCTCCCCGCCTGCGCCACGGGCTTGCGCTTCCTGCGGGGACGGACGAGCGGGTAACTGGATGAGGCGGGGAATGTGCGACGGAGAATGCGAAAGACGAGCGACGGGAAGTTGCAGGACGTGCGAAGAGGGAGCGGAACGAAAGCGTTCGGAGGCGAAAAACGGAGGGAGACTCGCGGATTGAGAAGGACAGACGAACGCGAGATGCGGTTACCGACACCATCATGGCTCGTCTATTATAACAGTTTTTTCGATACCGCTTATAAAGGGCGGACATTTGAAACAAGCGATATTGACTTACTTCGACGCTCCCCGCGTCGAAGTGTTGTTCGGGCCAGTGTTTCCCCCGCCCTCGCCTCCTTGATACCCGCCGCATTGGCCGCCGTGCAATGCGGCGGTCTCCGCGGATGCGCCGGCGACTGATACGGGAGGCGGAGCGGCGGCCAAAGAGTGATTATTATTTTGTCCCACCAGCAACGGCGCCACGGGCTTGGCGAAGACTGACGGAGCCGCGTCGCCGCGGTCGGATTCGAAGCGCGAGGCGCCCGGGATCAACGGACGCCTCGACAGGAGAGGTTCTTGGCCTTTGCTGTGGTTGCTGCGCTCGTGCGGCCATGAACGCGGGTCGGCCGTCGGGCTCTGGCCGAAAAGTTGTGAGCTCGACGTGACCATATGCCCCTGCGCCGACGACGCCACATTGCTCCCGTCGGGCTTCTCGTTTCCGCCAATGTGATTGTAATGAGCGTGAGCGTGACTGAAGCGATCGCAATGTGTTGTTGCTGTGTACGGAAAGCTCGGCGAGCCGCTGAAAACGTCTATCGTGGAGCTTTGGGCGGGCGTCAGCGCGGAGGACCACGTGGGAGGAACGTGAATCGCGGTGGATGCGCCGCGATCCGAAGCGGATCTTCGAAGCGCGTCGCCGAGAGCAATGTCGCCGCCAGGGGCAGTGAAAGCGCCGGCGCCGGAGCCGGAGAGCGACGCAAACATTAGCGACGCGGGGCTCGGGCCCCACGAGGGCGACGCGAAGGAGGGGATGAAATTGAGGCTGGACGGCATTTTATCCGCCGCATTTGACGGAGGTAGGGGAAGTGTTGGTCTGCTGTCCTGCTTAATCTCTTGATCAGCGTGTGGATACATCGCGATCCGCTTATATCTGAGAAACGATTATTAATTACTAGAATTATTAGGTCGACAACAACTAAAATGTATGTCGTTAGAATCACCCTCCTATGGCAATGTACGGCAATCACGATGCAGAATGGGCGATAGAAGCGCGTAATCAGGAAAGAATATTCGAAAATCTGTTGTTAAGGGAGAGTCGTGAGTGAGATAGCGTAGGAGGTACGGAATGCGTATGTCTGTGAGGACAGTCAATCCTTGCAGCTGGAAAAGAAGACGGAATAACACGACCGAGTCAACATGGACTCCCCAAAGATCGGTCGGTCAGAGCAGAGACGATGCACATCCGCCCATGTGCCTCGCCTCGACCTCGACCACGCTAAAGCCACGCTATCGCTTTCCTGTTGGAGCCATGGCTGCCGTGGATGGGATGGGATTGCTGCTGAGCTCACACACCGCACAAGCACCCACCGCCCTGGTGCCCAACACCTGCCCAGCTGACAGCGGGGTGGTCGATTCGAATCGAAGCCTCACTGACTCGTCGGGATGGCTTCTGCTCGCCTTTTATGGGATACACCGAACTGTACCTGACCAGGATAAGTGCAGCGGTAAGCACGAGTGCGGTGGCAGCTGTCTGGCGTATGGGAGGTTTTCGAACCTTGCCACCGGTGGTGTGATGCGCACAAGTCTGGAAATACAGCACAGTACACGTATTTGTTCTTTGTGGGAAATCCTGCATTTCTTTCTCCCCTCCACTCTGGTCAGCTCTCGCATTCGCGGCTCCAGACCAAATTTCCGGTCCGGAGTCGAAGCATTCTTTCCCGGTCAGGCCTGGACAGGACACCATCTGAAGCTTGGACACCAGCGACGCTCCTCCTTACTATCGGCATTTGGTCTAAACTTCTGGTAGGCTCCATATTTAAGGTGCTGCTGGTTGGAAGAACCATTCTGGCAAACATGTTCAACATGCCGAAGCCCATCTGCAAGTGACGTTCTTGACAGATTGTTGAAACAATCGTCTCGGTTAGTTTTAGAAGGGAAAATACAGGACAGCCACAGCTGTACCCTAACTTTGGATGGTATCCTAGGAAAGCCCCCAGTCAACACAGGAGATCCGAATTTCTACTACTGTAGGCAGTTGCGGACGCAACACATTCTTGACAGTGCATGTGAGCAAGTCAGAAAGGGTTTTGAGTGGAACTGTAGTTCGTCACCGCATTTCCCATCAATATTGTGCCACCGCGTCGCCGCCTCTGTATGCAGCAAATTGAAGAACAAAGAAAACAAAAAGCTGGATGGGTTGTGTTTAATCTGCTTTCCACCGAGTCGGGCATGGTCAATCTTGGCTTGAAGCTAGATGGCAAAACTGCTGCAGAATCTGGGGGGGGGGGGGGGGGGGGGGGGGGGTGGGTGCATTGCTGCACACACCATTGTACACCTGCTCAATGGGGGTGGGGCTTGACACAGCTGGGTACCTGATGCAATAGAAACCATCCTTGTTATTTCTAAGCAGGAATTAGTCAACACAATTCGACTTTAGTGGCACATAGAAATCCTGACACGGTAAGCCGAACCTGTCGAAAAGGCTTCGACCACCCAAGAGTTGGCTCTCGTTTGAAGGGGGGTGCACACAGCCACTTAAAAAGACGGTTAAGAACAAATAGTGCTTTCAAAGTCTCGACAAGACCTTTGGATCCTAATAAAACAGTGGCCGCGGATACGATATTTATGGGCGGTGTTCATCAAAGCCCATCGAGAAATCCGTTTCTTCACCAAGATTCACGCCAAGCTGCGCTGGCCGTTTTGTTGCTGGATGAGCTGTCGTACAGTAATTAGCGGTGGTGCGATGCGAATCACGAACAAAATGGACGGAATGTACCAGCCCAGTGGGACAACACTTGAAATGCCCACGAAAAGAAAAGTGTTACTGGTTGAAATTGAAACCTTTTCCACCTGCTAGTAAGTAGTGCTACACCTCATTCCGTCTCATATGAAGACAGACATCTCTCTCCACGGATAATGGTCAACTTTAGAGCAACCGAGTTGCCAAATTTAAGATGATTTCTTCTCGAATCATAGGAATGCATCATGTACGGCCTCTCCCACCTTCCAGAATCTGCACTAGCTATTACGTGAAGTCATCCATATTAATTTGTAGCATCTAGCTTCTCATGAGTATTCCCTTTGGCCATCTTGCATTTCAAAACTCTATTGGCTAGTGCCACCACAGACTAGGCTGGGTTGGTTGGGTGCCTTCACCATGACTCCGGGGAGCTGCTGAACCGAGCGAGCCTCGTTTCTCGAACAGAAAAGAGTCATTCAGTGAGGCACGCACCACACTGAAAGCCACGCTCTTTCTAGGCTTGAACACGTTGTCAATCATTGACATGCCAAACCCTGCAAAAGCCACCCAGTTATTCGCCTCGAGCCCCACGCCCACTGCCTCACTGCCGCGGTTCCCTGTGCCGGCCACTAGGGGCGCTTGTAGCAATGATGACAGCTTGTAGAGATCCTCCACTGATGTTTGCGCTGCGCATGGTGGTATGTTTGTGCGCGCGTGTGACATGCTGGTGTGTGTGCGTGTGTGTGTGTGTGTGTGTATGTGTGTGTGTGTGTATGTGTGTGTGTGTGTGTGTGTGTGAGTGTGTGTGTGTGTGTGTGTGTGTGTGTGAATGTGTGTGTGTGTGAATGTGTGTGTGTGTGTGTGTGTGTGTGTGTGTGTGTGTGTAGCAGCACTGCAGCACAGCTGGCATGGTGGAGCAGCGGTAGTGCGGCTGACCAGGCCGCCTCTGTTGGTAAGGACGCAGTAGCTGCTGACGAGGGTGTTGCCCGTGATCGCCTGCCAGAACCCCTACATCCCCAAAACGCCGGACCTTCACCGGCAACACCCTCATCGCCAGACGGAGGAGCTATCAGCTATCAGCTCCTCCATCCCCAACACGCCAGCTGTCAGCTCCTCCGTATCCTGGTAGTGGCACGTGCAGCACAAGACAAGAAAATGCAGCATGCGGCACAGATAGAGGAGTGAGGGGCTGCAGGTGCAGGCAGGCAACACCACATCAGTGTGCTAAAAAAGCTCTAGTGACAGCGGCGGCGATGGCAACGCAAGTGAAGTGCACGGGGGATGTGGCGAAACCGCGAGTCAGAATCAGAATGCTTAGGGAAGTGGGTGCTCAGGGAATACAAGCCAGAGTGGAAGGCTCATGTCTCACAAGTGAGATCACTCACTGAATGATCCTCATCACTGCACCCACGCCTGCCCCGCGGGTCATATGCACTTCGCTTATCACAGCATGCGCCGCAGTAAGTTCGTGATACACGCGCACAGGCACACGCACAGGGACGCGCACAGGAAACATGGCAGGCAAACGTGGCAGGCAAATTCACTGATAACTTCTGAAGGCATAACAGAGGGCTAAGAACGCAAGCAGAAAAGGCGCTCAGAGAATACAAGCCAGGGTGAATGGCTCATGCCTCACAGCACAGGTGAGATCGCCCACTGAATGATGCTCATCACTGCACCCACGCCTGCCATGCCAATCACTTGCGCTAGGTTTGGCACAGCATGAGCAAGAGTTGTCCGATGCACGCGCACTGGCACCCGTACAAAGCAGATCTACGTGGCGAGGGTAAAGAGGGTTCACAGGGAAACTAAAAGGTGTCATTTGCGGTCAAGAGAGTCAACAAATACAAAATAGCATTCAGCATGCAAAGGTGCACTATGGCGAGTGGGGACTCAGGGAATACAAGCCAGAGTGTCGGGCTCATGCCTCACAGCACAGGTGAGATCGCCCACTGAATGATGCTCATCACTGCTCCCACGCCTGCCTTGCAGGTCACAGAAACTGAACTTCCTTGCAGGAGCTGTCAAAAGAGTACAGGTGGGCTGCGGAGGCCTTACTTCCATAAACTGAACTTCCTTGCAGGAAACCAATGCATCGGCAATGTGCGCAGCACCGAATCACTCAAGCCCATTCAGTTGACCTGCTTTACCTGGTTATTTGGGTTTCAGAAAAAAACCGTCCGAAACCAAAATGCAGCAGCTTTGGGAGAGATGAGAGGTCACCCACTCAGCCAGCGCGCTGACGGTATCAAGGAGTGGTGGTGAGTGGGGAGAGGTGTCATTGTATCAAGGCCCGCGTGGACGATCGCCATGTAGTCGTTGCACCTGACGCAGTTGTCGCGCTGATTCAACTGAAGAGAAGGACCCTCGACTCTGATCTCCAAAGGCAAAATGAAGGGGTTCGCGAAGGATGTGAAGGGAAAGCCCATGTACAGAGAATAATCAAATTACTAGCTGATGACGAATGTGTACATTTTTATAATTGATCACCTATATAAACAGCAGGCCATATGGACTAAACAGTGCTATAAATTCTCCAGCAATGTTTCACGCATGCTGCAATAATCAAATTTATCCAGAGAGAAGAATCTTCCCTTGGCGGTTCTCCGCCATCTGGTTCTTGAGCGCAGCAGCAAACTCTGCGAGGTCCATTTTATCACCGGTGAAGGGAGTGACAGTGCCGTTGGCTATCAGGTCAAAGGCCTCCTTCACCACCGCCTGCCGCTGCTCGTGGCTCAGTGCCTTCAAGAACCGACCCACCCAGAAGCCCTTTAGTGTCACATCCCTGCGTTGCGAAGCACGCAGCAAGACACACACTCCAGGCACCCGTGAGTTCAGCTGAGCGCTGTCATGAATCAAAAGCAATTCCTCAACACGTGGGGGAAGGGGGGGGGGTTAAGGATTACGAACAAGAGAAGGAGCCGGCTGAAGAGAGGGCAAGCAATGAGTGGGCTGAGTTAAACTATGGAAGCTTTCAAAGCTGTCTCCAACCTGAAAATAAAGTCCCCAATGGAGGCGGAGAAGGCGGCCCCGGAGGCGCCCCCAAAGAGCAGCACGGTGCCGCCCGGACGCACGGAGGAGAGCACTGCGCCCGTGAGGTCGCCCGCCACGCTCTCCACGGCTGCATGCGCCATTCGCCCGCCTGTTATGGCGCGCACCCTCTCTGGCACACTCTCGTCCGTTGAGCAGATCACCTGCTCGTGTGTGTGCGGTTGTGGATGGGGATAAGCGTGGGGATGGGGATGGGGATGGGGATGGGGATGAGGGTGAGGGTGAGGGTGAGAATGAGGGATGGCAGATAAGCTGCACACGCGATTGAGATGGTCCATTTTCCACCAGATTCATAACATACGGCTCCCCCCAACACCAAAAACTCACACCACACAACCTCCCTTCACGCCTCCACCGCTCTCCCCTCCCCCCCCCTCCCCTCGTCTGACACCCTTTCCCCCCTTCCTCCCAGGCTCCCCCTCCTCCTCCACTCACCTCATCGCCGCCCAGCGCCTTGAGCTCGGCGGCCTGGGCGGCGCGGCGCACGACGTTGATTGTCTTGATGCCGCGAGAGCGCGCCACCTGGATGAGCATGCGCCCCAGCGTCGACCCCGCCTGCGTCTGCACCACATACTCGCCTGAGCGGGGGCGGCGAGTGGGGGGAAACCGGGAAGGGGAAGGACAGTGAGGGGGATATGTGCCAGTGAGCATATGGAGAGCAGGTGAGTGCGCATGCCACCTGGATGAGCATGCGCGCCAGCGTTGACCCCACCTGCGTCTGTACCAAATACTCGCCTGGGGGGGAGAAGGCGGGCAATGGAGGGAAACGCAGTGCGCAGGGGGGACGATTTGAGAGGGGGAAGGCACTGGCAGTGGAAGGGAAGGGGACGGGTGTGGGTGCTGTGTGTGCGTGTGCACAGGACATCTAGGCCTGTGGAGGGAGATGGAAATGTGTGGGGAAGAACAGAGAGGAGAGAGACGCAAGGGTAGGGGACAGGGCGCATGAAGGAGCATGAGTCCGCCCCTCATCATTCCGCCCCTCATCATTCCGCCCCCCATCATTCCGCCCCATCATTCCGCCCCCATCATTCCACCCCCCATGATTCCGCCCCTCATCATTCCGCCCCCCATCAGCCCGTCCCTCATCATTCCGCCCCCCATCAGCCCGCCCCCATCATTCCGCCTCTCACCTTTGGGAACGTTCAGTTGGTTGAGCATGCCCAGCACCGTCAGCGGATTCACCGCCACCTGCGCCGCGTCCTCGTCGCGCACCCCCGCGGGCACCGCCGCCACATGCGCCGCGTCCACCGCCACGTACTCCTGCCACGCGCCGCTGCCCGCCTCAAGCGCGCCCAGCGCCAGCAGCGGCACCACGCGCCGCCCCACCGCCAGATCCGGCGCCGATTGCGCTACCGCTTCGCCCAGCGCCGCCACGACTCCCATGCCCTCCAGCCCGAGAGTTGCGGGGAGCGCGCTTGCTGGCGCGAATCCCGGATAGTAGCCCATGGCGCAGAGGCCGTCCGCGGGATTCACGGGCCGAAGCTGCATCCGAACCAGAACCTGGTTCGGGCCGAGGCTAGGGACGGGCTTGTCTGTTACGAGCCGCAAGTTGTCCGCGAGGCGCTTCGGCCCCTCGTATGCGAGCACTGTAGCTGCGCGCTGCGTCGCTGGGATCCCTGAGGTCGCGGCGGATGACGCGGCCATTGCGCGATGCGGAAATACTTGCGGCGAGGAGCAGGGACTCCCTGAAATTACTTGCGGCGGCGTGTGCAGGAGAAGCGGCGCGAGTAAAGCGAGGGAGAAAGCGCGGCGAGGCGATCTGCCAGTGGGGAGGAGAGGAGGAGAGGTGGCTAGTAGAGGAGGGAGGGCGAGGGAAGCGAGGGAGGCGAAGCGGGCGGGTGCTTTGGAAAGCATGACCAGGCAGGGGGTAGGGCGGCGGAGGGTAGCGCGCCGAGCACGCAGCGCAGATCTAGAGTGGAGATCGCACGCGGAAATCGAGGCCTGCGTGATGCGACGGGATGGATGGAATGGGCTCCGAGGGGTGTTGTGGGATGGAGTGGGGGTGGAGGGGAGGGGCGAATTTCGGTTTTCCAAATTCCAACACAGATTTGTGCGACGCACGTGGAGACGCGTGGCCGTGAGGTGGCGCCCACACCAGCCAGATGCATTCAGCACATACACGCCCTTGTGTACTCCCCGGTAGTATTTATAAGCTAGTACATCTAGCAAAACGAAACTCTTATCTCTTGCTACAAAAACCTAATATGCAATCACAGCACAACTAAAAAAGTGGACACTTGCACCAAGAGCAACATGCTTCGAAGCTCACTAACCACACATGCGCAATGCTCTATTGCACCGCCGAGGGGACGGAAAGCACATCAGCGGAAACCCAGGTGTGGGTCTTGGTGGGAATAATACCCTGCCGGCAGTAAAACACACACGCCGGCTGCTTCACCTGCGCGCGCGCCTCCTCACTGCATGCGGGCGGCCAGTCTGTGGGCAGAGCGGGCGGCTGGGAGGTGCCGGTGGTGCTGGGGTCGACGAGTGCGAGAATGGCCGGGCTGAGCTGCTTGCGGCACAGCTGCTTGCCGGGCGGGCGGATGAGCGAGGGGTCCTCCATGGCGTTACGGGAGTACTTTATAAGGAGGATGGCCCAGTACAGCGCGTGGCCCTGCTTGGAGCATGCCCATCTGCAGTGTGGGGGGGAAGGGCAGGACACGTTATGAGAGCAAAGGCATGACGGTACGGCATATTCCTGTGATGGCATAAAAATGTCTTGTCGCAATTATGGTGATGGGGAGGTCCATTCTTGCACGTGGGGCAGGCAGGCGCAGCGATGTGCAGCCACCGGCAGCATGGCACACCACCCGGGGATGGTTTTGAAGCGTCTCAAAAACATCGGCACATCGGAACATCGGCACAATGGTGCACGAAACTTACTTAGCGACGCGTTTCCCCGCGAGTGCCATGTTGCGCACGTGCTTGTCGTGGTTCTGAGCCCACCGCAGCTTCTCCACCAGGTTGTCAAAGTGCCGGTTGGCCGGGATGAAGTTCACGTACGGCTTCAGCATCGGCACAAAGAACTCCGAGTATGGTGACTCCTGCCGGATCGCCACCTGGTGGTAGCACGTGCACAAGAGAGGGGAAAGGGGGTGGTGAAGAGGGGGTGGGGTGGGGTGTGTGGTGGGTGGGGAGTGCCGGTTGGCCGGGATGAAGTTCACATACGGCTTCAGCATCGGTACGTGGTGAGTCCTGCCGGATTGCCACCTGCAGTCACGTGCCCAGGGGAAAGAGGGTGGGGGTGTGGTGTGTGGAGAGTGGGGTGTGTGGAGAGTGGGGTGTGGCACGAATAACTCCGAGTATGGCGAGTCTTGCCGGATCGCCACCTGCTAGTAGCACACACACGTTGGGGGGGAGAGGGGAGAGGGGGAGTGTGGTGGGTGGGGAGTGCCAGTTAGCCGGGATGAAGTTGACGCACGGCTTCAGCATGGGCAGAAAGAACTCAGAGTATGGCAAGTCCTGCCGGATCGCCACCTGCAGTCACGTGTTCCAAGGGAGGGTGTGGGGGTGGGGGAGACGGGGGAGTGTGCTGGGTGGAGTGTGGAAGTTGGACGGGATGAAAGTGACATATACATCAGCATGGAAGGCTTTGAATACGGCAACTCATGCCGGATCGCCACCGCATGCTCATACGCTGCAAAGGACGCACAGACGCTGCACCGCACGCTCATACACTGCACCGCACGCTCATACGCTGCACCGGCACGCTCATACACTCCACCGCACGCTCATACACTGCACCGCACGCTCATACGCTGCACCGCACGCTCATACGCTGCACCGCACGCTCATACGCTGCACCGCATGCTCATACGCTGCACCGCCCGTTCATACGCTGCACCGCACGCTCATACGCTGCACCGCCCGTTCATACGCTGCACTGCATGCTCATACAGTGTGTACGCTTACCTGCGCGCCCCAAAAGTCAGCTCACCTGTGCACCGGTGGTGAGGATGGGGCACATCTGGTGGTGGTGCGCGCTGCCCGCCACGATGCCATACTTGAAGCGCGCCGGCACTGCCTCCTCCACCGCCGCTCTGCCCTGCATCGCCACCCCGTCCGCCTTCATCCTGTTGAGAAAAGGGAGGAGGACGGGAGGAGGGAGGTGGAGGCAGGGAGGATGGGTAAGGAAACCAAGGAGGTTTTCCAACATCACTCAACGACTGCTGTCCTGCCCTGCATTGCCACTCTGCCCGCCCTCATCCTGCTGTGCTGCATCGCCTCCTATGGAGGGGGAGAGGGGCATGGGAGCGGGGCGAGGTTTGAGGGGAAGAGAGAATGTGGTGGGCAGGGCTGCCAGAGTGGGAGGAACACGATGGGGGGAAAGAGGAGCAAATTTGGAGCCTATGTGAGTGGGAGCAGCAAGGAAGGAGGCGACTCTCACTCACATAGGCAACGATGATGATGCTGCTGCTGCGTTGCCAGGTGTGACTTAAACATAGAGTGGACTCCCAAATTTAAGTATTCCCAACTCTCACTCGTCTCTTCCGAACCTCCGGGTCTCACCTCTTCCGAACCTCCAGGTCCAGCTCTCTGCTCCACCCATACAGCTTCGCGTCCAGCAGGTCAGGCCGTGCCTCTGACAGCCTGGGGCGAGCAGGATGGGGAGGGTCGGCAGTTGGCATGGGGGCGAGCACAGGGGAGCACGTAGGAGCATGCAGAGGAGAAGGGTGAAGGGCACGCATGGCAGTGAGAACGCAAGAGACACCGGAATCAGAGAATGCTGGGTGACAGTGGGTATCAGTGGGTCGCAGTGGGTGAAGGCAGGTGGCGATGGGTGGTAGTGCAAGGGCAGGCTGCGGATGGGCTATGAAACATCTCAAAAGTTGGGCTTTAAAATGTACTTGGGCTTTGAGAAGGCCCAAAACGCACCTCTGGAGGCGGATGAGGGGGCTGGCGCACCAGTTGGGGACCTCTTCCAAGGGCAGGCTGCTGATGGGCTTTAAGACGTCTCATGGCCTGGGCCTTGAGACACGTCAAAGCTTGGGCTTTGAGAAGCCTCAAGACTGACTGACCTCTGCAGGCGGATGAGCGGGTTGGCGCGCCAGTTGGGCACGTCCTCCAGAGGCAGGCTGCTGATGGGCCCTCGGAATATGGCCCGGCTCTCCTTCTCCTCCCATGGGATCTGCCACCCCGGGGCAAGGGGGGGAAGGCGGGGCAGAGGGGGAAAGGTGGGGCAGAGGGGGGAAGGAGGGGTAGAGGGGGGAAGGGCGTGGAAGGGTGGGGAAGGGATGGAAGGAAGAGGTAGAAGTTGAAAAGCAGGAACTGATGATAGGTCTGTGGAATATGCACCCGCTCTCCTTCTTTTCTCTCACGGGTCGCGGGTCCAAGGGGGAGGAGAGCGGTATGGCAGATGAAGTATTGCTGGACGGCTGTTGCGATGCGATGCGAGCTCTCACCAACCAACCAACTACTGCCTCTGCATGTCGACTTACGCCCCACTGCCTTCCACCTCCCCACTGCCATATCCACACAGGCGCGTGCACTCGGTGTCAAACGAAGCCTCCCTGCCCACATCCCCACCTCACTGCCCACTCTATGCGCTCTCCTCACGTCACCCTCCACCTCGCTGCCCGCCCTGCTCTGTGCCTGCCACACCTCGCTGCCCGCCCTGCTCTGTGCCTGCCACACCTCGCTGCCCGCCCTGCTCTGTGCCTGCCACACCTCGCTGCCCGCCCTGCTCTGTGCCTGCCACACCTCGCTGCCCGCCCTGCTCTGTGCCTGCCACACCTCGCTGCCCGCCCTGCTCTGTGCCTGCCACACCTCGCTGCCCGCCCTGCTCTGTGCCTGCCACACCTCGCTGCCCGCCCTGCTCTGTGCCTGCCACACCTCGCTGCCCGCCCTGCTCTGTGCCTGCCACACCTCGCTGCCCGCCCTGCTCTGTGCCTGCCACACCTCGCTGCCCGCCCTGCTCTGTGCCTGCCACACCTCGCTGCCCGCCCTGCTCTGTGCCTGCCACACCTCGCTGCCCGCCCTGCTCTGTGCCTGCCACACCTCGCTGCCCGCCCTGCTCTGTGCCTGCCACACCTCGCTGCCCGCCCTGCTCTGTGCCTGCCACACCTCGCTGCCCGCCCTGCTCTGTGCCTGCCACACCTCGCTGCCCGCCCTGCTCTGTGCCTGCCACACCTCGCTGCCCGCCCTGCTCTGTGCCTGCCACACCTCGCTGCCCGCCCTGCTCTGTGCCTGCCACACCTCGCTGCCCGCCCTGCTCTGTGCCTGCCACACCTCGCTGCCCGCCCTGCTCTGTGCCTGCCACACCTCGCTGCCCGCCCTGCTCTGTGCCTGCCACACCTCGCTGCCCGCCCTGCTCTGTGCCTGCCACACCTCGCTGCCCGCCCTGCTCTGTGCCTGCCACACCTCGCTGCCCGCCCTGCTCTGTGCCTGCCACACCTCGCTGCCCGCCCTGCTCTGTGCCTGCCACACCTCGCTGCCCGCCCTGCTCTGTGCCTGCCACACCTCGCTGCCCGCCCTGCTCTGTGCCTGCCACACCTCGCTGCCCGCCCTGCTCTGTGCCTGCCACACCTCGCTGCCCGCCCTGCTCTGTGCCTGCCACACCTCGCTGCCCGCCCTGCTCTGCGCCTGCCACACCTCGCTGCCCGCCCTGCTCTGTGCCTGCCACACCTCGCTGCCCGCCCTGCTCTGTGCCTGCCACACCTCGCTGCCCGCCCTGCTCTGTGCCTGCCACACCTCGCTGCCCGCCCTGCTCTGTGCCTGCCACACCTCGCTGCCCGCCCTGCTCTGTGCCTGCCACACCTCGCTGCCCGCCCTGCTCTGTGCCTGCCACACCTCGCTGCCCGCCCTGCTCTGTGCCTGCCACACCTCGCTGCCCGCCCTGCTCTGTGCCTGCCACACCTCGCTGCCCGCCCTGCTCTGTGCCTGCCACACCTCGCTGCCCGCCCTGCTCTGTGCCTGCCACACCTCGCTGCCCGCCCTGCTCTGTGCCTGCCACACCTCGCTGCCCGCCCTGCTCTGTGCCTGCCACACCTCGCTGCCCGCCCTGCTCTGTGCCTGCCACACCTCGCTGCCCGCCCTGCTCTGTGCCTGCCACACCTCGCTGCCCGCCCTGCTCTGTGCCTGCCACACCTCGCTGCCCGCCCTGCTCTGTGCCTGCCACACCTCGCTGCCCGCCCTGCTCTGTGCCTGCCACACCTCGCTGCCCGCCCTGCTCTGTGCCTGCCACACCTCGCTGCCCGCCCTGCTCTGTGCCTGCCACACCTCGCTGCCCGCCCTGCTCTGTGCCTGCCACACCTCGCTGCCCGCCCTGCTCTGTGCCTGCCACACCTCGCTGCCCGCCCTGCTCTGTGCCTGCCACACCTCGCTGCCCGCCCTGCTCTGTGCCTGCCACACCTCGCTGCCCGCCCTGCTCTGTGCCTGCCACACCTCGCTGCCCGCCCTGCTCTGTGCCTGCCACACCTCGCTGCCCGCCCTGCTCTGTGCCTGCCACACCTCGCTGCCCGCCCTGCTCTGTGCCTGCCACACCTCGCCCTCTGCGCGCCCCACGTCGGCGTATGGCGGGGGTTGCTGCAGGTTGATGCTCTCGTTCAAATCAACGGGTGCTCATGGGGGAGCAGAGCAGTGACGGCCACACAGGCCTCCACTCCACTCCGTCACACATGTGCTCATGCGAGGGAAACCCAACCCACGGACTGCTGCCCTCCGACACACGCTCACCCCCTCGGGCGTCAACCCAAGCCCCCTGCCACCCCCATCACAGCCACCCCCTGCCCCATCGCGCCTCTCGCTCCCCACCTCAGTCTCCGGCGGGGGCGGCAGGTTGATGCTCTCTTCTCATTCAGATTCAGCGGGTCAGGAACAGCAATGTCAAAGCTGCCCTCCACCACCCGCGTGCTCATCAAAGGGAAGCCCACCGCGCGTTGCCCTCCACCCCACCCTCAAGCGGGGCAACCCAAGCCCCCTGCCACTCCCACCACTGCCAAGCCCTGCCCTGCCCCACTCTCTGCCAGCCAGCACCCCCCGCCCCCACACCCCATTCCCCACCTCAGTCTCTGGCGGGGGCGGCAGGTTGATGTTCTCATTGAGGTCGAGGGGGTCAGGCACGGCGATGTCAAGGCTGCCCTCCACCACCCTGGTGCTCATGAGAGGGAAGCCCACGGAGCGCTGCCCTCCCACGTCGTTGTCGTAGCTGGCGGGCAGGTCGCACACGTTCAGAAAGAACTCGGCTGAGATGGAGGAGAGCTCGAAGCGCGTCACTGCGAGCTGGGGAAAGGAGAGGGGAGGGGGAGGGAGAGGGGGAGGGGGAGGGGGAGGGGGAGGAGTGGGGAAGGGGAGGCGGAAAGGACAGCGGGGCAGGGAGGCATGAGGTGGGCGTAGCTGGCGGGCTGATTGAGGAAGGACTCTGCTTCTAGGGATGACAGCTGAAACCGTGTCACTGTGTGCTGGTGAGGGGACAAGGGGCAGTGAGCAACAGCAACAGTGGGTGGGGGAAGGGAGAACATGAGAGAGAATGTGGCAAGCTGGCGGGCAGGGAGGTCGCACTCGTTCAGGCGGGCGGGGGTTTGTGGATGCATGCATTGGGGGTTGAGAGAGGCGGGGGAGGGGGGACATAGGGGGACATGATGTTGCGCATCCCACAACGTGTGGCAGGGCGGTGCTTACCATTGGAGGGACACGTGACCTTGTGACACCGCTCCGTTGGCGCTGCACTGCAAGAATGACCCCAGGGCTCGTCTGGAGGCTTGAATGCCCCTGATCTGAGCACCTGGTAGCCCACCTAACTAGCCTGAGCACCTGGCAGGCAGCCCACCTGAGCACCTGACAATGCACCAGAGCCAGACAGTGCACCGAAAGCACCTGAGCACCTGACACCCCACACATGAATGCACCTGAGCACCTGACAGCGCACCTGAATGGTTTTGACCATCTGCAGGAAGCGTCTGAGGCGGTAGGCGTTGTCAATGAAGCCGCCCAGGCGGAAGTACACCCCTCCCTCCACCACCCTCACATGGCCCGCACATGACATGAACTGGGGGGGAGAGTGGGGAGAGAGTGGGGAGAGAGTGGGGAGAGAGTGGCGAGTGGGGCGAGAGTGGGGAGAGAGTGGGGAGAGAGTGGGGAGAGAGTGGGGAGAGAGTGGGGAGAGTGGGGAGTATGGGGCGGTTGAGGAGAATGGGGGGAGAAGGGGGAACAGGCAGGGGAGAGAGGGGGGGCCAAGGTTCTGTCCAGTGCCTAAGTGTCCTTCACTTACACATCCCCCCCCTCCCCCCCCCACACACACATGCCTGCACTAGTGAAGCCGAGGAGCACAAAGAGACACAAGGGTCCAAAAAAGCAGACTCCGTTCCTCCCTTCCCCATTCCCCCTCCCCGGTCCCCACTTTCCCACTACCCCCTCCCCGGCTTCCCTTCCCCATTCCCCCACTCTTCTCCCCTCTTCCCCTTCCCCCCTCACCCACCCGGGGGCGCATGGCGATGGAGCGCAGCAGGGAGGGCGAGACCATGCCGCTCTGCCCCATGCCATTGCTGCTTGCGGGAATCCTACTCCACGGCGCGAGGGAGTGGTCCGCCATCTCAGCAAACAGCTGCACCACGGCGGTCGACACGTTGATGCGGTGGAACGCGCGCAGGTCGCGCAGCGAGCGCACCAGCCGCTTGCTCAGCCCCGCCTCCGCCAGGGGCTGCAGGGGGGCCACCGCCGCCGCCGGTTCCGCGGACGCGGCTGCTGCTGCAGCTGCTGCGAACACGTTCGGCTGCGCGGAGAGGGTAGGCTCGGGGACCGCAGGTTCGGGGACGGCGGGCTCGGGGACGGCAGGCTCAGGGATGGCTGGTTGCGGGTCGGCAGCAGGCTCGGCGGTGGGCCTGGCGGGGGGGACGTAGGGGGTGGCGGGTTCGTTGTACGACCCCATGTCCCCCGCGCCTGTTCCCCCCGCGCCCAGCGTCTTGGGCTTCCCTCGACCGCGCGGTTTTCCGCTCCCGCCGACCGCGTCCCCCTCAGTGGCGCCGCTCGGGCCTCCGCCTGAGCGTTTCTTGGCTCCGCCATCCCCGCCCGCCCCGCCCGCTTCGCCGGCGCCTCCCTCCGCGCGCGGCTTCCGCCCCAGCGCGGGCTTAGCGAGGGCGTCGGCGGCGGCGAGATCGACCCGCGCGCGGAAGAGCGACATTCCGGGCGTGTCGTCGAGCTGCTTGCGCCATGGCTGGGGGGCAGCGGAGAATGTGCGGGAGGGGGATGCGGGGAATGTGGGAGAGGGGGATGCGGGGAACGTGGGAGGGGGAGATGCGGGGAACGTGGGAGAGGGGGATGCAGGGAATGCAGGGAATGTGGTCGAGGGAGATGGGAAAGCAGGTGGGTTGGGAGATTGGAATACGGAGAATTACGAGTCAACTCAAAAGCCATGGCTGTGGGGAAAGCGGAAAATGTGAGGGAGGGGGATGCGGAAGTTTGGAGGGAGTTCGGAATCCGGAGAAGGACGGAAAGTGCGGGGAAGGGCCGGAGGGGGGGGGGGGCGGGGGGGATGAAGGCTGGATTGGTGACGTGGCATGATTCATGCTTCGCGAACGGCTATTGGTGGGATGAGCTGGAACAGCTGGATCAGTGACCTGATCGGCAGCATGGAACGAAGCTCATCTCGGAGAATCGCGAGAGACGGCAATCTGGCAGAAATGACGGTCGGTTGGCGACAATGACGGTCGGTTGGTGACAATGACGGTCGGTTGGCGACAATGACGGTGTGGCGGTATTGACGGTTGTCTGGCAGCAATGTCGGAGTAGGGTTCCGAGCGATAGTTGAGGTGACTATGAACGCGCATTGCACGGCGTCCTACGCTGAGATTTCCAATGTTCCTTCTCGGATGTTGGCGAACGGATAACGTTCGGTCGCACGCAGTGCACATTATTATGCAGAAAAGCACACTTTCGCACAGAATCGCAAGCTAACTCCTGGTTCTGACCTGCCCTTGAAGCAGTCGGCGCTGAGGATGGGCTGCGAACGATAAAGGCGACGACGGATGACTCGTTGCTGGGATGCCGTTGGGTGGTGCGACTAGTGAATGCGACGGATGCGCGAGGAGCGGGAGCGGAGCGAACGCTAAGACGAGAAAGGCCAGCGACGCGGAGACTGCGCCGAGCGCTCGAGCAGCAAGATCCCGCTTCATAATCGCGCGCCGCATGGAGATTCGATCTACACGATGTAGCCCCGGGCGCGGGCTCATTTCACCCACAGAGGAGCCACGGGAATGTGTACCACTGGGGTGGGTATAACTGATTAGGGCAAAAAATAGTCGGTAAGATCAGAGCGACACTGGTGGCAATCCAAGTATTTTGACGCAGGCTTGTCCCTAGTTCATGGGGCTCTCCTGTTACATGATGCGTGAAACGAAAATGCTAGCCTGGTCTTCGCGAAACCTTGTTTACTTGGTAACATATCATTCAAACTGCATTCGACGGCAGAGTGACGACTCTGGCGAAGCGTCTGGTTGTCGCTCACTGCAATTCCTGCCATCACCAACCGCAGACGTTCGCACGAGCCTCGGAAGCATATCTGCTGCCAGTTGGAGTGTACAGTACGATTAAAACCCAGATACATAATGAAGACACTTAAAACATGACTTCGATAATATTCTCATCTATATCCGACCTTGTCAATTAGCACATTCGTTTCACTCCCTGAAGCCGCCATACTCGCAACCCAGCGTAAGTCATACCGCGTACATATCTTGCCATCAACACCCCAAATCTTAGCTCCCACGGGTGGTTTTGGAAGGGGCTGCTTGTTGCTGTAGTGCGCGACTGGCGGCAACGGCAAGCCCAGCAGCTAGGCTTGTCGCTTGCCTCTGCCAGCAGAACCATAAGGCCACCTCACCTCGCCTTGCTTGTCCGTTGAGGTTCATCAACCCCCTCACCTCTCTCCCTCCCCGTCCTCCAGCCTGGCTAGTTCCTCGCTCCCTAACCTTTGGTCGCTTTTGGCTGCTCGCGTGCGACACCTCAAGTCCGCGAGGTTGACGACGACCCTATGCGATGGAGGCGAGACAGGCGACAGCATTCCACGCAGTCGCGCTGTCGTTGGCCTGAGGTCTGCCTGCTCAACTTGAGCTAGTAGTCAACCACGGCTGCGATTTCGCCATGGCTGCTAGGCTAGTTTTCTCCCACTGGCTTATTGCGAAACTCACCATAGTACAGCTCGCCAACAAAAATCGCCATAAGCGGGCAGCTTGCACCGCCTTCCGTCCGTCAGCACGGCAAGGGTCACCAGCTTGAAATGCACCTCCGCGATTTGCTGGCGTGGAGTCGCGGTGCGAGCTTGACTTGAAGTTGAAACCACAATTGAGGAGCGTGTTGCTGCCCCATCATCAAACCTTAGGTCGAGATACCACGTGTACACGGCATTCTTGGCATTGATTCACTATTGGCTGTTTTCAATCATTCCGCGGCTTAAGCGTGTGGCTTGCCCGATGCCGCGGCGTCAATCGCCGTGCTCGCTGACTTTCCGCCACAATCCCGCCGCTCACGCGCTCTGCCGCTGACCAGACGTCTCAATTCTAGAACCGGATACTTGTGGAATGACCTCGTGACGCGAATTACCGGATTCTGAGACCAATACAGACAGGTGGCACATTCACATGGTCGGAAGGTGGCACCATAGAACAGTTTCCCGTTTCAACCTCCCACCAGCCCTGCAGCTACCCCTGTCTCTGGAGCATATATCGTCCCAACAGCCCACATGCCTTTCAGAAGCGATTAGCAGAACTGAGAAGTCTGTCACTGATTGCACTCAGCAAACTCACGAATGCCGCAACTGTCCACTGTGACAACAAGCCCACCCAAACATTTAGCAACCGCTCCCTCATCCATCGCTGTCCTCCCTCTCCCTGTCAATACACTCCACCGTTGAGTTACTGACGACATCGAAGCGCCTGACTGAAAATGAGGAGGTCGCAGAACTCTGTTAGCGTTACGACGACGCCACAAAGCATCAGCGTCGACTTAACGAATCCATCTCATGACGTGTGGTCGGATTGCCCCCAATCCGGAACCACACGACCGCATGAGCGCGCCGCGACGCTGTGGGAAGAGCTGCTGGCGGCCGCGCCGTCCCGTTGCGCCGAAGGGCCGGCGGATTGCGGCGGATCGACGTGGAGCGGCTACTTCAACACGCTATCCCTGCGACGGCATGTCTCTGCGGATTTTTTCGCCTGCGAAACCGGCTTGATGCAACCGCCGCGCTCCCTCTCTGCGGATTATGAAAACTTTTCATCCTTGAAGGACTACTATCCGCAGGGGACATCATCTCCAGCCGCACCGCGGCCAATCGGATTTTCCGACGTGGTTTCTGCGTTGGACCCTCGCGATTCCCCCAATTCACCCCTCTCCCTGGACCTCTCATACGCGTGCTCCGTGTGTCACCTGCGGTTCGCCACGGTGCACGCCCTTGGCGGTCACAAATCGGTGCATAACGTCAAGACGAGACCGCAACGGAGAACTTCGCAACGAAGCAGTCCGCGGAGACACTCTGATAAGGCGCACGCGGCGGGAGATTCGAATCCTGGAAATCGGCTTGAAGGGGACGTTGTGCTGCTAGTGGATGCTGCTGCGCGGCTCGCGACCTGCACGAACCAGGATTCCCCAAGGGAGCGCGATCCAACCAGCCAGATGCATCACACCACGTCAGGAATGAGCGACGCTCAGCCGGCGAATAGCTGGGGTTCTAAGGAAGGCAGCGAGTTTGTCAACATGGGCAAACGAGCAGCACTGCTTTCGGAAATACGAGGTTTGCTTCAGCTGAAGCGCCAGCGGTCGTGCAGCAGCTATGAAAACGAGGAATTTCTAGGGATTGGGGACAGGGATGTTCTCCGTGTTGGCGGAAGTGACTGCATCCCCGAGACCTACGGTGGTGCTGTTGAAATGGACGTGGTTGACCTCTCGTTGCACCTATGAATCGTATAACTCGAATCTCATGTGTACAGAAATGGTAATACACTACACGTACGGTACAAGTCTGTGTACCCCCCAGACTAGGCATAAGAGAACATATAGTTCATCGTAGCTTGGGCATAGAAATTATTACAATATCTTAGCTTGCCCTGAAATCCTTTTGCAATTAATAAAGCCTCAGAAGATATTGGCATTGCTGCTGTAAAAACCATGGAGACCTACTTCTACACTAGTGTGGAACTACCGTATGTCAGGAAGTTAGCCTGCACAACCAGGTTAGCAGGTTAGGCAGCTGAGTGCAACCTCGCTGCAGAAGTGTCAATGCTCTACACAAGTTAATTAGTGGAGCCTGCAATTCTGTATCCATGTGCCATCAGTATGGCTTGTATCCTTGCAGTGATTGCTCATGGCCGCTGCCTCTTTTGTAGTAAACCTGGTACCAATCCACAAACTTTTTTAAGCCCACTTCAAGATCCGTGGATGGACTATACCTGCAAGATAATAACAAGAAGCTCAATGTCAGGAACCAGGCCAATAAGTCAAGAGTCTTTAGACGGAACTGTAAAAGTCAGGAGAGCAAGAGACGATCTGTGCACCTTCCACTCACCCTAGGTCATTCTTTGCCCTGGTCACATTGGCGTGTGTGAACATCACATCCCCAGTGCTTGGCATTTGGACAACCCTGCAGGAAGCAATGAGTAGGAATGTCAGATAAATACAATGACAAAAAAAAAACCATCCATAAAGATAACCTGAACAGATGTGAAAACATTGAGGGAAAAGGGCGCAAGAATCACTTACTCCCTGATGGCGTTGACCTGCAGGTGCTTCTCCAGGATGCTGACGAAATCCCCCACCTTAACCGGCTGCGTGTTTCCAAGATTGTACACGCGGAACTGAGCCTTTCGCCGCTTCCCCTTGCTGCCAACGCTCGGCAAGGCGGTGTCCAGCGAGGCCACGCAGCCCTTCACGACGTCGTCAATGAACGTGAAATCACGAGCCAGCTCCTCTCCCTTGGGCCCACGGAAGATCTTGATGGGCTTGCCGTCCATGATGTTCCTCGTGAAGGAGAAGTACGCCATGTCCGGACGACCCCAAGGGCCGTACACCGTGAAGAATCGCAGAGCAGTGATGGAGAGGCCGTAGATGTGGTTGTAGGTGTGTCCCAAGACCTCATCCGCTTTCTGCATGGTACACAGTGACGAAACAGAATCGAAAGCAACTGCGTTTGATTAATTCTGGCCATTCGCAGTGGTTGAAATCGCTTAACGATGATGCTATTCGAAAACACCGCGCTATAATACGTAGAATGCAGTACCTTTGTGGCGGCGTACAAGCTCGCAGGGCGGTCAGTCCGATCTTCTTCGGAAAACGGCACTTTAGAGTTCAGCCCGTACACGCTGCTGGACGACGCGTAGACAACTGCAGGCTGTGGATCCGCTTTCTGCGACAATGAAACGGAAGGCGTGAGTTCAACGTCAACCGCGACAAGGACAAAAGGACGAAGCAAAAAGCAAGCGACAGAGTAGCCACCTTAATTTCTTCAAGAAGAGTGACGAAGCCGGCGACATTGCTCTGAACATACGCCAATGGATTGTGAACGGCATAACGCACACCGGCCTGCAGGCATCAATGTTAGGTGAGCGTCAGGGATTTAGCTGTAAACTCCAGATTTAAAGATCGTAGAACGTATAGAACAATGACGTTAGCGTTTCGGCCTCCCACTACGGATCCTACCTGTGCTGCTAGATGAAGGACGTGCGTGAATCTGACGATCTCGAAAAGCTTGGCCAGAAGCCGTTGGTCGTTGATATCGCCCTCCACGATGAACCTGCAAAGGTTCATGTCGGCGCAGATGTTAGCTCACGCAATCACAAAACGGCCCAACTTGAGCTGAAAAGGTAGGTACGCTTACACTCCGTTAGCAAGTAGGCGCTCCTGTCTGGCGCGCTTTAAGGCAACGGGATAATAGCTATTGAAGTTGTCAATTCCAACAACGCCATCGCCTCTCCTCTTCAAAGCAAGCGACGTGTGCGAACCAACGAATCCTGCTGCTCCGGTCACGAGCACCACCATCCCGCTTCCTCGAGTAGCCGCGGAAGATCTCACTTGATCTTCCCACACAGCTCCCCCCCATGTCGAGGCATCCATGTCGGAGAAAGCGTCTATTGTGCTTTGTCTTTGCCCGCCATGTCTAGTGATTCCGAAAGCCCTGAAATAAAAGCACGTGGTGCGTTAGAACTCCATCCGACTTGGGTAGAAGGCGATAATTTCTGACGCACAGAGCTTACATGACTAAAACGAAGACGACGATGCAAGCAGCCTGAATGATAGTCAAGCTCCTGGCGGTCCGCTGAATAAAGGAGTTGCTTCGCAACTTCTCGAAATCATCTACATTTGAGGCTGTCTTGGTCAGAGGCGTCGATGCGAGCAGCTTAGTCGCCATGACAGCGGACCCACTATGCAGAGTAGTCAGTGGAGGATCGAGCCGCAGGATATTAACCTAGCGATCACTGGAATGGAGATGACGCAACGAACTGAGGAGCATGTAGTGACTGTTCCGCTTTTTATCCTTCAATGGCCTTGATGGTTGCATGCATGCTCCAATTCGGTGTCTTCTAGGCAGTGTGGGTGGGGTGGGATGGGGCAGAAGGGGCGCTTTTCTCGCTGTCGTCAGGCGCAGGGGCCAGTGTTCCTCGAGGTGCTGTTGGATTGGCTGGAACAGGTAACCACACTGGCGGAGCGGAGTAACGCAGGCGGAATAGGCGGAGATTGTGCAGAGATTGGGGAAGCGCGCAACCAGGAACTGGCGGAGCGGAGCAGGGAATGGCGGGGCGGCGGAACGCGGCTTGGGATGAGCTCGTGGCCAGGGGATGGTCCACCAATCCCGAGGTCACCCGTCCAAAACGCGCAGCGGGTTCCTTGTGCGCCAAAACATTTTGGGCTTCACAAAATTTTCTAGGAAACTCCAAGAGCCAAGCCCAAGGAACGGTGGCGCGTCGCACAAGCAAACCTAGGATGGACTTGGACATGATCTTTTGGGCCTTCGTGTCCGACCGATGAAAACGACTTCATAATCTTACGGCTAATAGTAGCTCTCGGTGCTGCGGCTCGTTCGGCCACATCAAGGCGGGAACCTTACAATCTAGGCAAACAAATAAGGGTAATTACCTTGGGGGTAACACACTTAGAGCCCAATCGCCCCCAAGATAAGCCACGTGTCAAAATCGTAACAAAGATATCGTGTGATCGCTCTCATGGTAACCATTATGCCAAAGTGGTCACCATTTTTGCCTGAGTGGTAATGAACAGTGCCTTCCGAACTCCAAACAGGTAACTGCTCGTTCCAAGCATAGTGTACCCCGTACGTACCCTGTATGAAGCAAAACGGAAAACGATATTACATATGTTTTACATATGTTTCGCATTTTAGGTAGAAATGTCAAATGTATAATCTGGTTGTATGTTTGAAATGATCGCAAATGCGGGCTATAATGCTGTATATTGTTCGTCAAACATTCCTGAATAAAATACTATTATTCTCGCAGCTTTTAGGATTCATATACTATAATGCACTGCATAGTGCTCACAAATAAATAAATACCCTTGTAATGCAATCATTTCAAACATACAACCAGATTATACATTTGACATTTCTACCTAAAATGCGAAACATATGTAAAACATATGTAATATCGTTTTCCGTTTTGCTTCATACAGGGTACGTACGGGGTACACTATGCTTGGAACGAGCAGTTACCTGTTTGGAGTTCGGAAGGCACTGTTCATTACCACTCAGGCAAAAATGGTGACCACTTTGGCATAATGGTTACCATGAGGGCGATCACACGATATCTTTGTTACGATTTCGACACGTGGCTTACCTTGAAGGCAATTAGGCTCTAAGTGAGTTACCCCCAAGGTAATTACCCAACAAATAAAGCTCCGTTGGTTTTGGAAAAATGTCATTCATCACTTGGATGAGCACAGCTAGTACATGTATTTTGCATTAACTCATATCGGATTTCTGATGATGAGTACCTCCCGTTTGTTGTTCGTGCGACTTGCACCATCCACGGCAGCTCCGACAATTTGCTCGCCAGGCCGAAAAGCTTAGTCGCCTCCGTACGACGCGAAAAAGGATCGTCGCGATCCTCACTACAAACGACATGACGAACGAACAACATGACACACTATACGAGAAGCCTCGTTACACGGTTCAGAGGGTTAATTTGAATTTCCATAACAGCGGTCCAAATGAAGACCAACAATAGACGTATCACCTAGACGGAGAATTGTCCGTCCGATTCGCTGCAGCACATCATCATCCAGCCGTCCGCGCGGACGTGGCATGCATGTCGATTCCTCAGGCAGCCACTGTCAATCGAGGTTCCTCCCTCGTAGAAAGAAAACCTAACTCGCTGTTCCCAAGGCTAACCTAGTCACACTCAAGCCCCAAGCCAAGCCAGACCACCCATACTTTCTCCGTCAACGCCGAACAGAAAGTAGCTCTCATGCCTAGATTGTAGTAGACTCCATCAGTGTTCAAGACATTCAACCTTAGTATTTGGAGGTCTGGTCGAGCCGGTAACGGCCTTCTCATTACCGAGCGAGAATTGTGGATCGCCATATATTTACCCAGCCCGCTAGCCATGGAGGAGAAGGACGACTATTATCGAGGACCCATGCAGCTCGCAGATTCTAGAAATGGGCTCCAAGTGCCGGCCAATCGCAGACGGTCATTCCCTCAGCCAAATCAGTCTCAGTCAAACCTTGCTTTTTCGGCGCCGACGGTTTCCGACGTGTCGCCACGCAATCGTCCTCTTAGCAGCAGCAACACCTTCTCCGGTCGGCAATTAGACGGCGCCGAAGCTCGGCGCGCTTTAGGGAAAACAATGTCGGGTTACCAGCCGGGAGGCGGGGTACCTGGCGACGAGTCACAGGTAGGGTTACCACCGTCGCAAGGAGGCCCGCAGCGGGGATTCGTGCGACCACAGCGTGCGACCGGTAACCATCGCAGAGCGATGTCGTTCAGCGGTGGCCAGGCGTCGAGCTCCATGGAATTTTCCGCGGAAGCATTTTCCCGCGAAGGGTTTCAACATCCGCAGCAGCGATCGCATGCGATGCAGCAGCAGCCATCTTTCCCACAGCACCAGCAGCAGCAGCAGCAGCATCAGCAGCAACAACAGCAGCCTCCGTCGCAGATGCAGCAGCAGGGACGGTCACCGGTGCGCTCTGCCTCACATGACGGCGACGGCAGCAGTCGGCCGTTAGTCGCCGGCAGCAGGTCCCCCCAAGGACCTGTCGCGGCCGGCCCGCGCCCCGCTGCTGTGCGTGTGCCCGCAATGCGAGGGGCAGCGGGCGGGGGAAGGGGGAGCTCCGCCGCAGCTTCCGCGATTTCATATGCCGGCGCTAAAGTTGGGGACGAGGAGGAGGAGGAGGGCGAGGACGAATACGAGGAGGAAGAGAGTCCGCAGCGGGTGGGGCGTCAGGATTCCGTCCGGAGCTCCATTTCCGATACCAGCGCCGACCGCGTGGGCGGAAGGAGCGGGTTACGCCCGCAGCGAATGAAGAACGGACCGGACGGGGGGAGCGCATCCTTGCGCATGCCCCCGCGCCCCCCCGGTGCGAACCCCGCGGCCTATGCGGGGGCGAACCCGCCCGTCGACAGCCCGATGGCCCGCCAGCAGCACCGGCGAGGCGCGTCGTTCGACTCGCGCGTGGTCACGGAGTCGTTGAGTGGTCCCCCCTCATTCCCCTCCCCTTCCTCCTCCTCAGGCGCGGCTCCGTCAGGAGGTCCCTCTTCCCCCCATGTGCTTTCGCAGTCGCGCTCGGCGAATCTCTCCCGCGCGCCGGTCTCCGGTGGTGCGCCGACCAGGGATCAGCGCGCCTCAGCGGGGATCAGCGGCTTTGCAGGGAATGCGGGACGCGCCGGCGGTGGCGATGGTAACGTCGCGGTTAGCAGCGGTGCTAGTAGCGTTGGAAGCGGTGCTGGTTTTAACGCAAATAGCGGAGGTGGTGGCGGCGTGAGGGGTCCGGCCGGGTCGCAGGCGGGGTCGCAGGCTGCGTCACAGGCTGGGTCGCAGGCGAGGTCGCATGGGTCGCAGGCAGGGTCGCAAGCTGGGTCGCGGCCGTGGCACCGCCGCTCGCTGTCGACGCCCGTGGAAGAGTTCGCGCCGCAATTATCCTCCCCCACCACCAGGCCGGTGCCGCCTGGCAGAGGGGGCGCAGGGGGGTTGGGGGGGTTAGGGGGAGTTGGGCGAGCAGGGGGAGGGCCAGGCCCAGCAATGTCCGCCCGCTCGCCGCCCCAGGCTCCGAGTTCCGGTATGGGCGTGAGCATGGGCGCGGGCATGGGCGCAGGCATGGGCGCGGATATTGGCGGGGGTATGGGTGCGCGCAGTAGAGTTGGCAGCAGCGGCAGCGGCAGACTGGATGCGCGGGTAGCAGCAGGGGCACGAGGGGAAACTCGCAGCATGAGCAACACCAGCGGCAGCGGCAGTTTCAGTGGCAGTGACGAGGACGAGAGCGAGAGCGAGGATAGCAATGAGCCGGTGGCAGTTCCAGCGAGGGTCGTGGGAAGGAGCTCAGGCGCGAGCGGGACTAGTCGACTTGCTCCTGCTGCCCCTGCTTCCCCTGCCTCCCCTGCTGCTGCTCCTACTGCTATGGCGGGAGGCGCCTTTGGCAGCGGGAGAGGCGCGGATGGGGCGCCAGCAGCGCGCGGAAGGGGACGGGGCAGGGGCATGGAGGGGAGAGGAGAGATGGCGTTCCGGGGCGGGCGGGCGGGAATGGGCGGAGTGGGGGGGATGGGGGGACGGGGGCGGGGGCGCGCGCACCACCGCGCGTTCTCAGAGTCCCAGATGGGGTTCCTTCACACCACGGATTTTAGCTCCATGCAGGAGGACGCGGAAGGGGGACAGGCGGAGTGGGGTTCCGCCGCTGGCGCGCAGGGCGGTGGGGGAATGCCAGGGGGGATGGGCGGAGGCAGGGGCGCGGCAGGGGGGAGAGTACTAGGGGGAGGAGCGGGGAAATCGCGGTTTTTGAGCGTGCAGGAGACGAGACGAGGGGAAGGTGCGCTTAGCAGGCTGGGAGCAGGTATTGGAGGGAGCGTGAGAGAGACGCGTGACTATAACGAAGGTTCGGAATGGATGGGTGGGGATCCGAGACGGCCGATGGCGCTAGCGGAAGGGAGTGGGGTGCGGAACGGTGGGGGGCGGGGGGGCAGGGCGGAGGAGTATGGAAGAGATGGAGGGGGCGGCGGTGGTGGTAGTATGAGTGGCGCCGGTGGCGATAATTATGATGATGATGATGATGATGATGATGATGGTGATGATGAGAGACAGGGTAGATGCTCTGTATGAAGACCTGGATAGGTTGAGACGAGGGGCAGGTGGGGGGAGAGATGGGAGCGAGAGCGAGGAGGATGAGGAGGAGGCGGAGGGGAGGGGAGCAGACGGGGAGAGAGGGCGGGAGTGGGAGCGCAGGAGAGGAGGGGGCAGCAGGGACGCGAGTCCTGGTAGCTTACGGTCGCGAGGCAGTGAGAGTGGGAGTGGGAGTGATGGGGAGCACAGCAGAGTGAGCTTCAGTGGGAGCGAGGAGGGCGAGAGGGAGAGGCGCAATAGCAGTGGTAATGGCGTGCACAGGGAAGGGTCAGTGCCTGTGGCAGCAGCAGCAAGAAGAGCAGTGGGAGGGAGAGGCGGAGGGGCGGCAGGAGGAATGGGAATGGGCAGCAGTGGGCGAGGAGGAAGCATGGGGAGAGGGGTGGGAGGAGGGAGAGCAGGAGGAGTGGGAACAGGCAGTGGGGGCGGGGCGACAGCAGGTATGGGTGGGGCACCGAGCCTGGGTGGTAGGGGCGGGAGAGGGCCGGGCGTTGTTCGTGGCATGGCACGGGGCGGCATGGGCGGCAGAGGGGGCATGGGCGGGCGGCACAGGCGCACGAGCTCGGAGTCGCAGGCTGCAGCAGCGTTCTACAGCGCGCCTGGAGATGACTTCTTCTGGAGCGGTGGGGGTGACACGGGCGCGCCCCCTGTGAGGCAGGGCGGGCAGCGGGGACTGGGGCAACAAGGGCAGGGGTCTGGGCAGGGGCAGGGGCAGCAGGGCGTGGGGTCAGGACGGAGTTTGCAGAGAGTCGGGGGAGAGGCAGGGAGGGGAGGAGGCGACGCGGGGCGGGGGAGGATGCACGGTGCAGGTGGGCGTGGTGGCACTGCTGGTGCTGCTGGTGCCAGTGGGAGGGGTGCGGTTGGGCCCGCCGGTGGGAGAGGGCAGGGGGGGGTGGGGAGAGGTGCAGGGAGTGTTGGCAGGGGTGGTGGCAGCTCTGTGAGAGCCCAGCAGCAGCAGCGACAGCAGCAGGGGCAGCCGGAGCAAGAGCAGGGCCCAGAGCAGGGGCAGTGGGGGGAGCAGGCGGAGGAGTGTGAGCCACCGGAGCTGTCTAGGGAGCTGACGTTCCGAGTGAACCTGGAGCAGCCGGTGGTGGAGAGAGAACCCGCGCTGGAGCGCGAACTCACCTTCCGCATGGGCGCGACCTGATGCCCGCCTGATGGGCGCGACCTGATGCCCGCCTGATGGGCTCATGGGGGGCACCTGATGGGCTCATGGGGGCACCTGATGGGCTCATGGGGGGCACCTGATGGGCTCATGGGGGGCACCTAACGGATTTAGAGTGAACCTGGAGGAGCCGGTGATTGAGAAAGAACCGGCGCTGGAGCGATAACTTACCTTCCGCATGGGTGCGACCTGATGGGGTCATGGCGCCTCGTGATGGGGTCACACCTCACGGGGGGGGGCTGATGGGGTCACATTTTCACATTCCGCCCGAGGCCCACCTAGTGAGCTCCTGTCAGCGAAGGAGGGAGAGAGAGGGTGTGTGGCAGGTGATGCACACATACGGTAACCTCTTTCTGATGCCCAATGCCCACCCACCTGTTGTGCTGCTCATGCAGGTGTTTGAATGCCAGCCAATGTTTCATGCGGTTGGGACAGACAGTCTTGGCATGGTGTGGGAGGCACGATAGTTTGCCTGTAGCGTATTCGATTGTTTGCTGTATTTATGTAACCCGTGATGCAATGCAAGAGATTGTGACACGTGTTAAAATCGGAAGTGTTGTTTCATTGATGGTGGTTGGGGTACAAGTAGCAAACCCTAACATACGTACCCCCTAAGACACATCTCACTACAGGCTACCAACATTTGACACACCCCCATAGCCTAAGTGAGGGGTGTCTAGCAAAACCAAAAGAGTACGGTCACAAGACCAGTCACAAAGAAACAAAGCTCAGGGTGGATCACAACGTCACCACAAACTCTGAGCACAAGCAACAATGGCCACAAGGCCAGTCCAAACAATAACAGAGATATATAGAAAGGGTACAAGCAAAGCAAGCAGTGAACTCAAGACTAAGTAAGCCGAAAACCAGTGTCAACAAGGCCTAACTGCACACAACACCTGTGGTGGTCACAAGGCGGAAGCGCCTTGGTAAAGATGTCTGCAGTGTTGGCCTCAGACTCCACAAACTCGAAGCGAGCCTGTCCACGCCTCTGCAACTCTCGCAGAAGGAAGTACCTGACGTTAATGTGCTTCACTCTGCTCTCCAGTCGCGGCTCTCGACAAAGGAGAATGGATGCCTTGTTGTCAGTGAACAAGGTCGGTGCAGAGCTCGGCCGCTCACCCAGGTCGGCGAGCAAGAACGTCAACCAACGCAGCTCCTGTGCCGCCATGGCACCAGCGTAGATCTCAGCCTCAGCTGTAGAGGTCGAGACCGAAGAGGAGCGCGTGGACCGCCAGGAAACAGCTCCAGAACCCAGACTGAAACAGTACCCCTGAGTAGACCTGTGAGTCTCAGCGTCGTCAGCGTAAGAAGAGTCACAGTGACCAGTAAGTACAACAGACTGCTGCCCTCCAAGTACTAGCCCCACGCCTGATGTCGTCGCTAGGTACTTCGCCACCCTCACAGCTGCTGTCCAGTGAACAGGACGGTGTCTCCCTGGCGCAACAAAGCGCGCAAGGATGCTGAGAGGGAAAGCGAGGTCCGGGCGAGTACACGTCATCAGGTACATGAGGCAACCCACAAGCTCTGCGTAGGGACCACTAGGCTCAAACGGCTCGTCAGGAAAGGGGCCAGTGAGTCTGTGGTCAACAGCAAGAGGTGTGCGCTGTACTGTGGAGTGCTGAAGCTCGAACCGCTGAAGGATCTGCTGCACCATGTGTGACTGTGAGAGTGTAATGGTGCGAGCAGCTCTGTCCCTGGTGATCTGCAGCCCAAGGTAATGGCGCAGCTCACCAAGGTCAGTGCACGTGTGTCTCTTCTGCAGTTCGGACTTCACGTCTGCCAAAGCAACCCTGTCAGCAGTGGCGAAAACTAGGTCGTCGACGTAAACCAGAACGAAGAACGGTGTGGAGCCACGGCGAACGAACAGCGACGGGTCGGCAGAAGACGGCTGGAACCCAAGGTCAGAGAGGGTAGAGCGAAGAGTGTCGTGCCACTCACGAGGTGCCTGGCGAAGACCGTAGACAGGTCGCCTCAGCCTCCACTGGGTCCCAGGAGGGAAAGTGCCAGTGAAGGCAGAGGGACGACGCAGCCAGACCTCCTCGTGTAGGCTGCCCTGAAGAAAAGCAGTGGAGAAGTCGAGAGAGTGTAACTCGTAGTCTCTCTGTGCTGCTACGTGCAGTAACACCCGAAGAGTGGTCATCTTCGGGGTCGGCGCGAAGGTCTGAAAGAAGTCAACTCCCTCGCGCTGACTGAAACCTCTAGCAACGTAGCGCGCCTTGAAGACTGGAGGAGATCCTGGTGGCCGCTTCACCCTGTAGATCCACATGCCATCGACTACGTTCGTCCCAGGGGGGGGAACCTCATCGACGTAGGTGCCTGTGGATCTGTAGGAGGCCATCTCTGCGTCCATGGCAGCTCTCCACTGAGAGGCCCAAGGCCCTGACACTGCCTCAGCGTAAGTGCGAGGAGTGGGAATGTCAAGGGCGTCGGGGTCACCCTCAGGGGTGAGGAGCATGGCACAGAGATGAGGGGAAGCGGCTGCCAGGAACTCTAGCTCAAACTGCCTGTCCTCTAGGACGTCACAGCCAAGGGCAGACACACCCCCGACGGCCAGAGGACTGGTAGGAGGAGCAGCCACAAGAGTGGTGGCGTAGTCAAGGCGGCGAGTAGAGGAAAACTCAGTGACCGCGGCAGTAAGAGCAGAGACAGAGGACAAAGAGGCACGAGGGTGGGTAACAAGAGAGGCGAGAACACGAGAGAGAACAGGACGGTACGTGCGGTAGTAGTCAGTGACAGGGGTAGAGAGAGAAGCTGTGAGGGCCGACTCAGGAGGAGAAGGAAGCACAGGAGGAGCCGAACGAGACGGACTAGAACGGAACAAGACAGTACGAAGGTCAGTGAAAGGAACAGGGGACGAGGGACGAGCACGAGGAGAGCGACGAGTAGCCCAAGTACGAGACGGAGGAGGAGAGGACAAAGGCGGAGAACTGGGGAAAACAGCGGGGGAGGAGTCAGGAGGAGGAAACGTGGGACCGGAGACAGGAGGAGAGGCGGGGGAGGGAGGAGAAGGAGAGGGGAGACCAAGGGTCCGAAGGCCCGAGACAGGAGGAGGAAGTGGCTGCTGCTGCTGCTGCTGCTGGTGCTGCTGCTGCTGCGGCTGCGGCTGCTGCTGGGACTGCTGCTGCTGCTGCTCCTGCGGCTCCAGCTGCTGCTGCTGCTGCTCCTCCAGCCGCTGTAACTCCCTCTCCTCTCTCTCCAACGCCAGCTGCTCCTCACGGGCACGGCGAACACGAGCCTGGTGCCTAGTCGGGTAGGGGTGGGGGGGCGGAGTAGTGTCCGGAGCAGCGGCAGCTCCAGAGTCCACCCCCGAAGGACCAGGCACACCACCCCCAGAGGCAGCACTAACACCAGCTCCAGACCCAGGCTCACCAGAACCTGAAGGAGGCGCACCCTCACCCCAAGACGGAGCACCTCCAGTGTCCGCGCGACCAGCACCAGCTCCCGGAAGACAAGAGTCCTCTGCACCCACCGGCTCAGCTCCAACTCCAGCACCCCCAGAACCAGAAACCGGTACAGGAACAGGCTCGGCACCAACCTCTCGAGAGCTAGCACCTGCGACACGCTGCGAGGAGGACTGTGGGGAGGGAGGCTGTACCGGAGGGGCTACCGAAGGAGGAGGGGTAGCCTGGGACACACCTGACGGGGCTGGACCAGGGGGGGGAGGCTGTACCGGGGGAGCAGGAGGGGGAGCGGCAGTCAGGAAGAGGGGGGGAGGAGGAACCGGGAGACCTCGACTGGGGTGCCTGACAAAGTACGGGGTGGACTCCTCGAAACGGACGTCACGGGAGTCAAAGAACCGGTGAGAGGGAGGGTGGTAAAAGGTAAAGTCAGAGGAGTCCTCAGGGAAACCAAGGAAGACACAGGGGACGGCGCGAGGCGAGAGCTTGTCCGCAGAGGTGTCGCGGACAAGAGCCAAGCAACCCCAGACACGAAACCTCGACGCAACACCAGGGGACCCGGTCCAAAGACTGGTCGGTGAAGCCTCTGGCCGAGAGACGCGTGGCCAGAGGTTCAGCTGGTGCGCGGCGTACCGAACCGCGTAAGGCCACAGAAAATGGGGGGCACGGGCGTGAGTCAGGGAGGTGCGGGCGATCTCCATGACCAAGCCTATGCGGCGCTCAGCAACCCCATTCTGCTGCGGGGACTCTGGAAGCGTCCAGGACTGACGAATGCCCTGCTCGCGACAGAATCCAGCGAGAATGCCGGAGCGAAACTCACCCCCGCGGTCGGAGTGAAGACAGCTGACACGACGACCACGAGTGTCCGCGGTGGTGAGCAACCACCTGATCAGCGTAGAAGTCACCTCAGACTTCTTCGCCAGGGGGAACACCGTGGTGTAGCGGGAGTAGTCGTCAACAACCACCAGAAAGAAACGCTCACGCTCAGGGCCAAGGCGAGAGGCGGGGCCCCAGACGTCCAGGTGAAGCGTCTCAAACGGCTCGGTGGCCGGACGAAGGGAGGAGGAGTGAGGGGTGGCGCGCAACCGACCCTCGACGCAAGGACCGCACGGTGGTGCAAGGGACGGCGGCAGCGACGGCAAGACACGCGGGAGACCTAAGACCAGACGCTGACTAGACATAGCACGCAGACGTGGAAGAGAAGGGTGTCCCATCCGGTGGTGCCACAGAACGGTGGGGTGGGCAAGCGACCGACAGGAGCAAGACGCAGCGACTGGACTGGACGCGACAACCTGAGGGGACGGAACCACCTGGTGAGACGCAGGGAGGAGACTAGGGGGAGGGACAGGAACTGGGAGTAGGGGCTGCTGCGACGGCGGCCGCTGCGGCTGCTGCTGCTGCTGCTGCTGCTGCTGCTGCGCTGCTGCTGCTGCTGCTGCTGCTGCTGCTGCTGCTGCTGCTGCGTCCGCTGCCGTGCGCGCGGGCCAGTGTGAAGAGTGTAGAGACCGGAACCCGGCTCAGCAGCAAAGGTGGCCAGAGGCTGGTAAGAGTCACCGTCAACACACACCGCAGTCTCCCCAG